TACGTCTGGTCAACTTGGCCAGGCAAGTATGGTGCGCTAACGGAACAGGATATGACTGTATGAACTGGAGATGTCTTTGCACTGAAAGCGGCTCGCTTGGTTGCATAATGGACAAAGACCCTTCCAGCGCCATGATGTTTGAGCTCGGAGACTCGGAACCGAGACTGCTATTCTGCGACCCTCCTACAGCTTTGCTACAATGAGCTACCAAAAAAGATAGTGCACTGACATTGTACAGGTACATACCATACAAAACAAAATACGTATCTAATATTGACTGAGTACGAGGTCAATATAGGAAATAAAAGCCGAGTAAAAGACCGAGGCGAAGCCGAGGTCTTCTACGAGGTTTTTATTTCCTATATTGACGAAGTACGAAGTCAATATTAGATTTATCACGACAAACAGTCCGTATTTCAAATTCCAGAACGATAACCTCATGAATCCCGGTTTTATGATTGCACAACCGTTGCACCACCACCTACTCATGCAGTGACAATGCTGCACCAGGCACCGTTCAACTGCGCAACCCCTAAGCTGTCAATATAAGCAGTCAATATAGCCCTAAGGAGTGAAATATGCAGGAATATTTGACTGCTTAGGTATGGCAATAATCTATGTGAGTCAATACTAAGGGAGTGATAAACACAGTTACATAACATACATTGCTGTGTAGAAACTCGACTGTCCAATGGGTTTGATGCCAACACACAGTGCGACGTACAGGAAATCCATGGTAGAAATTAGTTTTCGGTTCAAGGCTATCTTTCGCCCAACGAGTCGACCGCGTGGATACTGCGTTTCCCAGTCCTATTTTACAAGAATAAAATCCACGGTTCGTGGTTGCCTCATCAGACTAGTACCAGCCCCTAGCCCCTGTGAACTAAATTACTTACCCTGTATGTTCTCATTGCAGCAGCAACCACCCGTGCTTTTGTTTGCGCCAACACACACCGTGAGGGCGCTGAGAGATGCGGAAGCGTATCTCAAGCAACACTGCCAACAGTTTCCCGAGCAGCACTGTCTCTGCCTCTGGTTTCCACAGCTCACAGCTCCAGACAAGTAAGTGTTACTTGTATTACTACACGTATTACTATTAGTTCAATGTGCACCGTTCCGGCAGGTGGGCCGCAGTGCATGCAGGCGAGAGCTACAGTTGCGATTGGTCTCCCGCGAGTTTCTGTACTGAAAGATCACACCCTCACCGGGCTGTTCTCGCTCTCACTCTGAGCAACACAATGCTACTGCAGGACTTCGAAATACAAGATCCGAGAAGTATGCTGGCGCAAACCCAAAATATGGCTCATACACTGCCTCTAGCATGCAAGCCGTCTTCAACTCGTGTTATTGGCCACTGAATATGGACTGCTGAATTTCAGAAAGAGAAACTGGGAGAGCGCTTTCCGTCTGTGAAGGTTTCGCCAGGGTAGACAGCACCCACTACCACTCTCGTTCAGCGTGCTTCGGGAGACATGTCCCGCATCACGCAGACGTAGATTGTACAATCGTCAAGTAGATCATTTAGTTGTCAAGTAGATCGTCTGACTGGGTAAGATCGCTGTGCTCATGATTGTCATCTTTCAGCAGGACTTCAAGACGAAAGTCTCCTTGATAGTTAGTTTGAAACTACATGACTGTACATGATAGTACGAGCTCTGCGTTACATGACATGATGTACTTCAATGTCAAAGATGGCTGGCTGGCGGCGGCCTACACTACCGACCGTACAGCCTACAGCGCACTAGTACTAGGCACTTCAGTCACGTGACAAGACCTGTCAAATTTTGCTGAGGTCTGAGTGCATACTTGCGTGGTATCAGCCAAGTGCATGCGCAAAACTGTACAGGTACGCACCATGCTTCGTTGTACGGGCATGTAGTTCAGTGCATCGTGCTGCTCTGACGTTCAGCTTTCAGTAGAGCCTACATACGTCATAGTGCGTACATTTTTACGACTTGCAGGTCATGTACACTTCCAGCAAAGAGTTTTTTCACAAGGAAATGTTGTTAGTACGCGTTGGAAACGTTGCCTATCGTCTTCAGCGTCGTGTTTCCATTCAGAAACAGTTGAGTTCTTGTTCACCAGGGTTTGCGCATAGCTGCGCAAGGAGGAAATATGGACGTAGATAGTGAGGAGAAGGGCTTGAGGCGGAGGAGAAAGATGCGTCGTCGTCCTACCTGAGCCAGTTTCAAAGCGTGCTGAAAGCCAATGTTTGACCCTGTTGTGCTTGAACGGCTACTGATGTTTACGAACAATCAAACGGCACAGTGGCTACAGGAGAAATCCTCCGATGACAGGGACACTTTGATCGACGCATCCAGGCGCGCTGCACCAAAATTCTGTTCGAATTTCGAGGCTCGCCAGCAGACAATTCATGACTGCTGTATGGAGCAAGTGAAGGAGAGCGGATCAGGTAGCACACGCAAGAGAGAACAACATCAAAAGGAAATGGAGACTTTGACGAAGATCACGGCTGTTGGTGGACTCTGGATCTCGAAGGAGGCAGCACAGGAGCAGCTCTCAAAAATGTTCTGTGTCACTGGCGAACGCCTTGCTCTCAATTCGCAGTTTCACTTCTGCAAGTTTATTCTGCTGCAGAAGGTCCGAAGTAATTTAGTTTGCACTTTCTACTGGTACAAAGGAGCTGCCAATAGAGAAACTGGTTTCCAACATCGAACCTCTGTTTGAAGTGGCGTTAACGTGTGCACGTGCGTTGTGTATGCAGAAATTCCGCTTTCAATTCATTTAGCGGATGCTATCTCTGTGTGCTTACCTTCTGAGTGCCAGAAGAATGTCTTTTATAGCATTTAGCAGCGGCAGTTGCCTGCTGGTGAACTCTAATGTCGATACTAGCTTATTTCACAGCAAACCGAAGCTGTTACTATGGGGTTGCTATGGGTTACTATGGGTTGCTATGGGGTTGCTATGGTGATTGTGGTAACAATTGCCGTATTCTGGACTATTGTGAACTTTGATAAGTATTTTGTTGATCCATAAACGGTTGTTGGTGTTTGTGAGAGCCGTGTGTTTGAAAATGCCACTCTGATGTTTTGTAACTATATCCACTGATAACACTTTGGGGATGCTGTTGATACCACAAATTGTATTGCTTTCGCCTCATGCAATTGCCTCTCTTCAACCCTTCATATCTCACTTGTGTCTTTGTGGATTTCAATGAAATTTTGTGTGTGGCCTCGTGATACCCACCACTGTCGATTTACGATGCTAAACCTGGGAGAAACCCGACTTGAAAAAACCGGCTGAAGTGCCTACTAGTACTACAAGTAGTAGGTCTACATGTACATGTACATGTGGCAGGTAGGCTGGGGACTGCAAACCGGACAAGTGACAGGCTGCCTACTCTGCCATGCCAGTACTGCAGTAGTCTACGTACTACTGGCTCTGTGAGGCAGACCACAGCTTTCCGGGAAACGGCAGACAGGTAACGACAGTAGTATGAATCTAATACGGTTACCTAGTCATTACGAGCTACGCTGAACAGCGCTATCCAGAATCAACATGAGTTTGCCGGCAGTACTGCATACCCAATAACCCACCAACTCAGTGCACTGATGGTAGCCGCAATGGCACCTGTACAGCGAATAAAGTATGAATGACAATCGTTGTACAGAGGTACATGTACATGTAGGTGCGGTAGTATAAAGGGACAACAATATTTTTTGCGAAAGACTGGAGCAGGAGATCTACATGTACATGTATTATAAGGTCCATGCACAACACGATATACTGTAATGCGGTCGACATACAGCAAGACAGTGCGTAAAAAAAAAGTCAGTTATCGCACTCTTAGCTAGGGACCGGCGGATTCTGCTCGAAAAGGTGGCAGATTCTGCTCGAAAAGCAGTAAAATTGGCAGAACCATACAAACCTTATGGTTTGGTTTTGGTTTGGTTTTTATTATTTCAGTTCGTTGCCTCAACAGTACAAAGTACAAATATCAAGAGGGACGAACGAAAAGAGAAAATAAAACAGAGCAGAGAGGAAGATGCAACTGAAAGGAAAGAAAAACGGAGAGAAACGGAGAAGGAATGTGGACTGGGCGGATTCATGAACCATTACTAGAGCAGGGCAATGCATGAACAGAAGGGGCAAGTCCTTCGATATTCATGTTTAGAAAATTCCAAGCCTTATTTTATTGGTGAAATACATTTTCAAAAAGGATGAATATGGCGGGCAATTACTCGAATTCTGCTCCATTTCTTTATCCACATACCAAACATGCATGAAACTTACCAGAAAAAGTGCCGAATTCTGCCAATTTTTCTGCCGGCAGAATCCGCTGGACCCTATATGGCTAGGCCTTTCCCAAATCGGCCGGCCGAAAAAATTCGCCGAAAAGTAGCCTTTTCAGAAAATCGCTGATCTTTTGGCCGAATTCTGAGATTTTACAAGAAATCGACGAATATACATGTACATGTTTTGCAGGGTCGTGGGCAACTGGGCATGACCGCTCGTGCGCGCCTGCGTCACGGCCCGTGGGCATTTCCCAAATCGGCCGGCCGAAGCATTGGCCGAGAATAATGGTTTTGAAGAAATCACCGATCTTTTAGCCGAATACGCAATTTTCGCACTGAATTCGCCGAAAATTGATGTTTTAGTGCCTCAATAGCATGCAAATACAATTTCTGTAGCCATTATCTGCGAAAGGTGGCTGCGACTTTAGAGCCGAATTTCCACCTTTTACAGAAATTGTCAGCCGATTCTGGCGATTTTTTCAGCCGCTCGAAAAGCCGAATAGGCCAAAATAAATGGCCGATTTGGGAAAGGCCTATACATGTATATGGCAGGCATTCCTGGCAAATATAGCTCAGAACCAGTGTCAAGTCTGGGAAAGAGAAAAACGGATTATGCAGCATCCTTATTATCGTAGGCATGCAGTTAGCTGCAGTAGGTAAACCCTCTTCACCAAAGAGAATCTTTATGTGGAGCTGGCTATAACCATGGCAACAGTAACAGTACCATGGCAGCCGTACAGTGTCAGAGTTACACTCAGTACTCTATATGCTGGAGAGCACATTAAGGATCAGCCACCAGCTGCTGTGGCTCGGACAGCAACCTGCCGTTGTCGCCATGCTGTGAGGACAAGTACAGCGGACGAAGCTTGCTACTCTGGCGAACAGCCTGTACAAACTGGGCTATTACACGTCGTTTCTCCGATTTAGGACCGTAATGAACAGGACTTCATCATGCGTTATCAAAGGCAATCATGCACCATACAGGATTTTAAATTACAAAGAGTGAGGACCATAATTTACAAGTTATCCATTTTTGTCCAAGAGTAACGATTATAAGCAGGATAATGCCATTATGGTCAGTCAAAATGTGCAACAATTAGCACAAAACCGACTGATGTGATACTGACGTTCAACGACCTGATGCTTAGCTGTATCACGGATGGAATGCGCAAACCAACAGCTTTCCAACTTGGAAAGTTGTAAGTTGCGAAGTAACGTACGAAAAGGGGACGTTGAGCGCACTCTAGACGAAAACAAGCTAAACCATCACAGCGAACTACATGTAATTCGAAATAAGAATGTTAGCTATGACAAGATGATGACGAAGGACGAAAGACCACGGCACAGGTCGGCCACGGCTCACTTCGAAAACGCGAAACAACGACCACCCGACTTGGGAGGCTCATGTTATCAGAGATAAGCAAAAGAGGTTGTTCTTTTAATATACAGGATTTCATTGGCATTGTTCAGCATTAGCTACAATGCACATGCCACAAGTGCTACTTAGAGTCATGGGCATAACAAATAATGACCTCATCCCGTCATAGGTATAACAAGCCATGACCTCATCCAGTTACAGGAATAACAAGCAATGAAATCATCCAGTCATGGATAACAAGCTCCAACAAAATGAATGTGACGTATTTTTAAAATGGCAAAGAAAAAAACAAATTCTGCATTCACAACAATACGTAGCAGATAGATGTGCTAATTTCCAAAACGTTTTCGCGTGACACTCATCAGTGCAAAGTCGTCACTAAATCAGGAATTACCGATACAATCTTTATAGGCAAAATGTTTAGGTTTTTTTTACACTTAGAGTGACCGTACCCATCCACACATCCAAACATTTCCTATTTTAAAACATAGTCAAGTGGTGTGCTTCACTGTCCGAAGAGTGCTCAATGCTCAATGCCCATGTAGGGCAGAGCCTTGTACACAAGAGAGAGAGATGGGAAGCTTTGTCACAACTCAGAGTTGTAACAAAGCTTCCCATCTCTTTCTTGTGTAATTAAATACATATCCATTTATCACTACCTTTCACAAGCTACATGCATGATGCTATTGTTGGCTGTGACGTGTTGCTGTTGTTTTACGTTATGATTATTTTGTCACTCTATAAAAGTGTAAAAACTCCTTTTAAAAACATTTTGGCTACCGGTACTATATTGATTGTTTTGGTTATTCCTAATTTAGTGACGGCTTTCCACTGATGATTGTCACGCGGAAACGTTTTGGAAATTAGTACATCTGTCTTCTACATTGTTTAAAATATGAATGCACAATGGTGCGACGTGTTTCTCGCGTGCTCCGGGTGGCAGTCGTGAATCAGTCAAGGGTCAAGTTCGGCAGGAAGCGTGTGTTTCTCGTTGGGACAATCAACTTCATCACTAACATTGTAAGTCTGGATATATACAGGAACATGGAAGTCGTCCAGTGTGCTCAGGCGCGTGCTCGGCGATGGGCACGGGGGCACGTGCACCCCCCAAAAATTTTCAATCTGGGTAATTGCAATTGTAATGTATGCAACTATGCTCTAAATTCAAGAAAGGTTGCAAACAAATTGCAGAAAATTGCGGGGGGGGGCTCCCCTCGGCTCCCGTGCACCCCCCCTAGTAGGGGGGCCGAGCACGCCCCTGGTGCTACTATTTTAATATTAATTTACAAATATTACACAGCAATGAATCAAACAAGTCTCTTTCCGCTGTTACTCCGAGTTTCGTGTGAAAACACTTCATCAGACAGTAGGCACCGGCGGATTATGCCGGCATAATTATTGGCATAACTGGGTGGTTTAAAATTTGGAGCACAATTTTAGACGTCAACATTCAACGGAAGACGCTCTGGTTTTCGTCACGGACACGTTTGTTCGCGCTCGCGATGCCGGACAACATACTGGTGCTGTGCTCGTGGATATGTCCAAAGCATTTGACAAGGTCAGGTACCAAGTGCTCATTAATGATTTGTTTGAGCTTGGCATATCTGGTTCAGCATTAGTTTGGTTTGCCGACTATTTGTCCAATCGTCGCCAAATAGTGCACATTGCTGAGAACTATAGCCCTCCTTTCCCCTGCATGTGTGGCGTTCCCCAGGGCTCTGTTCTTGGTCCGCTGCTTTTTGTACTCTATGTTCGTTCGATCCAGTCCATTGTCTCCGAGTTTTGTGTGAAAGTTATTCAATTTGCTGACGATATTCTATTGTATGTTTGCGGTACGCAGAAGAATGCGCTTAGCAACTCCCTGTCTGCAGCTGTCTCAGCCATTAGTACCTGGCTGTCAAACCGCAATTTAATTCTAAATGCCCGGAAGACACAAGTGCTCTTCCTGTCTACGCCACATATTACTGACCACCAATTTGCAGTCTACTGTCATGGAGTGCAGCTCAAGCAAGTGACATGTGCAAAGTACCTTGGAATACATTTGGACCAGGATCTTTCTTGGAGGACTCAAGTTGATTCTATGGTCACGAAACTTGCCAGTAAAATTGGTATTCTGTTCCGAAATCGACACAATATTCCGCTGACTTGCCGAGAAACCTTTGTAAAGTGCCTAGTGTTGCCATATTTTCTGTATGCATCAAATTGTTTTTCTGCTGGCCTTTCCTTAACCCAGTTAGGTAGGCTTGAACGAATGCTAAAGCGAGCTTTGCGTTCAGTGTATGATACTGGTTTTTGTAGCCCATCAAGCCCTTTATTTGCGAGACTTGGTCTAGATCGTTTGGCATCCATGTACTGCAAGAAATTACTGTATCTGACGTGGCGCTGTTTGGAAGGCCGCTGTAGTGTCACATTAAGTCAAATGTTCGAGCGTTTAAATAATGGTCTTGCAACGCGCAGCCTTTTATCACGCACTCTTAAGTTGCCCATGCTCAGAACTGCCTTTGCCCGTCATGGCGCTTCCTTCCAATGTGCTAAGCTGTGGAATGATTTGCACCCTCGAGCTCGCTGTGTGGATAACTCCGCCCGTTTTAAGAAACTGTTACCCCAAAGCCTTGCTTTTTCACGCTAGTAATTATGCCTTTCAGCTATGCAAAATGCGAACATGATCACCTATCCAATACCGGTAGTCTATTATATTAATTATTCATATCTTTTTTGCATCTTTCCCTCTAGTGGGTCTATTGTTATTAGGCAATTGTCTGTTATAGTCACCACTATAAATAAAAATCCAATCCAATCCAATCCAATTTGGCATCCTTTCGGAGGTAGGAGCATAACTACATTGTATATGATTGTACCACAGGTCTAGTACATGTATGTAGGCTACAGAATTGTGTACAATGCACCTGATCAATGCTGGTTGTCTGCATTGTACATGTAAAGAGCTTGGAGGTCATGCAGATAGTGGTTTCAGTGAAAAGCAGCGTTTTATGAGGTATCCCGGGGTGGACGAGACATTAGTGACGGGTAGTCCGCAAGTGACGGGTAGTCCGCAAGTGAATCGTAGTCCGCAAGTGACGGGTGGTCCGCAAGTGACGGGTAGTCCGCAAGTGACGGGTAGTCCGCAAGTGACGGGTAGTCCGCAAGTGACGGGTAGTCCGCAAGTGACGGGTAGTCCGCAAACGGACTCTGCGTAGATCCACATGTACTGTACATGCACATTATTCATGATACGAAGTCGGGACCTCGCGGGATTTTAGCAGCCGTGGCCGTTCAGGCTATGGATATTGCTCTAATAATTAGAAAATAATTCCAAAATATCAAGTGAGGTATTGTTGATGTTCGATCATGATGGAAGGAGAGGTGGAGCTACGAGAGAGATGAGCTGATTATTCGCAGGGTGAGGTTGATATTTTGGTTGGACGAGTATGACGATTACGAAGGCAGTCAGTTGAACATGATAATTTTGAAAGGTCACTCAAACAAAATTTATCAATGAAAAATCTTTTTACAAAAGAAGTCAACTAGTGAATTGAAGATTCAATGTTTTCTCTTTTCTTTGTTGATCTCTAGCATGCTTGTGTTAGATAGGAATGCATAATGATGACACGCAGATGTACTTGACTTGTTACGCCAGCCTCACCTTTTATCCTCTTTTACATGCACTACTATTAGTACTAATACTATGTGCTGTATTCATGTATTGTTCCCACACACTTTCTAGGTTGACCTTACACTCCATTCATCGGAAACTGGCCCGCTGGCTTTTGAAAGTCGGATTTGGGCCGAATTGAGGATCAAAACCCCACTTTAAATCTCAAAAATCTGGGTTTTGGATCTGCTTCTCCATACATTTTGCCATGACATACCTGTCCTAATTTTGTAAAACCTGGCTGAATTTCTATTTCCCTGTTCTTGGACTTTTCTGGCCTCACATGTGGCAAGGAGTAATTGCACGGGTCACACAATGCAGGCTGTACTGTTGTTTTCACGATATCTACAACTATGTGAGAGACACACCAAAAAGTTAGGGTGCCAGTTTCCAATGAATGGACTGTAGATAGCACATTGTAGACCTTTCTGATGCACTTCACTTTCAGCCGCCATTTTAGTTATCTACACATACTATTACTAACATACATGTACATACATCCTAATGCCCCTTTCAACAGTTGTCTACCTGGTATTATTGCACACCTATATGTATACGATGTATTCTACACCCTTCTATTCAGTTCTTCCTCTACAACGTATTCCTCTTGCGCAGGTGCCATGTCCCGACCTTTCCCATTCTTCTGCCCACACAATCATGTACTGTAAAAGCCATATTATATAACAAAGTGCTAACTCTAACGAGTTAACGAGGAGAAATCTGTCGTTAAAATAGAAATCGATACATATACTGTCCTATTCAGCGATGAGAATGAGTGAGAATCGTTACCTTTGGTACACGTAAACCAGTCAATTTTGGGAAATCGTTATATACATGTATGCGCCTCGTTAGAATAATGGCTTTTACAGTACCTTGTGGTTTGACCTTTCTTCTTACTTCTCTCTGCTCTACGTATCCCCTGACCATAGGCTAGCTTACTTACAATAATTCTCACCCTATAAAAGCTGCTGCCTTTCTATTTTCCTACAGATCAGTTCCCTGCATCTTAGTTCCATGCTAGATTCTACCTATTACCTGAAAATCCTCCTTCTCTCTCTCTCTGAATAAGTGTGAAATTCCGTATGAGAACTAGCCCTTGGCCGATTATGCCGGCATAATATTTGGCATAATCTTGGGATTTCGTCAACAAATTATGCTCCGGCAAAATATACGGATTCCAACGTGTAAGGTCGGCATAATCTTTCGGTTTAGACAAAAATTATGCTTAGGGCATGGCCGTGTGTGTATACGTGGTTTCTCAATCCTCTATGTACAGCGTGAATACATAGTGGAACCGAGCATAATTCAGCATATTTGTTGGCATAATTGTGGCATAATCATAAGCATAATTTGACGATTGGCCGAGCATAGTCCGCCAATGGCTAATGAGAACCATTACCCATTACTGTACCCTCTTGATCGACTGGCATAATGCGAGAATCCATGAAAGCACAATTCCATGATTTCGCGAGCATAATCCACCAGAGCGTATCAGACAGCATATGACCAAGACTAACAATCACTAGAATATACGGAGGGTCTTGATAGAAGAGGGCAGAGGTGGTGGAGGTACATTTCAATAGCGCGAGGGAAATGGGTGACAAAAATCAGCGTGAATAAATTATCGTATCCGTTCCCGAAGGGAACTCACGACGGCCACTAACACCCGATAAACCCTAGTGGCAGATGCAGCGCCTAACGCACGGTGGGGGTGAGTGGGCAAGTCTCACAACAACTGGCACAAGTGCCGAAAACGACCCCATTAGCTGCATCCATGCGTGATTACAAGAGGAAAAAGATGTATAGAGTATATCCAGGGTAAAGGAACAGCGCGATTCTCTGGCAAAAAAATATTAATTTATACATGCACGAAGAGAAGTTGAGAAATTCAGCGATAGAAAACATCAAGGTACGTCGGTCAAACATCTTTGAAAATTACCAAACTCACGGAATCTTTTGAAAGTCCACAGTCGCCTCATACTGAAGTTATTTTATAAAGACCGCCCTTATTCCTCTCAGTGCCTCTACAATCTCGCTCATGCGTGCCCCCTTGCTGCCCGACGTCGTTGCCATCTCTGCATGCTTATTCACCGGCAAAATTCGCTTAGGTAAGGTTACCCAGTGCATCTCACGCTTTACAACTGCTTTTCACAATCTAGCACCACCTGTAATATTTTCTGGATCCAAGCTATTCTTATCTACCCTCTCATATCAAGTCTTCTATCAATGAGTTTATCAACCAGCTCTCCTTTAGAGACGCAAGCAGCTGATGCACTATTGTACAACGCTGTCAAATGCAATTTTTTCATTTTCTTTCTCTCTGTCCACTCTGTATAATCTATTCTGACATGGTTGGCAATCACCTTTCATCTCAACTGGTTAACTGGCCGGCTGTTGACGTGCCAGGAGATGTTGTCTAAATGAATACTAAAGTAAATGAATATTATAAAGTACAGAACACTCAAGTCTGTGGACAGCAACTGTTTCGCTCTGTGTGAACTCCTCAGCACAGCTCAGAGGACCGAAGCGCAGCTCTTCGCAATGAAATACGTTTCCGTGAAGCAAAGCATTTTTTATAAAGAGCTGCAAACCCCGCCAAGAGTGCTCGAAATGCTCCAAGAGCAGTGAGCGTTGAAGCAAGGCGAGCGGCAAGGGTAAGAGTGCTCAACCTAACGACATTGCTGACGCTCTGTCTAGAGTACAGAACATAAATAATAAAAGCTGTGGTTATGTTACTACTTGTCCAGAAGTGTGTAACAGCTAACACAGTCGCCTGGAAACAAAAACAAAGGAGGTTTAGTTGACTTTAAGAAAACGCCACCTAGAAGACTAACACTAGTGTCAGTAGCATGCACAACACAGCCACGGTGCACGTCATATGGTACCTTTGCTACTTTCACCCACTGTCTATCACACTGCTTGTACTGTGGGTTGCTCGTTTTGGCGTGCCGTCTGTTAACATGACTGACCGTGGTTCGAATTTCGAATCGGCTCTCTTCCAGCAGCTAATGCATCTTCTTGGTACTAATCGCTGTCGTACTACTGCCTATCATCCGCAGGCTAACGGCTTAGTCGAGCACTTCCATCGCGAACTGAAGGCCGCCATCAAAGCGCAACCACAGCCGCACCAGTGGGTCGCTGCACTGCCTCTCGTTCTCCTCGGTATCCGGTCATCTCTCCGGACTGATCTCGGCTGCAGCTCTGCCGAGCTCGTTCATGGTTCAACGCTCCGTCTCCCAGGCGACTTCCTTGCTCCCACTCCCAATGACAACTGGGTGCCTACTGCTGAATATGTTGCACGTCTTCGGGACACGATGTCTTCTATCCGACCAGCTCAGGTTAACACTCGCCTTCAGGCCCGACCAGTCCCTTTTGTCAGTGCTGACCTCTCCACATGCACTCCTGTTTACGTCCGCGTTGATGGACACCGTCAGCCACTCCATGCTCCTTATACCGGTCCTCATCGTGTTCTTTCCCATTAGGCCAAGTCTCTGGTGGTTGAGTTGAATGGTCGAGAGGACACCATCCCCATTGGCCACGTGAAACCCGCGTATGGAGCTGCCAGTCTAAGTGCTGCGGTTGCTTCTTCCATTGCTGCTCCTAGCTCTCCCCTTTCTGCTAAACCATTTGTTCGGCGCGTTCATTTTTCTGTTTAATATTTCCTCGGCTTTTCCTTTTCCGTGTCTTTCCCTTTCTTATCGTGTACCGCTCCTGCTTGTACACTGGCGGGGGAGTATCTGTAGTGCCTGCACGGATTTCTTGCGATTTATCTTTCGTTCCGCGATTTCGTAATTTTGTGCATTTCTCAAGCTTCTGCGCGGCAGCATTTTGTTTACAGGATGTAGCCTTTATCATGTTGCCATTGTCGGTTACGTAGAGTACCATGCTACGCATGACTCTCGGAACGTTGCGCAGATGTACTACTTCCTGTGAACTCTGCTACATGCTTATGTACTCTACCATAATTATGTGTATACAATTGTTTTGTTGTTGTTCCACCAAGTATCCTTTACGAGGATCTACCTCTGGCATTGAAAGTCGGCTCAGGCTTTCTTCTTCTTGCTTTTCCACTTCTGGACTTCTGGCAGTAGTCTGTGGTTTGTCTCTGCACGTAGAATTCTTCCCTCGTTGGACTTTCTCCTTGCCATTTCCTGTGTGCAATATGCCGATTCTCGCTGACTCGATACTGGGAGTTAATTGTTACAAAAGAACATTGTCTGCTGTACGCGTGCTTAGAGGCGCGTTTCCAAACCCTCTAGAGTAGTCTCCTGGCGGTCACGGATCGTGGTCACGCGTGGCTTCATACTCATAGTCTCCACACCATCATGCACCTCAGTTACTTGTTCGCTTGCAGTTTGTAGGCGGTCATGGATCTCAGTTACCTGCTCGCTTGTAGTCTGGAGGCGGTCATGGATATCAGTTACCTGCTCGCTTGTAGTCTGGAGGCGGTCATGGATCTCAGTTACCTGTTCGCTTGCAGTCTGGAGGCGGTCATGGATCTCAGTTACCTGCTGGTTCGTAGTCTGCAGTTGGTCACGGATAGCGGTGGTTTCCAGCTGAGTGTCGACAAGACGCTGTGTGATGGTGCTGAGTTGGTCCTCTACTGCAGAGCTGCGTGCGGTGATGTCAGCAATGCATGTAGCTTGCTGGCTTAGCTGCTGGGAAATCGACTCTAGTTGCCTGGTAACCCGTGTACCAGCAGTGATAGGCTGACTCTGTACAACACCATCAAAAACACACAGCAGACACACACACACACACACACACACACACACACACACACACACACACACACACACACACACACACATAGATGGACGGACAGACAGGCCAAAAGGCACACAGACAGAAACATGGGCATACAGGCAACACATTATTCATTATTGATCCGTAATGGTTGTGAACGGCTTTGGATGTTGTGCAGGAATCACAACTTTGTAGGATTAGTGCTTATGAACATAAAAATGATAATAATTCTGATGATAAGATCAGGTGGTCACTGATACCGTAATGTACTGTAGACAGGCCCCCTTTCTAATTCCCCCCCCCCCCCCCCCTCTCCAATTTCTGCCGCGGCAAGTTTCTGCCCATGAAGCGACTTCAGCGTATACATTGAAGTACATGTAAAATAATAATTATGGTGTCCAATCGACGCATGCACTGCTGTACACTGTACGTGACAGTGCAGGTTTTAAGACTAAGAGTGCACAATCCAACATACCCGGTCTGACCTTCCGCGTTGTTGTCGTTGTTGTACAGTGTACTGTATTTGACAGCCCGGATCTCCCGTCCCCTGCTGAAAACCCAGCTGGGAAGCGACATGGTGTGTGTGTGGGGGGGGGGGGGGGAGGGGGGGGGGCAGTTCAACGGTACTCTACTGTACCAGAGGTCGCTGAACCCAGGTTTTACTGTATCTGTTCCTCTAGCCAGTGTAGGTGTAAGAACTCCCCGTGTCGTCGACTGTAAAACATGTATATTACAGTTGAAAGTAGTTGGGTGGACACACCCACTCTCAAAGCAGTCTACAGGACCAAACCAATTCTGAACGTGCGTTTCGGCAATATCGCCATCGTCAGGTACGAATGCCACAACACATCAGTTGAGCTTGAGTAGGCTGATGTCTGCTCCGGGAGCACTGCATTTCATGTATGTACAGTGCTCTCCGAGCCAAAACATCACACAACTCCATTTGCGACATTGACTCACGCTGCTGCCTGGCGCTCGCGAGGTGTTTATTACGCTGGAACTGCGGAGCGTCACTGTAAGTTGGTATCGCTAGTGATGTTTTAGCTCGGAGAGAACTACATAATCCCGAAACCCTGTGTATTGAGCAGGGAGTAGTGCATTCTTGCAGGTTTGCCGAGTGGAAGGTTCGACGAGCTTCTCGTGTGCTCCAGACGCAGTGGTGGATCAGGCAAGTGTCAAATCAGTCGGCAGGAAGCGCGAGCTCCGAAGTTCCGAGCAGACACTTTCTTCACTAATCACCGCCTATGTCGCAACATCTTTCGTACTATCATGATTTCTTCGCAAAAATGATACAAAATTGAATCAAAATAAGCATATCGATCGCTTACCAGGGACAAATCACGTGCCAGCTTTACCGTGTCCAGAACTATCTCGTGCAGATCCTCAGCCCTGGGGCGATCATCTGCAATGACTGCCAGGCAGCGAACGATTGCAGGCTTGAGTGGATGGCCAGCTGGTATTCTTCCCAAATCAACACGGCGCCGCTCGACTTCGCTGATAGGGGTGACGGTCTCTTCACTTGTTCCGTCTGCTCGTTGTACAATCTGTCTGATGTGCCTTGGTGAGGTGTGCAAGTCTGTCGAGGGTTCAACACCGGTCAGGACGCTCGTAGCCAGCACGCCAAAAGAAAAGATGTCCAGTGATTCGTCGTATACCGGAGGGTTTTGTAGAGCCTCCGGCGGCATGTAAAGCGCATTCCCTGGACATGCTGTCAGATCTGGCAACAAGCCAACCAAATCCGCAGGATTTGTTGCGCGCAGTCTCGCACAACCAAAGTCACAGAGCTTCGCGATCTGGTCCTTGATCAAGACATTCCGTAAAGTTAGGTCACGATGAATCACTGGTGGATCTCTGCTGTGGAGATAACGAACGCCCGCCATTGCATCAGCCAGGAACGATAGCAGGGTGACATTGTCCAACCGATCTGGACCCACGCTACATTCATATAGTGTACGATCCAATAGCTCCACTACTAAAACTGGCAGACGACGATCTTCAGTGACCGCAACACCGATAATTTGACAAAGATGAGGGTGATGGAGTTGAGACAGTCTGGCTATTTCAGCGCCAAATCGCCAAAGTCTCTTATCTCTCCCCTCCAAACCTGTTTGGACAAGGTTCGGATGCAACACCTTTGCAGCAACCGGTATGCCTTGCCATACTACTCGATACACAGCAGCATCGGAACCACGGCCAATCTCATCCTCATCTCTAACGGTAAAAGTACCATGGTAGGCGATTTGCCCTTTGCCCAAGCCTAGATCTCGTAACAACACCGCTTCAGGCGTTGCCATCGACATCGCTCTGGCCAAGACAGACGAGCCAGACAGAGTGGAGGATGTCCCAAAGCCAAGCGTGTGGTTGATCTATAAGAGCATGGGCTTCTAGACTCAAAATAATACTAAAAAAGCCAGCTCAGTTGACAGTCGATCTGCGCTCTGGTCCGCGCGGTGGATCTTTTATACGTCTGTCGTTTTGGAGTTTTGTTTCGAACTAGGGTAGATGGGTTTAGGAGCGCGAAGGACTATGGCCGGGTTCCACTGCGGCTATAGCTAGCGTCCGCGTTGCGTGAGCCAGAAACGCATGCTGAGCCTGACGCGAAGCGACTTGGTTCCACACTCGTTCGTCACGCGAGTGGCATGCGGCTCGATGTGGTCACCTAAAGGCGAAGTAAAGGTTCCTTCACGAGTATGATAATTATGAGGGCAGTGCCGTGGATGAACAACGGTACTACAACAATTGCAGTTTGTACCCGGCTGTGACCATGGTGACTGAGTATGAGTATACCTATGAGTGACTGGTACGTGTTTCCCCTCGTGGAGATCATTCACAATCTGTGACTCAGTGTGAGTTATTAGTACAATGGCTATGTGCAGTACATGTATATGTATATGCACCATTCCAAGGTGGTTAAAGTACAGGTTCCTTCACGAGTATGGGGGTAGTAATTCATTAGGGAGTTGTAGCAACTCGTTGACGAGAGCGAAAACGAGTGACAGGCATTCGTTTCGCGCGCAAGTCGTTATCCATTGCCGCTCAGTTTAGCAACTCGTTCACCCCTCGTAAACGAAAGAAGTAAGTGCACTAGTTTATACTCGTAGTCGATATGCGCAAGCACTTTACTTGCCCAGAAATGGTGCGCTGAAATGCGTACCACTGAGCAGGAGCTCGAATCTTGTCCAGAGCGTGTTGTGCGAGCGTAGAGGAAATAGAAAATTAGTTTGGTGTTGCGGCTGAGCTTGTCTAAACCAAGCCGAGGGAGCATCTCCAAACAATGCGCGCCGCGGGTTTTCCCCATCCAGTGCAAAGAAAAACAAGACTATTTCCCCCTCATCAATAATGATCTTCTCGCCGTATGCCAGAAGATAGTGACGAGCCTCGAAATCATCAACCAGCAAAAGAAAGCAAGAGTATGGATTTGCACTATTCTTGAAGTTTCCTTCTTCGTTCTCAAATCAAACTCTTTTTGAAAAAATCTGCATGCCGCTCGTTTGTTACCGGTATTGAAATAAAATCAAAAAAATGACTCGTAGACCATCTATGTCACAACGAATCAACTGCCCCTGATTCGTACAGACCGAACTCAGATTATCGCGCGAAACGAGACTTGAACCCAGGCACCCGAGTCAACCAAGAACTCTCTACTATCTACTCTAGATCTATTACTCGCACTCTCTACTACTGTAGTGTAGTTTGTACCCGACTATGACGTATGACTGGAACGTGTTCCTCGTCTGCACCCAACGTCCCAAGCCAAGGAGATCGTTCACAATCTGTGAGTTATTAGTAAATAAATTAATGTGAGTGAGAGTGAGCTATCAGTCCTTCAGTTCCCGACTCGCTCGGGTGGCCTTGCGATACCGTCAGTGATCCAGGATGACCCGGGGAGCGCTTGATACATGCAGACCAGGCAGCCCAGGTCGATGCGATAGGCTGGGGCAAAACGATACATCATCTCCCTCAATTATTTCCATTGAACATGTACATGCTTGCTATTCTGCCAAGCGGGCCAAAGCAGTTGCCGCCGATTGTCGCCTGGAAGCGGACGCGCTTAGGCATGCTGAGGTGAAGAAGGCCTTGCCTCCGTCAACTGTTCGCCAGTTAGAGCACCTTTCTTCCAAGGGTGTCTCTACCTGGCTTTAAAAATGCTCTGCCGCTGAAAGAGTATGGCTTCAACCTTCCGAAATGTGACTTTCGCGATGCCATTCGCGATCACGTGACGACGAGCACAGGATTCTGGTTCCTGCCTGGCGTCAAGTGACGACGGGCAGTGGAACCAGTTCCATCGCCGTTCAGCAGCGGGCAGGACAGTACAGGCACAGGTGTAGTATGCGTGGTCCGAGGGAAAGGAGGCAACCACCCACACTAGGTCAATGAACGTATTTATAGAACTAACCCCGGCACGACCTGGAGGTTATCTTATAATAGTCCGAAGTGAACAGCCCAAAGTGAAGAGAACTCTCCCCCCCCCCTTCTCTCTCTCTCTCTCTCTCTCTCTCTCTCTCTCTCTCTCTCTCTTTCTCTCTCTCTCCATCTATCTATCTCTATCACTATCCATCTATCTCTGTCTATATGCTGCTCTAGTGCTGCTGCATCACGCAATGCCCTACTTTTTGTAGTTTGAGCAATCTGGCGCAAGAGCAACGAGCTATCTTTAAAATGTCTGTTGTGCCTCCTTGGCACCATGGCTGATAGCTCGGCCTTTATGGCCGAAACAGCTTGCTGTCTACAGCATTGGGTATTATAAAAATAATAATTATACCTCTTTCTCTCTCCCTCTCTCTTTTATCTATCTATCTATCTCTCTGTCTCACACAAAAAGCACAACGGAGGTTTACAGAGTTGTCGCAACTCAGAGTTTCTTGAATGCTGGCTCCGTCGAGCCGATGTAGTGTTTGGTTTGGTCGTTGTCTTCTCTGGTGAGCTTGTATCTGCCGACACGCCAACAAATTCCTACTCAAGAACCCCAGTGCAGCCCTGACATAATCACAGGTCCATCATGCATGAAGAGACGCCGAGCCTACAGCAACATCAGCAAGAGATGCAACCTCTGCCTGGAAGAGAAACTGCAGAACATCACCGCTAACAAGACGACGCTACTGAACAAGAGGAGTGAGCTGGTATCTAATAAATGCCGACACGCCAACAAATTCCTACCCTAGAACCCCAGTGCAGCCCTGACATAATCACAGGTGTGCAACTACCCCAATACAAACATAATGCACACTATGCACACACACATACAATCATGTACATGCACATACACACTTGCGTGCACTTGCAAAACAAACATAATACTACTGTGACATCCGATTTCTATCAATACGATTCCCACATATTTGTTCTGATAATTAGAACCTCGAACTGGCATTTTGAGGTTCGAATTACATGTATCAGGATTCCACCTGTAGTACCAAGATGGCAAGAGCCCATAACCCCGCCGTTACCCCGGGGTTATGAACTTATGAACTCTTGCTAGTAGCAGTACCGGTAAATGCTGTGGGCTTGCATCCATGGAAACGCCTCTGTCCTCCTTGTCAAGCCACAGTTTCTGGATGAGGCCACCAGCCTATTTGCTGGAACTGGAATTGACATCCGCACAGATGGATGTCGGCATCTGGGAGCCGCGCTTGGCTCAGCAGAATTCTCCCGCTGCTTTATGGAGCGCAAGGTTCAATCCTGGGTAGAGGAGGTGATGTCGCTCAGCACTATTGCTTCGTCACAGCCCCAAGCTGCATATGCAGCGTTTGTTCACGGCCTGCGAAGCAAATGGTCCTTCCTGTCTCGAGTCATGGCTGACCTACATTTGTACATGCAGCCCTTGGAGGATTCCATCAAAAGCAAGTTCATCCCCGCTCTCTTAGTCTTAGGTGGCAGGACCGTCAACGATGATGAGCGACAGCTTCTGGCTCTGCCCTGTCGACATGGTGGTCTGGGGCTCATCACACCTGCCTCCCTCGGGGCCCAGTACGCCCACTCCAAGACCATCGTTGGCCCCCTGGTGCGGCGCATTCAGCAGCAGACTGCCACGCTTGGCGATGCCCTGCAGGAAGTGCGGAAGAACAAGCAGCTGTTGAGGGCGAAGGCAAAGACATCACTCCAAGCCGAGGCCGTCGCTCTGCATTCTGCCGCACCTCCAGAGGTTCAACGTACCATCGACCTTGCTTCGGAGCGGGGGGCATCCAGCTGGCTCACGTGCCGGCCCCTAAAGGCCCACGGCTTCACCCTCACGAAGGCTGAGTTCCGCGATGCTGTGCACCTCCGGTATGGCTGGCATCCAGTACGACTGCCAACATCATGTTCCTGTGGACAGCAGTTCACCGTCAGCCATGCCCTCTCCTGCCCGTTAGGTGGTTTCCCAACCCTCCGCCACAACGAGGTACGCGACGTGACAGCTTGCCTTGCGAAGCGTGTTGGCCGCCAGGTGGCTATTGAGCCACATCTGCAGCCGCTCACTGGAGAGCAGCTCCGGTACCGTACTGCTGTGGGCGACGACCAAGCCCGCCTTGACGTGGTGGCTAGTGGTATTTGGGGAGGGCGGTTCGAGCGCACCTACATTGATGTCCGGGTGTTTAACCCTTTTGCGTCCTCGAATCGCCTCAACTCACTTGCTGCTAGCTACACCCGTCACGAAAAAGCCAAGCGCCGTGCCTATGAGCAGAGAATCCGAGAAGTGGAACACTCCAGCTTTGTTCCCGCCGTGTTCTCCACTACGGGAGGCATGGGGAAATCTGCCACCTCTCTGTACAAGAGGATAGCGTCCCTCATCGCCGACAAGACCGGAGAGGCCTACAGTGCCGTGAAGGCTTCGATCCGGTGTCAGATCAGCTTTGCCTTGGTCCGATCCGGTGTGATGTGCCTGAGCCGGGGGTGCAAGGCGGCTCTATGCACCGGTCTTTGCCGCGGACTCAGCTGCTCTTGTTGTTGCCGAGGCAGCTATCCCCTGTTGAGGTTGATGGCCATGCTCATTTATACCATGTTCTCATAATTTCTGCTTTTCGTGTCATTCTTGCTTCTTGTCACGGTTTGTTTGTTCTCCTCTAGTTCTCTTATGTTCGCGGAGAAGGCGGAGAGCCGGAACACAGAACCTCTTATTTTTAATTTTTTCTTTAATTATTTACTTTTTTTACCAGGCGTGGGCCATCCCCTACAATTCCCTGATCATAGGTGCCAACAAGAGTCCATAACCCCCGGGGGGTTATGGACTCTTGGTGCCAAACATTTTACGTTTTTCAGAGGAAACACGGAGCATCAGCAAATCGAATATTCGAATGAAATTCGAGAATCGTCACGAAAAGCACTCAATCAGTCGAAACTAGGGCTTTGTTCGACTGAAAAATGCCCGCAAACAGAAAATACTTTTCGAATGCTCCGCGCGTGCTCTAGTACACGGCGCACTACGAGTACTCATTCTTGCGCATGTAGCTACTAGTTCTTACTAAAGTACTAGTCCGGACTTCTTGTCAATCTTGACGCTTTCCTCTCTCTCGAACTGTGAAAAGTTTTATCAAGTGTGCATTTTGTTTCATTTCAAGTATCCTGGAATCATGGCTTTGTCACCAACTACCAGCCCCGGTATGCCTCCTGCTCCCAGTACTGCAGTAGCCCTGCTGGCGTTGTCTCGGCATCTGCGTCTATGGTGAGTTCCCCGCAGGGAGAGGGCAACTCAAAGTGTGCCAAATATTTGAGGGTCGACCTTACCATGGATCTCATTCTGCTGAGGCAGTGTAGGGCCCACCCTCACCTATTCGTCCGCGGGTCTCCTGATATGCAAGGGATAGCGGAGGAGCTCGGCCGAGATCCGCCTTTTCAAGGGGTCTCCAAGAGAGATCCTATCGCCAATAGCCTGAATCGGATGAAGCATCCGCCGCTTCGCGTCATCCCCAAAGGCAATGAGAAACAACAGCAACTCCGTTCATTGCACATCTAAATCCCAGTCCTCAACTGCTCAAGCTAAAAAAAACTCGATTCGAAAATACTGGACTGCGCTACATGCTGAACCTCTTTTTCATTCGAATTTTCTCTCTGATTTTCTTTTTGCCATTCGAATAATCAAATCGAAAATTCGATTTGCTGATGCTCCGTAACACCAGAAATTTTCACATTTTTCAAAACAAAAACAAATCCATGGAAACGCACAAGATGGCGCGGTGAATCACTTCTTTTCGCCGAGAAAAAAAACACCAGAAGAAACACTTTCGAGGATTTGTAGAGAGAATTTTGTATCAATCAAATTAATTGTCCATTTGGCCGAGTAGAGAGGTCGCGTTGTGCTGCAAGACGTAGTCCAAGGGCTTGTTTCAAGCTTTCTTGTCTCCGGAGAACAATACTCGTACTCAAGAAGACCCGGATCTTTCTCTCGTGCTGTCGGCTCACGAACGAGTAAAATATCCTGTATTATGGTGAGATTGTTTTGTCTAAAATGGTTGATTGTGTTTGAACGTTGGTCTTTCTCTCGCACTAGTCCTGGTGAGAACCAGATAACTGTGCATATACTTATACTGCCGTCATCTCGAGGCATTGGGCAAGGAGAACATCCGACAAGCATAACGACGCCACCCATATTAGTGCCGAGTACTCTGATGTAATTTTGATCGCGGAGATGATAACTAAAATACAATGGTGAACGCATGCAGTGGCGACTTGAAACGTGCGAACACAACTCGATACAGCACTCTACGATAAATTAATACACGTGAATAAATACGGAAGTCGTGGAGAATAAGATATTCTTAGTGTATTTTATTGTTTCTCTACGATCAAAAAAACAAACAAAAAACATTGCAACTCGGATGTTGAGCCATAAATAAATGTAAAAGAGAAAAGGACATATGGATACGATATGTTACAGTGATGGAGAGTTACTCTTAACTCGTATCCATATGTCCTTTTCTCTTTTACATTTAAAAAACATTGTACATTCGTCGCCAAAAAAATTCGGCCAATACTCTACTAGCTATATGGTGAAGGGAGCCATGGATAGGCCTCCGCGGAATGTGCCGGCATAATTTCGGGAATTATCGGTGTGAGTTTTAAAACGGGAATTATTGGCAATTTTTGGGGAATAATCGGTAAAATTTGAGCAATGCCCCCCTTTTTTCAATTTTTTCCATTTATAACACCCTGATTTGTACCAAAAAGCTTGTGATCGATCCTGAAGTTGATCGCCCGGTATTTCAAAAAAGAAAGGAAAAAAGCTTCCAGCCGAGTTTCACCCAAACCGTGATTTTTTGCCCGTACAAGTGGCAAAAAAAACCTCGTACGTGGTGCGGTATCTGCAAAAAGGGAAGAAAAAAAGCATTATTGTGAGAATTATTGGTGGAATTACGGGAATAATCGGTCGGAATTTTGAGCAATGCTCAAAGGAATTATCGGTAAAACTGCGAGCATATTCCGCGGAGGCCTAGCCATGGACCGCATGCACTACCACTACGGGTACTGGCACTACATGTAGTGCACTGCATATTCAATGACTACGTCCCCGCGTACACTCTGTGCAGTGCTGGTACAGTAAACGCATGCATGCCATACCATGCCACCGTGAAGCACCGCCGTGAAGCACCGCCGTGATCGCGTGCGTACCCTACCACAGTTTTATATGCATGGCGTTGGAATTGGCCTTCTACAGTAGAGTCGCGCGCTGAAGAACGTGGAGCCCAAGAACGTCCAGCCTGAAATTCTAAAAACGCCACAGCCTACAGCTAAGAACAGCGGTGTTGGTTTTCTGGCAGCTTATGGGATACATACATGTATGATCCAGAACGGATTGTTTCTAAGAACGTGCTATAAGAACGCAGCCAGATTGCTGACAAAATAAGAACGTCCCAGGCCTTGGAAACAACGTTCTTGGGCGCGCGACTCTACTGTAGGCGCCGTGGAAGGATGGCACATTCCGATGAAAGGCGTTTGTGCGAGAAGATCCTACGTGAAGCGCAACGGTTTCCACAGTGTTGTAACGTTCCTGCAAGGCGTCCGTGACTATGAGCTACTGTTTACGGACGTTCACTACAGTACTGTCGGTCGCCGAGGAACTGGGGGGGGGGGGGGGGGGGGGGGGGAGTCAACCTCCTAGCCTAGGCTGTTCTTATTTTCATGTATTATAGTTTATGCACAGTTCAATCACCGTGTATACATTGGTATGCTGTGCTTGGTGAAATCCTAACCTGGTTGTTCTTCAGCACCCGACAGTACTGTACGACTGGCCGGGCCACAGTGCACGCACTGCAGTGAAACCTGTCTAAGACGACCGCTGCTCAAGGGACCATCAACAACTTGGTCTCTGTTGCCAGGTGGTCTCCTGATCCACGGTCATTTGACTGGAAATCACATCCTTTGGTGCTGGTTTCAGTGGTCTTCTACAGTCCATTTCAAAACTATAGACGCGTAGGGTTTTTGAAATATTTCAAATTTGGCTGGAACGTTTTGAGAATAGTTTTCGGAATATTGCTCAGGTCCGCTCCACAATTACTCTCATATAGTTTCTAAACGATTGGATAACAGACGCCCAATTTGGAAAAAATTATGCACAAAGCGATCACAGATTTTATGTGGTATAGATGCTGGCATAACGGTTTTTGCCTAGGTACGCGTCTATAGTTTTGAAATGGACTGTAGGACAGGTGGTTGCCTTATCCGAGTGGTCGCCTTGACATGCTTTACTGTAGGCCGTTGTCAGTCCTGTGCGGTGAATACTGTGGTGTTGATCTTCAATGAATGGACGCATTCGATTGCACGTTCTTTACCATAGTTTGAAAATGCTCGAATGTAAATCTGTGTAACCGAACGGTGTATGCATCTTTCAGAGTTCTGGAATGTGCCGAATTATAAATCCAGCGCCCATTAATGTACCCAATGCGAGCCATAATGCAATCAAGCCTGTATTAGGCTGGGGTGTTTTCAAGGTGCTCTCGCTGTTTTCTGATGGTGCTGTCGGTGCTGATGGTGTTATAATTGTGTGTGTGTTTGTACATGTGTATCCGTGGGCGTGGGTGTGTGCATGAGCGCGTGGGTGTGCTTGTGTGTGTCTGTGCATATGTGTGTATGCATGTGTGTGTGTGTGTGTGCGTGTGTGCGTGCATCTGCGCAGGGTAAGCGTAAACACGCAGATGCCGAGGAGGCCGACTTGGCCATGGACATAGTCGTAGCAGCACCGTCCGAGGGAGAGCCGAAGAAGAAGAAAAAGAAGAGCAAGAAGGCGAGAACGTGCGACACGCCCGAGGAAACGACAATCGCAGACGCAGCGCCAGTGTATGCTGAGGCCGACTCCACCGAAGGCAGCAAGAAAAAGAAGAAACAGAAGAAGGAGAAGAACGAGAAAGACTCTACCAGCGAGGAGGAAACTAGGGCCGCTGCAGATGCTGCTACCGTCGAGGACATGGACGTACCCGAACCGACGGCACCAAAGAAGAAGAAGAAAAAGAGCAAGCACGACACAGCTCAGGAAGTGACTGAAGCAACTTCAGAAGAGACTACAGAGACTGTCGAACAAGACACGGAGGACGCCACGGCCAGCGACAAGAAGAAAAAGAAGAAGAGTAAGAAGACCAATGTTGACAAGGAGGACGAGGAGCAGACGGAGGCTGCCGAACGTGCCGAGAAAAAGTCCAAAAAGAAGAAGAAGACGAAAAGCAAGGAGCGCGCCATGGAGGCTGAATCTGACAGTGAGGATGCCGGCAAGGATTGTACGGTGCAAGAGGAGGACAAGACCAGTCACGGCGCACCGGAGAAGGTGAGTGTTGCCGGTTCATTGCTGTTTTTTCCTCCTTTAATTCGTTTTTGCAACACCTCAAGGTTCAGTGGGAACAGTGAGTGCGTTTGATTACTGCCATGAATCGATCCATGAATCTCGATGTCATGTCATGAGCCCTGGAGTCGGTTCGTAATCGATTCATCCTGCTCACACATCGGGTGATGAGAATAGCCAGGGGCGATTCATGAATAGCTTCAAAATCGATTCTCGGGCAAAATCAAAAGCACTCGCTGGCCAACGTGAAGAGAGTGTTAGCCAACCATGGCAAATGAGTAGGGGTTGTGAAGGAGATAAGGAAAGGACCAAAAAAATAGGAACATTATAAAACTTTGTGGCACCGCGGGAGGCTGTCAGTGCAGCCAGCCAAGAGCAACAGATGTGCTTGCTTATTATTATTATTATTCAAATAATCTACGTGGAGATAAAAGTTTAATAATAGCTATGAAAAGTATGAATGCCGCAGACATCACCACGCAACATGACAATTTGTACAAGGTTTGGTTTTGTGTGTTTCCAAAATCGATTTTCACGCTCCGATCATCAGTGGAAATACGGAACTAAAGAGATCAAGGGAAAAACAAAGGTTAAAAATCCAAAGAAGTGTGACACATGACGGGTAACTTGTGGTTATTTTCGTGAGTTTGCACCCCGTGTTCATGAGTTGTTTTTGCACTGTTCATGCCCGTTTGTCACACTTACTCTTTATTTTAGTTCTCACTTTTTGTAATACTTACCACAAGTTACCCGTCATGTGTCACACTTCTTTGGATTTTTAACCTTTGTTTTTCCCTTGATCTCTTTAGTTCCGTATTTCCACTGATGATCGGAGCGTGAAAATCGATTTTGGAAACACACAAAACCAAACCTTGAACAAATTGTCATGTTGCGTGGCGATGTCTGCGGCATTCATACTTTTCATAGCTATTATTATTATTATTATTATTGTAGAAGAGAAAAGGACATATGGATACGAGTTAAGAGTAACTCTCCATCACTGTAACATGATACTATATACAGTCAGAAAGTGCAATAACTAGGCACAAAACTGACAGAGTACTGAAACATTCGACGTCCTGACACCTAGCTTCAACACATCTCCTAACCTTCCAAGTTGGAAGGCTGTCGGTTAGCGCTACGGAGATATGTTGAAGCTAGGTGTCAGGACGTCGAATGTTTCAGTACTCTGTCAGTTTTGTGCCTAGTTATTGCACTTTCTGACTGTATATAGTATCATGTTACAGTGATGGAGAGTTACTCTTAACTCGTATCCATATGTCCTTTTCTCTTCTACATTTATTTATGGCTCAACATCCGAGTTTCAAATTAATATTTTTGTTAAACTCAATCTCGTAGCATGTGCACGCATTGCTAATGTGGGGAGCAACCCCAGAGATGAGGGCGATAACCAGCCATGCTAGGCTTATGTGTAATTAAGGCGGAAGCACAATTCCGGAGAGTTGAGGTGGTGTGGTTTCGCAGGACGCGTTATGTGTTGAAAAAAATATAGAAAAAAGAACACACTAATGAGCTACGTAGGACCATAGTGTAAAATACATTCAATTACATTGTAACTGCTTGGTAGAATGTACCTGTCTGGGAGTTGGAGTTTTGAGTTGGTATCTATGTGTGTTTATGACCTAAAGATTCTCTTTTTTCAGTTAGTTGTAGAACGTCAGTACCGTCGGTCAGTGTCGTGCGATGTCACCTCATGAGCCGATTGTTTAGTAACTGGTGGTGTTAGGGGTCGTCGCAAAAGTTTTTTGTCGTCCCTGAAACGAACATGATTCATTGGGGGGGGGGGGGGGGGGGAGAGGGGGTGAGAGCCAAAATCGCAAGTCGACCGACACTGTACATATGACATATACATGCATGCGATTTTTGTCGTCCAGCATAGCAAGCTGTGTTCGTTTCAGAGGGAGGGGAGGGGGGTCCGAGTACGAAATGAACGATGTTCGTTTCAGGGACGACAGAAAACTTTTGCGACGACCCCTTAGTGGACATTATAGCGTAACTTGTAGTTTCTTGGTCCTTTTTCTTTCCTTTTTTATTAAAAAGTTAGGAACGAGAGGGCTTGAAAGCCCAGGAGCCCTCGCTATGCCTTGCCTCTACCTATGGCACCATGTGTGTTAATCGAAGTGAGAAAAACGTCGTTCCAATGAGATAATCTGGCTTATGTTTTTGTATTGTCAGTTCGAGTATCACACATGATGGATCCAGGTACAAACAAAGCATAGCGAGGGCTTTCGAGCCCTCTCGTTTGTATTCCATTGGGAGTTGGTTGTCGTCTGCTTGCCAGATCTCTGTAATGTAATGTTCTGTTCCGCTGATTCTCTCTCTCTCTCTCTCTCTCTCTCCTTGTGTGTCTGTCCTTTCCTTGCTCTCAGGCCGAGGAGCAAGTTCAGGACACAGCATGGACTGCAGCTGAGTTCGATGACACTGACCGAAAGGCCAAGTTCCTCAAGCTGATGGGTGGCCAGAAACTGGCACCTGGCAAACCTGTTCTATCACTCGGCGGTAAGAAAGCGTTCCGACCATCCTTGACCGACCGTATCAACTCCGCGAAATCGTCATCATCGGCGCCGTCGACACTGACGCTGAAGGCTAACCCGAACGCTCCTCAAGTCTCTACCAAGAGTAAGTGTGTGTGTGGGGGGGGGGGGGGGGGCACGCGCGTGTGTGTGTGTGTGTGTGTGTGTGTGTGTGTGTGTGTGTGTGTGTACACATGTGCGTCCATGCGTGTTTGTGTTTGTATGTGGTTGGGTCTGGGTGATGTGGGCTGCAGTTGTGGTTATCTTACGACTGTCCCGTATGTTGAAATTTCCGTTTATGTCTGGAATTTAGGTAGGAAACCCAGCTACGCTATATAAGGTAGTTTCGGTCAACTCCACTTATAGTGAATTTTATCATGTAGTGAACCAGTGTCCATCTCCCTGTCTGAACCTATACAAAATTGACCCTTCACAGCGAACAATTTTCTTTTATAACGAACCTTATGCCGCACGGTCACATGTAAACCAAGTGCACTCATTACACAGTCGTGTACCACTTGCCAGTCATAACGTCTTGCTTGTATAGCGTTAGTGCATTTCTTTTACAGAACAACACGGGCGATCAAGGCTTGTTTGCTGCTACTGAAAGGGTCATGCTTTCGCAGTCATCAGGCAACGTGATTAGCAGCAAACAAACCTTGATTGCCCTTGTTGTACTGTGTATTACGCTCTGCGTCCGCGGTGTTGAGCACTGTCGGCACACTGGGTACGGAGACTCCCTCGATTTAGGCTAAGGCCTGTGGATAATCCAGAAATACAAATACGAATACATCCTCCGGTGCATTTCTTTTATAAAGAGCTAATTTTCCTGCACAGTGGTTTTCGTTATATCCGGAGTCGTCTGTAAGTCACTACCGTGGCATGTGAGCCGTGTGGAAAGAGAGATGTGATTTGTTTTTGCTATGCTCACTGCTGTATGGTTCGTGTTGATGTTGTGTGTGTGTGTGTGTGTGCGTGTGTGTGCGTGTGCCTGTGTGTGTGTGTGTGTGTGCGGGTGTGGCTGCACGTGTCTGGCGCATGCATGTGTGAATGTGGGCATACATACATGTGTGGATGCATGCCTGCTTCCATGTGTGTGTGTATGCATGCCTGCTTCCATGTGTGTGTGCGGGTGGTGGATGTGAATGGCTCCTTGATGCCCGTGTGCAGGCAGCTCCAAGTCAGTCGTGACGCACTTGGACTTGGCCAAGAAGGCGGTCAGCAAAGCGTCCACCGACAAGATGAACACTGCGCTCGAGGACCAGTTCACCTCCGCGCTGCATATGCGGCAGCAGATCAAGCAAGGCTTTGGCCTCGGCTTCAGCAACAAAAAGTTTGAAATCGACGCAGGTGCCGTGAGGTCCAAGAAATTCTGACCTGTGCCCCCAACAGCCGGCCAAGCACTGTTTCTCAACTTTCTCACCGTTGCTAGTGTTCTCCATCGCACCACGCTGTCTGTTGAGAACCGTAGAGGTATCTATGCGAGGAACATTAACGTAAATAATGTTGCTGGAGGCTGGAGGACCGTACATGCTGGGCTCCGTCAGCGCTGTTTAAGTACCACCATCCTCGGTTAGAGGTATGCGTGTGTGTAAATTACAAACGCACGATGGTATTGGTTCCGTCGACAGTTTAGGTCTGCCTTTACCTAGTGTGTTGCGATGCGTGAGCAAGGCCACGCTTCCGTATTGCCACCGCCGTACGGCTTGTTTCTCCGTAGCGATGTGTGCTACAGTTTGTGCCCATACTATAGCACTTTAAAAAAACTAGCCTATCTCTATCTATCCGAGTCATAGGCTAGCTTCTTCTTCCTCAAGCCAGTCATATGACCAAGCTGTAGACCAGGAGTTGTTGAATCTCCTGGAAGGAGTCTGTTTCTCCGTGTTGCGACCGACTGCGTGGCTGGGACCTCTCTCGCGAGTATGTCCAGTCCGTCCAGCCTAGCCCGTTAGTCTCCAGGTGCTTGCGTATGTGTGTGCGTGTGTGTGTTTGTACTTCAATGTTCATAATGGCCGTGAACACATGACTGCTGATGACGTCGCCATTTTCCCCCACCGGCTCTGATCATTCGACCTGGCACATGCACTGTGTGACGGGATCACATGACCAAACCGGACAGTACCCAATGCCTATTTGAGTAACGTTGACTTGGTATGGCCTTACAGCACTCTGTGGAAGTGGTTTGCTATGGTTACCGGACGTTCAGGGCAGGCTCTGGTAACACTAGCGGTGGTGCTCAGGAGTGACCTGTGTGACTTTTTTCCCAAATGCAATCGGCAAGCCCTGCTCCACGCTTCTTTTAAATGCAGCCGTTCTTGTTGTGTTGCAGTGTGCGTGCTAGCTGCTCTCTACTCATGCCAGCTACTCATATCAGCATTGTTTGCTTACTCCACACACACACGCACGGACACATGTTGCACTCACTGGCATACACCGACACCAACAAACTATTCTGCTCGCACCCTTGGACGGGAAGTCCAATTGGATTCAGGAGTTTTTTTATTATTATTATCTCGGAATCTATTCAGACGTAACTTCACTTGCCTTCAAGGCCCTTCATCTCACCAAACGCTGTTGGCTTGGCTGACTACGCAGTGCATTCGTTCCTTTTTAGAGCGGCTTCTTTCGTGTAGTATTTTATCATTTCAAACAGGCTAGAGATATCGGACCATCGTCGATCATTTCGACTCGGTTTATTTCTATTGCCCGCCCATCTGGTGGAATTGTTTCTATGACGACCTGGTGGTCATGGTGTGTATGTGACTGTTTTGATGTTGGCATGTGTGTGTCTGTGTGGGTGCGTGTGGGTGTTTAGGTGTGTGGGTGTGTGTGTGTGTGTGTGTGTGTGTGTGTCTGTGTGTGTGTCTGTGTGTGTGTCTGTGTGTTGTGGGTGTGTGTGGGTGTTTAGGTGTGTGTGCGTGTGTGGGTGTGTGTGCGCGCGTGTGCATGCATGTGTGTGTGTTCAGCCAGTCGGGTTGCACCCTCCCTGCGGTTCCATGGTTTCGGGTAGTAGCGATGATCGCCACTGGAGTAGGAATGTCTATATTTCGGAGGCATTTGGAGGGGTGGAGGTGGGGAAGTAGCAAGGAACAAACAGCATGGCAGGTGGGAGACATTGGCCTAGAAACAAGGTATGCTCTGCTGGTGTGACATCTCCAAAGCAGGGTACCTGTGATCAACTCTATCCAGTCCCAACTACATGCTCCACCCTCAGCAGTGCCCTACACGAACCCATTTATCTTTTGCGTGGACTTGCATGTGTTGGTCAAGTGAAATTGCATGCGTTGGTCATGTTTTTCGCGATGACATCATCACTTGAGTTGCTTATGTATGGAGTGAGTCCGAGTGACTGACATCCACAAAGCACTGGTACATGCACATGGTATGCCATTCACTGCATACAAAGAATACAATCATGATGATGTCATCTGCAGAATCTCTCTACGTGAGGACTTGGACAGGGTAAACAATAATAATTTCCTCATCCAAATCACATGCTGCACCAGCCGGTACGCATGGGCTCTCTCTCTCTCTCTCTCTCCCTCTCTCTCTCTCTCTCTCTCACACACACACACACACTCTCTCTCTCTCTCTCTCTCACACGCACAGACATACACACTCACACACACACACACACACACACACACACACACACACACACACACACACACACACACACACACACACACACACACACACACATAATACACACATACACACACACACACACACACACACACACATAATACACATAATACACACATACACACACACATACCTTTCAGCTAAATTAAGAACCAGAGAGCGTGTGACAAATTTTGATGAAAATGATTATGTTCAGAAAATTCAAAACGAACGAATAGTAGAAACACATCTACTGTACAGAGGTATCACGTGATATATCAGAATCGATAACAGCACAGCGACGATTGGTTGCATTCCAATGCTTGAACCTTTCCTAGAGCGGGCTGATTAACTCAAGACGGACTGAAACAAGGCTACCGTGATCTAGCTGAGCCGGAGGTAAGCTGGAAAAGCGGAGCAGAAACGGGAAGGCTTGCGGGATAACGAGCTAGAAAAAACTGAAAGGCTGGTACAAGCAGAGAAGGGTTACTACGGGAAGTAACTGACATTCCGGCTGCAAAAATGAACACATTGATGTGGTTTACGAGAACAAAATGGTTGCTGTCAATACTCCAGTCCATGGCGGCGAGACCTGAACGATGCATTGCGGGGATGAGGACAATAGAATGATAATTCTGAATACTTCAGTATTGCACTGCTCTGCTCGGAGTTTTGCTCCATGGTGAGGTACTAGCGTTGATACGCACGTGGATTTCCCGATGCTGGCATACTTGTGGGCGGACGTATCGCTATCGAACAGAAACAAAACAAGAAACAGACAGACAGTTAAAAAATTATAAGAAGACAATCGTCGAACCTTCATAAAATTTATGAAGTTTCGGCGATTGTCTTCTTTTTTTGATTTTTTTAATTTTTTTTACCATTGTCCTTTTGGCCTCTACATAGTCTGAGCTCCCATTTTGACGTTGCACTGCGCACGGGGGTTCGTCGCTGTATGCGCCACTACGTGGGCATCATGTGGCTTGCGCCTCTGTGCGCCTGCATGTACACCTGCGATTACCATTTCTCTTGTGAACCTTCTTTGCTTCTTGCCTGAACCATCCACTTAAAAATTTAACACGTAAAGAGAAAGGACCAATAAGTTACTAGTTATGACTAACAGTCCACCAAGGTAACGCAATCTTATACAGTCAGATAGTGCGACAACAAGGCACAAAACTGACAAGGATATTGAGACATTCGACAACCTGACACCTAGCCCCAAGCGCAAACCAACAAACTGCCAACTTGGAAGGCTCAGGTGCGGAAAGTTCCAATGAGGACCTTGTGAACACAATAATAAACTGCTGCTCCAATGCAAGACAGTCGCAGTAGCAGTGACATGTACATGTACTTGTACTTGTAACTGGTCAGTGCCAGTAAAATAACTACAGTGAAACTTGGCAAGGCGACCACTCGGACAAGGCAACCACCTGTCCCAGCAGACCACTGCAGCCAGGACCAAGGGATGCTATTTCCAGTCAAATGACCCTGGATTCGGAGACCACCTGGTTACAGAGACCACACTTTGATGGTGCGTTGAGCGGTCGTCTTAGACCGGTTTCACTGAATACCATGTACGGGGTACCTCGTAAACATGACCCCTCAGAGTGTGCCTTACCCTGGGGTGGCTTCCGTGAGGTAGTCCCGTGAAGACCATCTGCACTCCTGCCGATGTCTTCCATGGGAATGCTCTCCTGACACTTGGGCTGCCTGCAATGTGCACAGCAGCACAAGCAGCACACCAGCATGGGCATAATTATAAGTATGCAGGCAGGTGAGCAGGCAGGTGAGTCACAGGGCAGCGGGGAGCAGTGCGAGGGTGTGTGTGTGGGGGGGGGGGGGGGGTCGTGGGTGTTCCTCGGGAAAAATCGGATTTGTGGTCAACAGGGCAGGTTTTAGCACTCTGCAGGCACTCTGGGCAGACCATCCTGGACGAAAAGTGGTACTACCATGGTCATACTGGTCATACCGTGTGTGACGCTCCTAGCAGGGGATTGCTTCTACGTATCGCAATGACACCACTCACTCTGTTAGGGTTGGTTCGCATAAGCCAATTCGGTGCCAGGAAGTGCCGGCGGTGGTCCAGCCCCGGTCAGGCCCAGTGCCAAGGATATCATGTGCATACAGTTCGAGTACCAATGTAGTCAATATTTCAACACTTCAAGTGTCGTATGCAGCAATGAGACCATGTTTTGATCGTTTGAGTTGAGTGACCCTAATGCATGAGAAACTGACTGCAATGTCTGCTAGTACTTAGAAAACCTTCCCACTGTAGTGGTGCATCTACTGTCGTGGACATGGAAATCCGGTCGCACGTCTAGCGGCCCCAGGGCGCAGGCCATGCAGCTGTGGGGAATAAGTAAAGTGACACACATGCCTTTATGCACTGCAGCACGCTGGTCGCATCGGATCAACATGACTCTGTGCACTGCACGCAGCGTTCTGTACGCGCTGAGGGCGCCGGCCCCGGTCTGGATTTCCATGTCTGCTACAGTACTAGAAAGTAGTACAACATGTGCCTAAAGTAGCCTGGCCTAGTACACACCTGATGAGGAACTCGCGTTCGGCCATGACGGCTTCCCGATCCTCGGTGAACAGTATGGTGCGATGCTCCACTGGAGGCGGACACGTGGGCAGTATTCCCGATGTGCTGCCACCGGCCTGCTCCAGAACACCGCCGAACACCATCAGATCGTCAACGAGTAACTACACACACACAGGCACATACACCCCCCCCCCCCCCCCCCCACACACACATATATATACACACACACATATACACACACACGTACACACACACACACACCCACACACCCACACACCCACACACGCACACACCCACACACACACACACACACACACACACACACATATGCACACACATATACACACACACACACACACACACACAGGCATACACACAGGCACACACACAGGCACACACACAGGCACACACACAGGCACACACACAGGCACACACACAGGCACACACACAGGCACACACACAGGCACACACACAGGCACACACACACAGGCACACACACACAGGCACACACACACACACACACACACACACACACACACACACACACACACACACACACACACACACACACACACACACACACACACACACACACACACACACACACACACACACACACACACACACACACACACACACACACACACACACACACACACACACACACACACACACACACACACACACACACACACACACACACACACACACACACACACACACACACACACACACACACACACACACACACACACACACACACACACACACACACACACACACACACACACACACACACACACACACACACACACACACACACACACACACACACACACACACACACACACACACACACACACACACACACACACACACACACACACACACACACACACACACACACACACACACACACACACACACACACACACACACACACACACACACACACACACACACACACACACACACACACACACACACACACACACACACACACACACACACACACACACACACACACACACACACACACACACACACACACACACACACACACACACACACACACACACACACACACACACACACACACACACACACACACACACACACACACACACACACACACACACACACACACACACACACACACACACACACACACACACACACACACACACACACACACACACACACACACACACACACACACACACACACACACAGAGGAACAGCATGACAACAATGTGGTCACTAATAGGCGCGTAGCTCGCATACCTGCCCACCATACCGATTCGGCCGGGAACGTCCCGATATCGAGGGTGGTATCAGGCACCCAAAATGTGCATTTGGCGCATGCCTCACGGCTATACATTTTGATACATATAGATAATGTCATCGTCCCGATCTCAGGTTTGCAACGGTTGGCAGGTATGAGCTCTGTATAATCAGTGCCACACCAGCAAATGGCCTTCACAGTTGCTAATGTCGCGGACATTGAAATCCGATGGGATGACCGGGGCCGGCGCCCTGACTGCCTCCAGCGTGTACACGCACTGTAGTTCATGTACACGCTGTAAAATAGACCAGCAGTGCTCACGGCTGCGAGGCCAGTGCCCTGGGGCTGCTTGACTTCTCAACGGATTTCAATGTCCGCTACAGTACATATTCAAAGTAAGCAAAAAGGCAGCTATGAGGTTGCCGGTGGCACATGGTCACCACACCACTGATGTGCTCTGGTACATGGTCACCACACCACTGATGTGCTCTGGTACATGGTCACCACACCACTGATGTACTCTGGTACATGGTCACCACACCACTGATGTGCTCTGGTACATGGTCACCACACCACTGATGTGCAAGCTACGCCCATCCATCAAATTTAAATGCAGAATGGAAGCCAGTGTGCACCACCCTGAAATTTCGAACTGAAAGGGTCTGATATTTCTCAAAACAAGACAAGTCGCACAAAGTCCAGGTCGCCTCTTTCAGTATGCCAGAATTCATGTGAACACGGAAATCCAAAGACTGAACTAAGGCAAAGTTGAAAGGAGAGTATAGCGCTTGAAGGGAGCATGAGGGAGTGTGTGTGTGTGGTGGGGAGGGGGGGGGGGGGGGTGCTTACCGAGAACTCGCGGACACCTCGACCGGGAGTCTTGGCGTAGTTCCACAGCTTGACCATTGACACGCTGACAGGTACCTCGAAAACAAGGTACACTTCATTGACCTACAGTAGAACCAACAGCAAATAATCACAGATCCACCCACGGCAATTCGGACTGATAAAGTTGTACACTCGCTTTCAGCACTGAAGGCCAGACAGCCTCGCCGTCCTGACCTTCAGGGTCAGCACAAGTCGTAACACGAATCATCGTAGGAACATGTACGTTGAAGGGACCACCGTATAGGGTACTGCTAAGTCCAAGAAAGCCGCGAGAGCCTGGGGACAAGGTTACTCAACATTCCTATCAACTGTCATCCTGCCTTAACTTAAGCAAAATTAATGGTCATTTCAGGACCAGGACACGATCAAAAGCATTCCGACTCACCACTTCGGGTAGTATTGGCGCTAGCCACATTTCTCGGCCGTCAAACGTGTCGTTGACTCCGTTCACCAGCTTGTCTGGAGTTCTACAGTCATTTCTCACGTCCGGTAAAACATTACAGCTCTCCGGGAACGCCGTAACCACTGCCGCATACCAATACCATGTGTCAAGGAAAGAGAGCAGTGTTCGCACTATGGTAACAGAAGCAAGGACCTCTTGAAAAGAATACTATAATTATAACACGCCATTTTCGGTGTAACTTTAACATCGGTAATTTCGGTACAAAACCAGGCACTGAAGTTTGGATTACGCCTAAAGGGCGCTAGAGTCTGCGCTGTGTGTGAAGGGAATGCTGGTCATCTAATTCTACATTACACCTGAAACCTGGCAAGTCCCAGACACAGACACTTTAGTCAACCGAAAATTACATGACCATTGTTATACAGTATGATACTATCTGCTGAAGTATCACCAAACAAACAAAAATGTTTTCACCTACAGTGAAACCATTCAGTATACATTGCTCTGGGTGTAGAGGCTACGTGATGACATCATCGGTTGAGATACTTTGGTAAAGCCTCCGCAAAGTGATGCAGTAGCTCAGCGAAACCACCGTATACTTAGCTCACATAAGCCTACTTGCCGGCTCACGCATTACTCTTAGCGCCATAGGGACACTACAAAAATGACCTCATCATGTCACGTGTTTGTACGGAGTCACATTGGCGTGACATCACTAAAACTGCTTTGCCACTCCATGCATAGCAGAATACAACGACGCTCAAGGGGTGAAACAGCACACACGTGCTCTACAATAGCGCATGCATGTTTGTAAAGCGATACTCGTAGAGTGCAGTCCAAGCCTACGTACTTCGAAGTATTTCTGTTACTTGAAGCACACAAGCATGAGAAGGCATTACCGAAAAGTACGGTTGATCCGCCCCCTACGCCATGTCACTTCCCAGCTGGGTTTTCGGCAGGGATCGGGAATCAGATCAAGGCTGTCAAGTCCAGTGCAATGTACAACAATGCAGAAGGTGAGACTCGGTGTGCTGGAGTGTGCACATGCTTATCCTGCACTGGCATGTATTGTGAACAGCGTGCATGCGTCGGGTTCAACACTGTACTTCATCGTATACGCCAAAGTCGCTTCCTAAGCAGAAAATCGACAGGGGGCGGCAATTAGAGAGGGGGCGGATCAACCGTACTGTAGGGTACACAGAGCCTAGGATATGATGCACGATACGGTATACAATGCAGAGCCGTGTTTCTGCACATCAAGGATACGATGAGGTTCCAGCAGCTGGCCGTGTTCGTTACAGAGCTGTACGCCATTGAGACCCACGTAGAATTGGTCTCCCCACGTCGTCAGCAAACGCAGCTTGAATATGACTGGAGAGCGGCATGGCTAGTGTCAAGGAACAAACAATAACAGTCAGTCTTGCACAATGACACTGAGCAGTAAAGGAGTGTTAAGCTGCAAAATATTTGGTACGTGATAACTACTGAAGTCAAGTTATACAGAAAGCAGTGTAGAAGCGTAGAACATTCAGCTCCACTTGTCATGCCGTATCCATGCATGCAGACAAACACAATGATTGCTACATATCAAGGTCTGTGGATGTGCACCGCACACCTAAATGGATGATGGGTTTCATTGGTCCTTTGTTTTCCGGAGTGGCAGCACATTACCACATCGCTACACTACACGAAGATGCCGAGACCTCTGGTCGGTTGAGCATGGCAAGCCCCACCAGCACCATCTCACCCCATGCTAGCCCCATGTGCCTGCCGGTGAGTTAAGCATTTTGTAAAAAAAAAAATGAATAAAAAACAGTTGGGCCTCAATGAAATCCGCTACACAGACATTAGCGGGGAGGATGACATGACCTCCCTGCCGGAATACAGCATTCAACTGCCAGTGGACACTGTCAATACAGGGAAACCTGGTTTAAGCGACCCCCCCACGGTGCAAGCAAAAGCGGTCGTTAAAGCCAAGTGGTCTTTAGAAGCAGGTCCCACAATGTCTGTGCAGAACTGTCCGTGCATGGAAAACGGTCGTTAAGAGCAGGTGGTCGCTAAACCCAGAGGTCGCTTACACCAGGTTTTACTGTAGTAAGCAAATGTTTTAATTCTCAACACTCCCCAGTGCTGGAGCCAACTCTTATGTTGGCAAAGGTTAAGATATCATTGGCCACAATTGTGTATGTAACGCATCAAAGAGATCCTGTTCAACATTATTTAGTGCGGGCTAGAAGGACAAACATGTGCGGTTAATCTCCATTGCCCATCATACGCAGTATGATGACGATTGTAATCCTGCATGCTCTGATATCTAAGTAGAGGCAAACCTAGGTGTGTTATGAGCATGTTGTGAGCATGTAGTGAGCATGTTGTGAGCATGTTATGAGCAGTTTGTGATGTTGTGAGAGATCGTGCTGCACCTATATCTTTCAAAGGATACATCCTGTGGGAAGGCCGGGAGATGTCTGGTCCCTGGGAGATCTGAGCAAGTAATGAGCACATAAAAAGCACATAAAAAGCACATAAACATGCACATAAACATCCACCTAACCAGCCAGTCCCTACAGGCATCTAGTAGACCAGCAAGGCAATTCACTTCTCCCACTGACCATGGCACACACTGGAGGACAGAGTGTAGAGCACTGCGGGGCAGCGCTGAGCAATTGCCACTCACAAAAGGACAAGGAATACAAAATGCCCTGTTGCAACTCCGACGACACATATAATTCCCCAAAACACGGTACAAGACAACTTTCGGATGTGTATCAGAGTTTGACTATCCTAGATTAAGGGAAGGTTGCTCACAATGCTTACCCTGAAAATATTACTAAACGGAACTGTTCAAAAGCATGGCTTTTCAACAAGCATCAGAGACCTTTTCAGTGTTCACAGTAGAGACCTTTCCAATTTGTGCAATACACGAAATGTTGAAGCGTCATGAACTATCACCACTCCCTGGCCACCCACATGTACACACTCACGTACGCATTCACAAACACACACACACGTACGCATGCGCACGCACGCACACACACACACACACACACACACACACACACACACACACACACACACACACACACACACACACACACACACACTCACACACTCACACGCAGAGACACACCACTAGCAAAGCTACATCATCTAACCGTGTTGGTATTGACGAAGGCACTGAGGAAACAGAGCCTGACAGAGCTGGACCGAACGAGATAGTCTGTCCAAAGTCAAAGTTGCAATTACCAGGAGCTGTGGCAGAAAACGAAGAAAGTAGGGAAAGAGCTAGACAAGATCCAAGCAATCTCACATGCCACATCCATCTTTCTTGGAACTGAATCACCGGCTAATGTTTCCATGGTAACACCACAATGCACCCCTTCCCTTATACACTGGGTAGACATGCGGAGTATTACATGAATTTGTACACGTGCACTGTGCATGATGTCATCTGCGACTTCAGGTTTTCGGGTACTATTCGGTACCCGTCTACCAAAGGTCCTCACGGGTAGCACGGGTACCCGACTACTCGTGCACACCCCTAGTGCAAATAATGTGTACCAGGTTGTTACGTGATGTGAAGTTTTGCCGTCGCAGACTCCACAGACTGAAGTTGCATACCGTTAGGGGTTATGCACCATTGACCATACCAATGACATGTTCAGTAAACACTCAAGAACTCTGACCTTTGCGCACAAGGTACCCCGTATTGGGTGAGATACTCTGACCGTCCAGGAATGCGTGTGCAATCTTGACCTGTGGAGAAACAGCATAACACACATCAGCATCAACCTCAGCTAAGACGAAAAATTATTAAACAGCAAACTGGACCTCATTTAACCTCTTCACAAAGGTCATGGATGCGTTTTTCTTCTTCTTCGCGACTAGCTATCCAGAAAATTTCAGGCAAGAAGTGAATAATTCAACAGAGGAATTTCTTTTAGGGAGGGAAGAGACTTCGAGAGAATCAAACTTATCATCTCTCGAAGTCCACACCTTGCACACGCACACGCGCACATGCACGCACACACACACGAGCGCACATACACACACCCACACACACACACACACACACACACACACTACTACTACTACTACTACTATGTACAGCTACCCTATCGGGCCACGCCGCTCCCAGAAGCGGGAGACAACGACAAGAAGAGAGAAGAGAAGAGAGAGAAATCGCAAAGTCAACAATATTTGGCATGGCGTTGCAAGTCCTGTGGCCTTGAGAACCGTCTTTCGCAATGCTCGCATTCATGACGGCAGTTGTTCCTGGCTGCACGTGACATCCGTTTCGCACGGTCACAGTGATGACGGCTCAAACCAGAACGAGAGCGGAAAGAGCGGCGACAAACATCACATCGCAAAGAGTCAGATTCATGGCGAATGGATACAGTGGGGACATCCGTGGACACAGGACAGCGATGCACAGCCAGTCCTCCAGCGCTCCTCAACCACCGCATGCACTTCATACATTGCCTGGCACCCTTCTGTTGTGACACAGGCAACTTCCGCTGGGCAATGCACTTGTGCCGGGCCATGTCGTTACGGACACACACACACACACACACACACACACGTGCACGCTTCTGCCCAAACACACACAAGCATGCGCACAACAGGATACAGGCAGTCAGACACCTACCCCACGGCACGTATCCTCTCGCGTCTTGTTGTAGTTCCAGATCTGAATCCCGGTGACGTGAGTCTCGGTGCCAAAGTCCACTGTCAGGATGTTGGCAATGCCAGGCTCGTACGGCGCCAACCACATGTGACTGTCGTCCATGGTTACGGAGCAATCACTGAGCAAACTGAACGGAGGGTAGTCGCAGAGAAAGCCATACGGAATGATGCTGTCTGATGATCGCTGAAAAGCGAGCAACGTAATGTTACAGCTACACAGCCTTTCGCCTCCGTTGTGTATGTGTATACTGTTCCGCACATTTGTGCGTTGAGCACTCTACCTGGAGCTGCCTAGACCGACCTTGTTTGTAGAAAGACATACATGTACCTTTTCACTGGGTTCTTCCAAGAGTACATGAAACCCAGAGTGTATGCAGCTTGTGACGTTTTCTGCTTGGGTGTCTGTCACGGCAAAATTCCAATATCGTAGTCGGTGCAGGTAAACAGCCAGGAGTGGTGTGGGGCGTACAACTGAGCTACAGTTGTGCAGAAATGCATCTGCTGGAATCCCTGCTTGTACACACTACGTCACTAAAAGTATGTATTCGCAGAATTTCGCCGTGACAGCAACCCATCAGTGTTGCACACTCTGTGTTTCATGTACTCTTGGTTCTAGTCACGCTTAGCATTAACAACACTGAACATGTTCACTGCCTTTGTGAGGTGTAGAGGTGTGTCATAGCTTACTTTCCAAGCAGTCGAACATCCTCTTCACAGCCCTCCAGAATGGTGATGTCACGAGGGTTGGCCTGAGCAATAGCAACACCAGCAATATTGAAACACATGCATGCACGCACACAGTCATGTATGCACACACACACCCACACACACATGTACGTGCACATGTACGCACACATGCACGCCTTCCAAGAATGACCAAACCCTAGATGGGAATAGGGGGTTGCCCAAGACAACAGAGCAGGCTATTAAGTCCTGGGTATAACAGCAATCAACCTCCTGAATAACAACCCTGGATATAACAAAATCTCGCGAATAACGACCTCGCGTATACAACAACTTGTGAATACGGACACATCTTCAGGCTAAGTGACCGTTTGACTGCATGCTTTTAACCTTACAAACAACGATAACGTGCGAATAACGACACTGCTCTCATGTACAATCAAGTGTTATTATTCCCAGGTTACCTGCACAACCATCACTTACAAATCATCACTTACATCTAACTGGTCCTCAGTGAGCGTGATTGGCTTGCCACGCGTTCCGATAACCTGTAGCCCGGTCAGTCCGATGAAATCCCCATCACCCCATGTCGAAGTAAACTGTAATTCCAACACTGCAGAGACAGAACACGACCACAATGCTTAGACCAGAGAGCAAGCACATTGGAAACAAGGTGTGCTTTGGAAGAATTGAAGTCATGCAACTGCTCAGGATTGTAACACAATGCCACTCCTCAAATGTTCACATGTCAATGCACTTGACATGTGAACAGATTTTTCTTTCGGCAGAGGACACGCATTCACATTTGCACATGCGCGCACACGCTCGCTCACGCGCACACACTCGCGCACACGTATGCGCACACAGACATGCCCAAACCAAAACACACACTTTATGTATGCACGCTCACACATACACATGAAAACATGCTTTATCAGCCGGTTGAAGCCTCATTTCTTTTGCTTTATTTGCAAATTTTTTATTTTTTTATTTTTATTAGCTGCGCTGCCAACGCCGTATCTCCACTGCTACCAAACAAAGGAGGAGTGAGGGAAGCATGGATGCAGCACGAATGGGATTTTCGGTCTTTGACTACTTTGTGGTGGGTCTGATCTGCTCACCTCCCACCGCTTTAGGAGCTGCATCTGCGGCTTGATCCTTGAAGGGTTGTAGCGTTCCCACGGATGCGGAAAACTTGGCCTGTAGCCGAATCTCATGCAAACCGTGATTTTTTTACCAAACAAAGCATCAGCAGAATTAACTTACCTCTGCCAACACGTGGGTTTGGTCCAGATTTCCACTGGCTCCGTTTACTCACTGCCAGCAGGGGGAGGGGGGGGGGACAAAAAAACAACAAGCAGAAACACGTACCTGTCACACTCCTCGAGAATTCTCTACGACATAGTTCTCAGCGAATAGTCTACTGCAGTCTACAGTGACTTTACCAACAAACACTTGCAGCTTTAGGCCTGCGATACTCTACGACTAAAATAGGTTGGATTTGCCATCCCAGCCGCGACCCTTCAGCAGTTTTGTTCAGACTTCGAAACTTACTCTTCCTTAGAACTACACAGGCATTTCGTCTGGAATTTTCATGCTTTTCTCGCCAGGCATTGTTCCTTACCCTTCAGTTTAGCATGTTGTAGTATTCTGATTGACTTTGGAATCCTTACAGCAAACACACCTCAGGACTCACTACCCACCTTTCTTCTCCATCCAACGTGGAGTATTACCGTCCGAAACTGGGCCAGCTCTTGTCTCAGGACGGTCTTCAGCCTGTTATGAGCACAACCGTTTAATGTGATGGAAAGATGGACATGCATACAACGATCATAAATTCACTACACCACCAGCGTCCCGAGTACAGGCGTTGGCGGAATGTCAATGGAAAGTTCCTTGTTTGTGCATGACATAACTGCAGCATACACGCCCGTGAGGCTAGGCCCAGTCACGGCGCAAACACACCTGCACACATCCGCACACACGTGTACACATCTGCACAAACTTTCACACATCTGCACAGACTTGTATGCATGGAGAGCATCCCTACTCCGGAATGACCAGGGCTGATGATGTGTTTCTAAACGTACAAGTATTCATGCAACTAAACACATTTCCAAGTCGGGTTGCGGGTCATCATTTTCAGCACTTCTTATAATTTGACATGAAAGGTAAAGGACCACAGGAACCCTCTTTTCTCTTTCTGTGCTTGCACACTCACTCACCGGTTCATTATTCTCCACCAGGGTTGCAGTACCAGGTCGCTCTCCGTCTGGCATGTTGTCTCTAGTGAACGTGTTCTCCGATGCCAGAACAGCCGCTTCACGTTGAAACCAGTCGTCATGTTCACCCACACAATTCAGAATATCACTGTCGGTGGTGAACACAATTGTCTGCAGTGAACAACAAGGAAGAGAGAATGATGGTGGAAGTTTGGTTTCCTTTGCTGAATCTCATTATTTTACACTGAGCGTTTTTCCACCTTATGGCTGACCGGGGCAAGCATCGAATGTCACCAAAGCTTAGCAGTGATTAGTGGGAAATGGATTATTGAACGCTGTATTCAACTGGTAACACTAAGAAAGAGCACACACTGCAGGTTCTTCAACAATACCATTTTGACAAGTTTCACAAGTAAACTTCCGTGCCTTCTCCTCGGGTGACGGGGAAACTTTTGAACTGGAAACAGTATGAATATATAGAGCATCTTGGAGACGTTTCTGAACATGATAAAGTCTGGTTGAGTATGTGTGTGATGGGGTGTGTGTGGGGGGGGGGGGGGAGAAATGAACATCAATATACATGAACTCTAACACGATCATGGCTCGCTGCTGGAAATGGAAGTCGTCAATGGGATTGCGATTACTGGAAACTACGGAGAACGGTACCAGCCAGTGTACTTGTATATGGTTTCCGAAAGTACAATCCACTAACTTACGTCACCGAATGCGTCCATACTGCCATTCAGCCCTCCACATGCTCTGCAAATCCGACATGGTGACAGAATAGAACGAGAACAGCACAGGTGGACAGTCAAACGACTACCGCCTTCAAGACCCACACAGGCCAGCTGAAATAAAGACACTGTTCCCACACACAGGTGATTGCTCATGGTAACTCCACCTCTTTCTTTTCTGTGTTCTCCTTATCATTCTCTCTCTCTCCCTCACCTGCCAAACTCCCCCCTCTCTCTCTCTCTCTCTCTCTCTCTCTCCCTCACCTGCCAAACTCTCTCTCTCTCTCTCTCTCTCCCTCACCTGCCAAACTCCCCCCCCCCCTCTCTCTCTCTCTCTCTCTCTCTCTCTCTCTCTCCCCTCACCTGCCAAACTCCCCCTCTCTCTCTCTGTCTCTCTCTCTCTCCCTCCCTCCCTCCCTCCCTCTCTCTCTCTCTCTCTCTCTCTCTCTCTCTCTCTCTCTCTCTCTCTCTCTCTCTCTCTCTCTCTCTCTCTCTCTCTCTCTCTCTCTCTCTCTCTCTCTCTCTCTCCTCCCTCCCTCTCCCTCTCCCTCTCACCTGGCAATCTCTCCTTCAAAGATCGATACGTCGTCCAGGAGAATGGCAACATGCCGAGCACCACGCGCCGAGTGAATCCGTGACTTGTTATAGTTCTGTAATAGAAGGAAAAATGGAATACATTAATTGGACTACCAAGGAAACTTCACAAGATGGCTCTCCTCTGATTTACCACTGCGACTATTCACCATGACTTTGTAATGCTACTATAAAATATTTGCAACAACTTCACTGTGCCGTTATAAGTGAGTGCTTGTATAAAGTGACACAACTAGCTCTGGTTCACCACTCCTTCAACGTGTATGCGATGATGCAAGTCACGTGACCTCCATTACGCTTCATGTACACATACCTTAGTGAGGAACGTGTATAGTGGATCATAATTCCTTCTTCTTTGATACCCCCTACCTCACTCCTGTTCATGCCTCAAGTAGTCACATCAGGAATGCAACACTGTCGACCCTCTGACCTGGGTTGAGGTCTTCAGACCCTAAACCACTATCCGCGAGATTCGTGAATGTCTAGCTTCGCCAGCACCCATGACGTGAACAGTGTTGTCAGCAAAGAAAATACAATGTTCGCCCATGAAAATGCTTTATTGTGCGACAACATTCCGGGCCGAGTGTCAAACCAACGTACCCATACACGAATCATAGCCACACTGGCACTCTCGGTGAATGTGACGCTAACAGTGTGTTCCTTGCCGAGTGTGAATGGTGTTAGCCACATGTGGAAATCATCGCTGCACACGATAACAATAGAAAGGGCAGTCGGAAGGAAACGTATGAGAGCACAATGGGGGCATGCTCAACCATTGCATCACGACAAAGCTAGTACATCAATTGCAAGTTAACCAGAATGTGCTAGGGAAATCAGGTAGCTATGTAGTTTGATTGGCTTCATAAATTATGATATTGCTGCATAACTGCAATATTGTAATGGCAAAGAACTCAATTCCTGAATAGAAAGCTGCTTCCAAATGTTTAAAATTAGACACTGCAACAGCAACACAGTGTTTGGATTAATATTCGTCATTATCAGCCTTGCGCTCTCCACCATGCCTGTCTTCCTTGGAGAGAGGGGTACCGTATTTCCTGGAGAATAAGCCGTACCTAGATTGTTTATCATGAAATACAGACATCTACCCTGTTTATCACCATTATTTTTTACCATAGTAGCCGCACTGCACCGACTTTTCGGGTGAATTATTTGTGTTTTATGTGCGGCGTGTACTCTGGAATATACATTAATACAGTGGTCCCTCTATAATCCGGCACCATTTGTGCCACGAAAATCTGCTGGATTAGGGAGGGTGCTGGATTAACAAATCTGATTTACTGCTGCAATGTGCATGAAGAGGACATTTTGGCTACTGAAAATTGTGCTGGTTTATCGAGGGTGCTGGATTATAAAGTGCCGGATTAGAGAGGGACGACTGTACTGTGTTAATGTATTGCAATCAACATGGCCGTGTTGGCGTAAGTGCGTGGCTGCTCTATCACGTACCGTGTGTGGTTGACACCATCCAGTAGGTTGATGACGACACGCGGGTCTGCCGAATACCCAGGCAGCGTGTTGATGTCTGCAGGGTCAGCTGTGATCTGCAAACAAATACAGACAAATTCATCACAGTCATATTTTTCAGCCCGCCAGTGTTGTGTCGAGCGTGAAATTAAGTGTGCAAGCATGATCAACCTACCAAAAAGGAAGAACGCCGCAGGAATGCGGCTTACGATGGAAGCAGAATAAATATCTACAGTCAGTAGGGCACTGCTAAGACGTACTCTCAAGGGGAAACCGGAAAGTGTACTTCCTATCCCAACATATCTCAGTATGCATCAATGTCCGTACTAAGCAAGAGTATGTATTATCAGAGTATGCAATATCAGAGTATGTACTACCAGAGTATGTACTGACAGAGTATGTATTATCAGAGTATGTATTATCAGAGTATGTATTATTAGAGCTTGTATTATCAGAGTTCATATTAAGTGAGTTCCACTGTACATGCTAGAACCAGTAGGGTAGGATTTAGAATACAGGAGAATACTCGCCTTTCTTGCTTTGATCGGCCGTCCATCCGCCGAGAACATTTCAATGCCGTTCAGTCCGACGTAGTGCCGGTCTCCCCAGGTGCTGTAGATGACCAGCCGCAGGCGCTTTCCAAACGGCAGCACTGGGATCTCGAACACCGTGTCACCTCTGCAACAACATAAACAACACCTATTGGCGATGGTGCCATCGTGAGAATAACAAATTCAAACACCGGGATCTCGAACACCGTGTCACCTTTGCAACAACACACAAACATCACAGCGGCGACAGAACCAGCACGGCTGGTCAAGCTGGGCCATCCTCCCCCCCCCCCCGCTAAAGACCATTTCATGTCTTATCTTCACTTCTTCCCTTTAAATTAAGGCAACAGGGCCACCTTTGCACTGCTAGAATACTCCTCCGGTACATGGAGGTGCACAAGCAGGACTCAGGACATCACTACAAGAAAAAAAGCCAGACGGGACCTACTCTTCGCTTTCACCCTCGCCATCCTGAGAGGTAGCTTGCTGGTCTGCTTCACCAGCTTGTCGTGACATGGCCATATCTGATAAGAATTCATCGAGGATATCTGCAGCAAGTCAGGAGCATAACAGAATTCACAGAAAACTTTCAGAGTGCTGTAAGGGGCCGTCACAAATGTTTTTTTCCGTCGTCCTTGAACCCAACAGCGTTCATTTCATACTCTGACCCCCTCTGAAATGAACACAGCTTGCTATGCTGAACAACTCAAATCATAATGCATGTCCATGAACATGTACAGTGTTGGTCGACTTTCGACTTTGGCTCCTCCCCCCCTCCCCCCCCCCCCAAAGTATGATGTTTTTTTCAGGGACGACAAGAATTTTTTTCCAATAGCCCCCAAAGGTCGCCCTGAAAAGATCCAGAATACATGTACTTAAAATTTCTACTTTCAGAGAAGTATCGAGTTGAATGATGATTGCCATAATTATAGACATGAAAACTTGAGTTGCATCAGATTCTGGCGGGTTATTTGTCTTCTATATGTGGAAGTATTCTACTTTCGCAGAAGTTCAGCATCTCATGCAAACACAGCAGGTCTCCCTCTAACCCAGCCTACTGACCGTCGGAGTCGTGCAGGGTGAGCTCAGTGTCCAGACGGCCTCGCTGGGTTTGCTGGAACTTGCGCAGGCTAAGCAAGGACTGTTCAACATCAGCTGTCTCGCTGCACGCAACACACAGGCACACATTCAAAGAACAAAGGTCAATCGCTCACCGATAACGGCCAATGGCCGAAACGTGTGAGCTTTTGCTCGCTATCTCTGGTACTGGAAGTCAACAAATATTCAGCGCATATCTATTTTCGACCTGGTCACTGCATGCTTGGCCGAAAATTTGTTGCGGCCGAATTTTTGCTTTCCAATGTTCCGAGTGACAGTGTACACAGGCGGCAGCAGTACAGGCCGAAAATTTGATGCGGCCGAAATGTGTTTTAGCCCTGGGAGGCCGAAGTGTGTTTTAGCCCTGGGAGGCCGAAATGTGTTTTAGCCCTGGGAGGCCGAAATGTGTTTTAGCCCTGGGAGGCCGAAATGTGTTTTAGCCCTGGGAGGCCGAAATGTGTTTTAGCCCTGGGAGGCCGAAATGTGTTTTAGCCCTGGGAGGCCGAAATGTGTTTTAGCCCTGGGAGGCCGAAATGTGTTTTAGCCCTGGGAGGCCGAAATGTGTTTTAGCCCTGGGAGGCCGAAATGTATTTTAGCCCTGGGAGGCCGAAATGTGTTTTAGCCCTGGGAGGCCGAAATGTGTTTTAGCCCTGGGAGGCCGAAATGTGTTTTAGCCCTGGGAGGCCGAAATGTGTTTTAGCCCTGGGAGGCCGAAATGTGTTTTAGCCCTGGGAGGCCGAAATTTGAATGGGCCGAAAAGTTGTACACTTACAGTGCTGTGTACGGTAAGTGAAGAGTGAATGCATATTCAGAGAAGAGTGTTGGAGAACACACCACTCCACGCCTGCTCACAGCCGTAGTACTTAGGATAGTACTGTAGTCAACATGTCTTTGCCCACATTCCAGTACAGTTGAACATCGATTATCCGACCACCTCTGGGCAGACAACTGTCAGGCGGTGTTCAGATAAGGCAAATGTTCTGGATAAGAAAAAACTGTCACCCACACACTTTCAGTGGTTATTACTAGCCGCACGACCTTTTTACTTTTTACTTTACAAAATTTTCGTATTTTTTGAATGGCTCACTACGTGCACAGTGCGTACTCTACGGCACGTGCGCCCAAAAAAACTGTTGCGGATAATCGAATGGTCGGATAGTCGATGTTCAACTGTACTGCACAGTACATGCAGCGGTACTGAACAGCACATGTCCAGAAACATATCTGTATTTTTCATCTGCTGAGAATCTAGCCACATCGCTAGGCAACAAGACAGCAAGACATCTACATCTGGCGAAGTAACGTATACGAGAAAAGCAAACAAACTTGGGAGACCTTCATCCTAAGTGATAAATACATCCAGGATTTGATGTACGATATCTATACACCGCGACCCAATGCCTACGGGAGCACGTTGCTTGTGTTGCGTACTCTGACTACCACATGGATCACATCACATGCAACAAGACCACGCCAAGCATAGAGGACATACCTGGATGCATCTTCAACCGGAAGCGTGGGCAGTGGTTGCTGCCGCTGGTCATCATGCTGTCCTGCTGAAGCATGGTCATGCATCCCATGAAGGGAGCTGAGCGCATGGCTATCGCCTGCTGCAGCATTGACATGAGGTGAGGGAACACTGCGTGACCGTCGTCCAGACTGCACTCTCGCACTGTGCTGCTGCGCTTCTTGTGCGAATGGCATCGGAGACGGCGTTCCAGTGACGTCCACAAACTCAGACGTGACGTTCGCGATCTCCTGCTGAGACGAGGCATACGGCAGCGCGTCACTCGACGGAGGACGAGAGTGTCGGGACTGCCGTCCAATGGCGCTGGGAGCACGGTAACCATGGCGACTGGACTGCACTGCGGCGTCAACGTCGTCGGAGGCACTGACGTCATCTTCCAGTCCCGCCAGTCGAGAAATACTTTGCTGTCGACGATCTCTGGAACCAGCGGATTCTGCCCGTGCTCTGGAGCTGGATGGGAAACTCATCGCCATCTCGTCATCGTCCATGTCTTGGTCCTGAGCTGCACCACCGTCGGTATTTTCATTGCCTCTGCGTCGCGAAGAGGGCGGAGCGCTGGATGGGTTGGGTGCAAAGTCGCGGACTCTTAATGGTAAGTTTGGAGCCTGTGAATCCCTTCCAATGTCGCTGATATCCATGCCATGTTCTAGAAACGAGAATGGTCAGACATAACACCTTTTTGCCTTGGGCATTGTGTGCCAAGCGGCGATATCCATTCCTTGTCAGTGCCTGGTGCACAGTGCTGACTCTAAAATACCACACTTTCCAGTAACCCAACTCAAACACATTGTCTAGTCCATGCGGCAGTGTACCATGTTTATGCAGTTGTCATATTACAATTACCTCTTTGCTTCCATCTCATATTGCGCATATGGACTGCGATCTACGGCGAGATACAAAGAGGTAGTCGTAATATTATAACTCCATGCCCAAGGTACGGTACTAAACAGCATAGAGGTACCTATATGTATATTGCAAGCCAGGGTATCCATCACAGGTTTCTTGCAATGTGCAGCACCCCCCCCCCCCCCCAAACATACTACTACCCTCAGTTCTGATCACATACAGAGGGATGGAGGAGGCGACTTACCTTTCTCCTCACCCGAGTACCTGATGGACGGTTCCGACGTGGAGATGCTGTGCGTCATGAGCAGCTTACTCCTCCCCTGCTGCAACACCTGCACATATGCACAAGTCCGTACACAGCGACGAACAAAGCAACAAGCTTCTATACATGTATTGTGGCCCCGTGGCCCACCCGCGCATACAGAAAAATATTTTTCGTTGCAATTTTTCACTTACAAGCCCATGTGCTTACATGTAGGGAAGTACGGTATAACCACAATACCCAGGGGACCATCCAGAGTTCTCTCCAGGGGGGGGGGGGGGGGGGGGTTCCAGTTTAGCCAAAACTGAATAGCTGATACAAGTGCATGTACACGCACAAGGTTTCCAGTAGTACATTAGCAATTTTCAGGGGGGGGGTTCCAGGGTCCCCCGGAACCCCCTTGAATCCGCCCCTGATGCCTGATCATGCTCATGAGAACACACATGAGCACAGCATGTCATCTCGCTCTATCGTCTTACCGCTGTTTTCAAGCGTTCTCCGGGGGGTCTGGAGAACCAATCCAGATCTTGGCGCAGCACAGGTGTTGATGATCTCCTTCTGCAAAAGTTTACACAAGAGAGCATTCAAGTTACTGCAACATACTTCACATGAACTAGTGGTAGTGACTATGCATCGTGATGTCGAGGACGTGAGAACATGTTGTGTGTGTGTATCTGTGCATGTGTGTGTTTCTACACCTTGTCATTCGCTAATGAGACGCAACCAGGTCGAAAAAGCTAGCTGTCCGGTGATTGATCAATTTTCTCACGGCTTCTCAAGCCAACTTGTTGCGAAATTCGATTCAATTATTATGTACGCACGTTGTCGTATTATTGCGGTTCTTGTCTTGTGGCATCCAATGTATGATGTCATTATTATGGTCTAGTACAAATCTGATAAAAAAACAGCAAGGGGCTACTAGAACAGGTTGAGAACTCGAGATAGTATTCCAACACAACTCACCCACTGGAGAGAGATCCACTCCTGGGACGATCGCCGATTTCATCACTCTGAACTGATCTCCGACCAGACATGGGGTGCGACGGTTTAGGCGGCTCGTCGTCAAACAGCAGCGTAGTGTCGAGTTTCTTTGGCTCAGGCATATCTAAAATACCTGCAGGGTAGCGCACGAGAGAAAGAATGATCAACTCAGACATCATTAATTGCGTACCAGTGCTACATGTACTTGAATGAATAACAGTATTACACTTAACTTGGCGAATAACGACAGGCCTCGATTTTGCATGAGAAAATAGTCGCTAGTCTCGGGCTGTCGATATTCTTGAGGGTGAAAGTATGCAGTTGAACTAATGGTCATTTGGTCTGAGGATTGTGTCGCTACAGTCCATTTCAAATCTATAGACGCGTAGGGTTTTTGGAATATTTCAAATTCGGCTGGAACTTTTTGAGAATAGTTTTCGGAATATTGCTCAGGTCCGCTCCACAATTACTCTCATATAGTTTCTAAACGATTGGATAACAGACGCCCAATTTGGAAAAATTTATGCACAAAGTGATCACAGATTTTATGTGGTATAGATGCTTGCTGGCATAACGGTTTTTGCCTAGGCACGCGTCTATAGTTTTGAAATGGACTGAAGTCGCTAGTTGTAGTATACCCGAGCTCGTTATTCACAAGGTTGACCAATCCATAGTTGTCCAAATGCATTGATGAGAAAACACGGTTAGTTTGGAGTGGGAAGATGGAGATCCTTTCACAGGCTACACGGCAAACTACACACATTCTGGGCATGTGTGGGTGATTTCCCACACATCAAATTCCTGTACTGCAAATCACAACAAACAGTCCTAAAATGATAAATGCAAGCTGTGCAGGTAGACCAGTTGTAAAGCTAAGCTACAGGGTCGCAGCTGTAGTATAGCTCTGTTGGTTAGAGCATTGCCCGCGAACAGCAAGGTCCCTGGTTCGAGTCCCAGTGGTTTAGCATGATTTTTTCTTTCGTATCTGGCTACCAAATGTTGAGTTTCAGAGAGAAAATAAGCAGTACGAGGCAGGTGGCCTATTTTCCTAGTGATCATCCACATGCATATGATGCTGCCCAGAATGCATGGTATATGCATGAGGTGCAGGTGGCCAGACTTAGCATGACCAAGCAATCACATCAGCTTACCACGTAACTTCTCTGACGGTGTCTGCGGCTTGCTGCATGATCAACAGAAACCAGTAAAATCAATCAGGTTCTGATTTGTGTACAATACTGTGTGAAATCGGAACAGGGGATGCTTGAAACAGCAAATGCTCCCTCATCGCTATGCCTCACATGACTATTCAAGATCTGTGTTTTCTCTTTGTCTTGTGGTGATTATCTTTACTGGCCTCAATCAGTTTCATGACTGCTCACATAATACAAGGAGCCTGCTAGGCGCAGCAGAGCAAGGGATAGGAATACAGACTGTGCGTGAAACCTTCACATTGACGCTCAGACTGAACACACGCATTGCATTGGAAGGGCTGGAATGGAATTTAGCTGAACCCTTTATAAGTGACCCCGTAGTTGAATGTGGAAAAATTCTACGTTTTTTTTTTTTTTTTTACAAAGACCACTAAATGCCAAACATGAGATGCAGCTAGGGGAAGCACGCACAACCTGAATCGTGGCAGTGGTGGTGAGGTTTAGGGAGCTCCGCCGACCTAGGGTCTCGACTTCATAGCACGTATTCAACTGTGAAGCTTCAGCACTTGGTCAAAACTAGCTCAAATTCAACCATCCAATATGGGGAGGAGTGGAAAATGACTTGGCCTTACTCAAACAACTACCACTCCAAAAGATCACAGAATAACTAACCTCGATGTGATGTCGGAGAGACTTCCCCCTTTTTCCTTTGCCTGTGGGGAGTCCACGTCGGATGGTTCGGAGGCAGCAGGTCTGATTGGCTGCTGTGATAACCATGGCAACCTGTCCAGTCCTATTGTAGTACTGTAATCAGTGTGTGACTTGCCACAGCCCTGCAATCAAACAAAGACGATAGACTCAATGCGGCCATTCCAGAGATGCATGGCTAAGGAATGGCACAGGGTAAGACTACTTTACCCGCTTTGAGTTTGACAACTGGGAGCCTGGGGAAGAAGCACACTTTCCTTATTCGGACATCGCAACACTGCATGATCCAACATACATCTGGTTTCAAATCTGTATTACTCACGATGGCCATTTGGTGAGTTTGTTGTACATGCTAATGAATAATATCGACCTTGAACACAAAGAGAAGCAGTTGCATTCCATAAAACTTAGAAAAAGGATACACTTCAGGTTGAACATTTAGAAATTTTCACAAGTACACTTTTTAAACTTTCTCGGCAATTATATTCTGGTTACCTTATTAATCTCGCCGCTCCAAACTTCTCGGTTGTTGACCAGCACAGCTGCTTGGCAAACTCCCATACTCAAGTCCTACACATGAGCAAAATATAACACCAAATAAACATCATCATCTGAAGAGAGTTTGCATTGTGAAAAGAAGCCTGATGGCATTGACGAACTTCCTAAGGTTTGCAACACCTTGCCGAAGATGAAAACTGTGCATCTATGACTTTCATGCACTGTAGAAATGTACTTCCAAGCAGACAAGGTCCAAATTATTCTCTATCACATGTGCGGACGCGTGCGTGAGTGTGTGTGTATGTGTGTGTGTGTGTGTGTGTGTGTGCGCGCGCGTGTGTGCGTGCATGGGTGCGTGTGTGTGAATCGTGGAATAATGACATGCATATACTTGACATGAACACAATACATGCATGGCAATGCCAGCTCATCAGCCATTATCACATCATTATGACATCATTATGACATACACTCACATTGCCACTCTTATTATAGTTCCAGACACGAATGGACTTCAGCTGCGGCACCGAGGTGTCAATTTCGGTGTCACCCTGCTCCCGTAACGTACACCCGGGCTCAAACGTCAGCGAGACGGGAAAGTCCGGATCGTACTCCGTCGTCCACATGAACGTCGGATGGTGAACGCGTGTTTTGCCGTTGAGCAGAGCAGCGGCAGAAGCGGACGCGGCTTGCGGATTCGTCTCCAGACTGACGGACACCTGGACACGGCAACTGCCCAGCCACAGTCGCTTGTTGTCCATGGTGACAAACTCAACCTGGAAAGTGGAACCCAGCGGTAAACATTCACATCCAACCCATATTTCCTCAAATACAAGACGCACCTTTTCACACTAAACGTTACAGGTAAATAACCGGGTATAACCGGGTATAACCGGGTATAACCGGGTATAACCGGGTATAACCGGGTATAACCGGTATAACCGGTATAACCGGTATAACCGGTATAACCGGGTATAACCGGTATAACCGGTATAACCGGTATAACCGGTATAACCGGGTGCAATTTACAATCGAGTGTGACTTCCTACTTATGTGAATTTATTAAAACCAATTTTGGCACAGACCCGAAAACGGGTTGCAACATCTAATTGGCTAAATACACTAACAACCCAGCAGAGAAGGAATTGCATTAGTGGTAGTTATGTTGACGTATATGCTACATGCTCTATCATCGGACGATGAGCATCGTAGGCCCAAGCAAGAGAAGATTCTCCTTTTTTACCATAGAACACGTTTAACCCAAAAATCGATGATCAAAATGACGGTTAGTTCACCTCTCACCTCCGTCAGTCCAATCTTGGACTCGTGGCCCCAGTTGGTGATGAGCTTCAGCGTGACAAACAGGTTTCCCTGGCCTTTCTTGGCCTTGGCGGCCTTGGCCTTGCCATGCCCTTTGCTAACAGCACCAGTCGTGTTTGGCGAGGCTTGTTCATTCGTTGAAGCTGTCCCATCCGGGGGCTTGCCATCCTGCGGCAGTGTGTCGTCAATCTTGCGGATCATCTTCAGGAGCTTACGTTGTTGTCTGCATGTTGATAGAGGAAGAGTGGCCGAAACTCGATTTGAAGAATGTGGATCAAACAGCCTTAAGCCAATGTAGAGCATTGAAATGTCTCAAACTTATCCAAAATTGATATTGATGCAGTACACCCCCCCCCCCCCCCCCCATGCCTCGCCACAGCCAGGTTGTACAAAACACATTCAATGGCTTCTGAACTCCACAAACCATAGCAAGTACACCCCACACAGGGTACATTTACACCAAAACCCTTTCCTCACCTGCCATCTAACTCCTTTGCTCTGTCCGCTGCCTTTTCTACAACGGTTTTAGGTCCGGGTGAAGTGACCCCGCCCTGTTTCCGGTTGGGGTGAATTGCCCTCATCGGGCCTTTCTTCCCGGGCTTCTTCCTATCGGCTGCATAGCCGGCCGGGATGCTCTTGTCCCACGTAGAGCGCTGTGCTGCTGGGGCTGCTGGTGCTGCCTGAGCTACAGGCTCCTGATCACGTGGTTCTGCAGTGCGAAGTGAGAGTCCGGGAGAGTCTTGGCTTTTGCTTGTAGTACTATGCGTTTTCAACGCTGCTGGACTCTGGGATACGCTGTCCGATACCGGCTGCACATCTTCCGGTTTACGCCGAGGCACTGGCATGGGTGCTGCCAGTGTTGGTATTGTCGCGGCTGATTCTTCAGTTTGGCCGCTGACGCTGCCTACTGATCTCGGCACTGGAGGTGAACTCTTCAAAACCGGAATGGACGATTGCTTGGGTTTGTCCGATGATTGAACCGTGTGCGCGGCGGCTTCAGTTGGTTGCTTGAGACTTTCAGATTGTGGAGCAACTTGAGGCGCTGCCTTCGCTTGATCTGCCGGTGGCTTGGGCGGTTTCCGATCTGTTGGCGGCGCCGCAATAGAGTCTTTCGTGTCATCAACTTCCAGAGCAATGTCGGCATCGGGCAATGACTTTTCTGTGTCCTTGTCCATCGCTCTACTAGTGTTCTCTTTGTTGATAGGGTCATCTCGAGCCGCCTCTACTGGCACGACAAAGGCCATGGGTTTCAGAGTTGCCACGTTGCTCTGTTTCTCCTGGTGCTTCTCTAGCTGGCGATTCTCAGCATCGATAGCAGCCAAGACGTCGGCAGCGACCGTATCGGAATCCGTCTGACTGTCCGACTTCAGCGACCTTCGCGACACAGACGATACGAATGTCTTGGGCTTTCCTAACGTGAGCACAAGTTGTCACACACACACACACACACACACACACACACACACACACACACACACACACACACACACACGAGACACACACGCACACAGGAGATGCACATGAGACACACACGCATGCATGCACACATAACATACACAAGCACACATGCAAACAAGCGCAAGCAACCTTCCAGTGTGCAGCGTAAAAAAAACTCTATGATTGTGTTACATGAGAAGTTTCGGGATGAAAACGCTACTGAAGTAGTATTTAAAACACAATGCACAACATTCATCCATATCACTACCAGATTGCAAAACGGAGAGGTTCCAGGCTGTGTACACACCGCCACGTACTTGGGCTGAATGCCAAGGTAACAAATCCAGGCTTGGTTGATGCACCACGGCAATCCGCTCCATCGTCAACACCAGCGACAGCAGCAGTAGCACTGCGATCGTCATCGACGTTGATCACGATGCCTTGTTGATGCAGTGAAGTGTGCATGTCGTCACTACCAGAGCTGCTGTTCAGACTGTCGTCCCTGCACTGGTCACTGATTTCAGCCTCTCCTGTACTGCCAAGAGTCTACCAGCACAATAGAGAGGTACAGGATAATGGTGTCTACATTCTATGCAGTAGCCGGGGTGCCAGAATTGGTGCCGCAGGTCCGACCGACCAAAGCTGCACCGATAATAACGTTAATTATAATCTAGTGATCTTGGAAGCTATAACATAAGAGCTATTCGGACCCGATTTTCAAAGCACTTTCCCCGGGAGGGCCCCGAACTGTGGGGACCGCTGTATATCGGCGGGAGGCACTCAGTTTAAAACAGGATTGAGTGTACATGTCTGGCACCATGACGTACACCAAGTATACACTAACATAGAGCTCAGGCCAAACGCAAAGCTACGCTCTCATCTCACTGAGTAACAAACAGGGAAACACACGGATGGGAACCCTCAAGAGGAACTGACAACAAACTACAACCCACAGCTAGAACAACTGTTCAACATTGCAGCAAAAGAGGTTGCTGGGTATTTGGCCACACACTTCCAAGATCTAGATGAAATAACGCTTCGGGAACACCAGCACTGTCCCTTCGTCAGAATAAATGTTTTACGATCGAGAGACTGGAGTTTCAAAACATCATCTCATACAGATCTTGGAAGTGTGCTGCAGAAGACCTAACAACTTCCATTTGTTTCATATTGAACAATAAGCCCACTGTACATTGCCAAATATGGAAAGTATGAGTGATGCATGTGAGTATGCTGGGATCAGGCATTGTCAACAGACCCAACACCCTACACAACTATCTCCAGGTGGCTGTGTAGGGTTCGGCTGTACAAAATACGTCATTGCGCAATGAGTTGATAGACACAGATCACCAGACTATGCTGTCAAGCCGACCTCGTCAATCTCGTTGTCCAGGGAGTCATCATCACTGTCGGAAAAGGCATCCGCTGCCAGTCGTTTCATCTCTTCCTCCTCCAGGCTACGTCGCAACATCTGCATTCACACGCACACATACATGTACGTACGCATGCGCGTGCACACACACACACACACAGATAACATCAGAATAATGATAATATCTTAACTGCTCTATGGGTGTCACCTGTCAAACTGGAGTGGGACAGTGGGGGGGGGGGGGAGGGGAGGGAGAGGGGGAAGAGGAGGGGAGGGAGAGGGGGAGGAGGAGGGGGGAGGGGGGGGGGGAGGAGGAGGGGGGAGGGGGGGGAGGGAGAGGGGGGAGGAGGAGGGGAGGGAGAGGGGGAGGAGGGGGGAGGGATAGGTGGAGGGGAGAATGTGTTAGTGTGCGACGCCTTGATGTGGTGACACAAGCCTACGGGAAATATGGATATTCACTGCCTGCCCATGCATCCATCTTCTTGAACTGTTAACAAACAGATCATAAAAGCAGAGCTAGCCTCTGAGGAGAGATAAGCATCGCATAATTTACACTTGCAATTACTGGAATCTGAGTGCCTTTAAAAATTAAAAATTAAACAGGTTTCTAGTACTCGAAGTCAGCCTTTTAACGCGTGGACTATCAGCGAAGGTGTGTGTGTGTGGGGGGGGGGGGGGGGGGAAGTGTTATGTATGGCGTAAAATCCGCATACCGACGTGGGATACATTGATTTGCTTTATCTAATTTCTTTTATCATGGGCTTACTTACGGTGACATCATTCCTGCTCAGTGTCAGGGTCTGGTCATTATCACTGTCATCGGCTGACAGCCGGGCGTGTTCCTCCATGTCCACATCGTCACTGTCTCCATCGTCGGGCCCGCTAGTACTGCTCTCGTCATCCGACATTGAACAGCTCTCAAAATCATCTTCATACTCTCCAGTTAGGTTACCTATACAGCACAACGCCGGCAAACACAAAATTCACGGTTCGCGTGAGACTCGGCTAGAAAGCGAGTTTTCTGCATCCGCAGGAGTTAATGCCACCAGCCTCCAGGATTACGGCACAAGAAGGCAGCTACGTGTATAACAGATACAGCTCACAAGAACTTGTTCAAAAATGTTCCTTTACTATAAATATGATTCCACAATGGAGAGCTACGATAAAGAGCCGTGATTTGTGTACATGTCCGGCTAAGATCACACATAGCTGACATTGATCAAGCGGACATGCAGTGGTGTGTGTGTCTTGGCATAAGCGTAGCTGTAGCGTTTTTCTTACGGACACACATCGGTAAAATTAATGGTCAATGTTCAACTAAGATGACCGTGTGGCAGTTGAAACATGCTCAGGGTATGAATACTTGGGTATGCTGAGGCAATGGTGGCAAGTGGAAATCAGTTCAGAGAATTGTTTATCAATAGTGTTAGCTACACGACCCTGGCATTTGTCCCGCCCGGGGCTTTCCGCTCACCTGGTGCTGTGAGGGGCACGGAGCTGCCATCGACTTGCTTCACACTGCATTCACTCTACAAGTACGAGCAAACACAAGTATAGCATACCAGAGCTGTCACTGCTGAGCTGGGCAAATTCAAACAGTGATGGAGTGGGATCCACTGGATAGGATCACCAGCCTCCGGGCATTCGGGGAGGGGGGAACTGAACCCAAGACTACCCATGCATTCTTGTGAGTACTTTGAAGTACATGGCTCACAACTGTCGTGAATAGATTGCTACAGAAAATGATGAATGATGTAGCTGGACCGCTAGCATTGTCTAGCAGTCATGGTGCACTTCAAGATCCCCTGTCACGGACTACAAGTATAGCAAGGAGGTACGTGCACAACTTACCGGCTTCCATGCTTTCCGCTTCCCGGGCGCCGTCTTTGCTCTCCTGCACAGAGAAGGAAGAAGAGAGACCTGGTAACGATTTGACGCATTCTAAAACTGCCTAACATAAGTTACGCGCGTGCGGGGGGGGGGGGGGGCAAGTCTTGGCCAGCAATACAATCCAGACCCGCCTTAACCAGTCCGGTTGGTCAGGTTATTACCGGACCAACTTGCTGGCCACCAACATGTATTTCCTAATGTGGAGGTCATATGTATCCGCCGTATCATATAGAAGGTATGAGAGGTCATGATACTATCGGAACAATCAAAATCTGCTTCCTGCGGTCCCGCAATCAAACTGGAACTATGATGCAGGCATGCAACAAACACCGCACTGATGACTCCCCGATGCCCGGTGACTCTATGTTGATGTCTCAGGAGCGTTTAATTTGTCTCCTGTTTTTGCGAAATATATTTTCACAACATTGCACCACAAAAATGTTTCGAGTGCAAAGCCTGCTGACTTTCGCACCAGAGCTGTGCTAATTCCATCTTTTTTTAACTTGCAGCTCACATTACATGTCTCTCTCTCTCTCTCAGCTACAGTTGCTAGGAGGTGAACTTCACTTACGTCTTTCTCTCTCCAGTCTTAGTCATACTGTGCGTGTGCCGTCCTGGCCGTCTGCCAGCAGCTGGAAGTCCCTTGCTTGTTGATGCTGCGGCACCTGTCCTGCGCCGTGATTCTAACCAACACAATCAGAAAGAAAGATGGACAAGCTGTGATTCATCGGACTGCATGCTACTTCTGAGACATCATTCTTCATTTACCGCCAGCAATACCCAAAAGCCTATCCACAATTCACAAATTTGGCATAACAACCGTCGTTAAAAAACAGTGTCCAATGATGTGTTGCACGTGAATCTGCTCACACAAAAACAAGCCAAAAGAAGATGAACGGGCACACAATACAAGCGGGAATTGGAATGTTAGAAACACACACCTGTTTCACATTCACATGCACGCGTACACACACACACATGTACACACACACACACACACACACACACACACACACACACGCACACACACACACACACACACACACGCATGCCCCACACACACACCCACACACACAGAATGTCTAACAGAAACACTTACTGGAATGGGGGCCATTGACGTACAGCTTGAAGCCCTGCTCTTTCTGCTGCAGCTGCGGGTCCTGGCGATCTTGTTCCTCTTTCTTGAGACGATTTTTCTCCTCAAGGTTATACAGAAACTCGTCATAATCATCAGCTTTTGCAGCAGGTGCAGATTGTTCCGCAGCAAACGATGTACTCGGCGGTAGAGCTGTTCTGGAGATGGATGAGTTGCCTGAAGACGCTGGTGCGTGCTTGCTCTTGTCGATGCTGCTGGCACTGGCTGTAGCCGATGATTTTCCCGAGATGGACGGGGACTTTGAAGAGGTGCTACTGCCACTGCCCGCAAAGGCGGCTGTTGTCGATGGTGCGGGTGGTCGTTTCGCCGAGTGTGTCCTGCTATCATCGCTACCAGTGGTGCCAGTACTAGCAGTGGCACGTTTGTCGGTGCTCGACTTGCCCGGGCCAGCACCCCACTTGCGACGGGGTGGCTTGCCTTGACCTGCAGATACATGTGCACAATGTACGTATGTGATGTACGTATGTCCAGTGGGGGCGGTTTTTGCTTATCCTGTCTGTGTCATAACCTATCACATGCTGTGTACGATATGGTACGTACACATGACGATGTCAACAGTAAATCCGCGTTGTTGACACAAAAGGTGTGTCCGGCCCTGGCCTGACCAATCACACCGGTTCCGCCGCACCTGTTATGAATGCAAATGTGCAGATGTACTGTAAAAGCTCTCATGTACTGTAGTGGGCATTTGATCTGTTGATAAGTCAGGTGACCATGGGTTGCTGGCCTCTCAGCCGCAAGCAATGCTAGTCCATGTTTTACAGTGAGTACATTAATTACAGGCATCAGTGCATGGACGCGCTAAAAGCAGTAAGGGTGCCCCCCCCCCCCCAGTCATCCCATCGGATTTCAATGTCCACGACGGTACATAAGCGAACCTACATGTATGTATGTGCAGTGATGCGGAGTGGAACCCAGCCCCTGAAAACTTGTAGCATAATGCTGAGATCCAGCGGAGGGGGATTTCCCTTGGTTGCCACTGTATCATGCCAGATCATTAGGTCAATGCGGGAGCATGCAATGCACCACAGGAAAAAAAGCCCCGTTCATACTTCATTTTGTGTACGGGGAAACGCCGGTGAGAGTGTGTGTGTGTGTGTGTGTGTGTGTGTGTGTGTGTGTGTGTGTGTGTGTGTGTGTGTGTGTGTGTGTGTGTGTGTGTGTGTGTGTGTGTGTGTGTGTGTGTGTGTGTGTGTGTGTGTGTGTGTGTGTGTGTGTGTGTGTGTGTGTGTGTGTGTGTGTGTGTGTGTGTGTGTGTGTGTGTGTGTGTGTGTGTGTGTGTGTGTGTGTGTGTGTGTGTGTGTGTGTGTGTGTGTGTGTGTGTGTGTGTGTGTGTGTGTGTGTGTGTGTGTGTGTGTGTGTGTGTGTGTGTGCGTGCGTGTGTGTCACTACGCCTGATGTGGCGGAAAAGTTGACTTGGGCTCGACTTGTTTGGCCCACCACGCAGCTATTGTTGCACATGTTGTGAAACATTTCTCGCATGCAAAATGAAGATATATACCGGGCTTATGTCAAGTCAATGTCTGTGATTACTGTACATTAGGCACCGGCGGATTATGCCGGCATAATTATTAGCATAATTTGGCGGTTGAAAATTTGGAGCATAATTTGGCATCCTTTCGGAGGTAGGAGCATAACTATTATGATTGTACCACAGTTCTAGTATGTAGGCTACAGAATTGTGTACAATGCACCTGATCAGCGCTATCGCGCTAGTGATCTGTTTGGTAAAGGGTTTGGAGGTCATGCAGATATAGTTTTCAGTGAAAAGCAGGGTTTTATGACTATAATGAGGTATCCCGAGGTGGACGAGATAGTGATGGGTAGTCCGCAAACGGACTCTGCGTACATGTACATTATTCATGATACGAAGTCGTGACCGGCTCGGGATTTTAGCAGCCGTGGCTGTGCAGGCTATGGATATTGCTCTAATAACTAGAAAATATCAAGTGAGGTATTGTTGATGTTTGATCATGATGGAAGGAGAGGTGGAGCTACGAGAGAGATGTGCTGATTATTCGCAGGGTGAGGTTGACATCGGTTGGACGAGTATGACGATTACGAAGACAGTCAGTTGAACATGATAATTTTGAAAGGCAAACAAAATTTAGCTTGTAGTGAATAGAAGATGCAATGTTATCTCTTTTCTTTGTTGATCTCTAGCATGCATAGACACTTTGGTATGGGGATACTCATGTACATGTATTTTGTTGTACTTATGGCCAATTGCAAGTACATGTACGAAAAACGCACAATTTTCCAAACTTTGAGGCTCCATAAGTACAACGTGAATGCATATCCCTGCGTGCCAAAGCATAATATGAGGATTTTGCGAGCATAATGCGAGAATCCACGAAAGCATAATTCCATGATTTCGCGAGCATAATCCGCCGGAGCCTACTGTACATGCTCATAAGCTCAGCAACCGCGCCCAGAGCTCATTCGTTATCTGGGTTCGAGGATTCGTGAGAAATTTGTAAAGAGCCCAATTCATACCAGGAATGCAATGTCTCTTCGTTCGTCGACTGTTCCCAGTGCAGTTTCGCCTCCTACACATGTCGCCCTGGTGTGCGAAAGGCCTATTTGCGGAGTAATGCTATCCGTATTCAATGATGCCTGCACCAACACCATCATTCATCGCGCATAAATCATACATTCGGCGCTCAAACGTGTACAGCAGTGCCAGTAGTATGCAACACGAGGCTCACCTGGTCGGCCGCTCATTCCGGACGTTGATGCCAACTATCCGCCTCTCGGATGTTCTAAGAAAACTTGCAGGCACCGTTTCGCTAGTAGCGCTCAGCACGCCGCAACCTCAGCAGATCACCCCCACGCCAAGAAACGTCGCTGCTCACGGCGAAGCATAGTCGACGCCGGGTGCACCAAGGCGAGGAAGTCGTTGCTTCTCCGCAAAGATAACCGAGTATCGGGGGCGATACAGTGATGTGCGCGCGGCGCAATTCGACCGAGGAAACTATCAAGTGGCGAAGCAAAATGAACGGCCACCATTCAAGAAAGCCATTTATCTCGACATATTCTATGCACCTCAGTGGCATGCAGTCTCCTAGATCCTTTCTTCTCGGAGCAACAACAAACTTTTTCCAAGCATGATTCATCTGATGGGGGCTGACTGTAGCTGTCGTCATCCATTCACGTGACTTCAGGCGATATGCTAGGCGTGTGCGAAACGCGCGGCACTAGCACTATCAACGTTGCCAAGGACGACAACGACAAAAGTTACCTAAAAAAACCTACAAAAATCAATGAATCATGTAAACAAACGAAAGCCGATGTACATTTTGGGGGTCTTCACCATTCACCAACGGTAGAAACAGCTACTTCTTCAAGTTCTAGTCTAGTCTATAACCTGATAACTGTAACTGTAAAAGGCTAAGTAAATTGATGCTTCCGAGAATAATAAAAAAATTAAATAGCAACTTACTTCTATGTACATGTACATGTCATTTTCCTCCTTGCAACTGCATGCTATCCCGACAGGCTATGTCATCAAGCTCAAGCTTGATGCATGCTGGACCATGCAGTGCTGCATATTACCAAGACGTAGAACTGTTAGTATTATGCCTCTACCCGCAGATCCCTCTACGGTACACACACCCCACGGGCCGGCACACGCAGTCATGCGAGAACTCGCGCAGTCAGTCTTTGATACACAAACTGTCGTAATTCAACCAACAATGCGGCAGCTAGAAATAGCTAATAGATGATGTTACAGAGAAAATGGGGATAGAGCAACTACAAGTCTATACATACTGGTAGTGCACTTGCCAGAACAGCAGCCCCAGAACTTGCCGAGTTTCGAGAGTACTTCAAAGAAGTAGCATGATAATTATTACGACGGAGAAACTAGCAAGGAGAGTGACCCGCTGAAGAGGTGGGAAAGAAACATTCTCGTGAAAACAGGAGCCGGTCGCTTCAACACAAGAGAGCAGCAAAGGCAGGAAAGGAGACGCACACAACTGCCTGCAGCGATCATCAAGCTCGACAGAGCAGCGGCAATGGATCCGGAGAAACGGCACAAACACGCCCAGGGCAAACGGCCAATATCGAACCTACAAGATAATAATCAACACCCACACACACTAGCTAGGGAGGAATGGGGCCGGTAAAAGACACTGACAGCGGCCGCGAACACGACAACACCCACCCACACAACGTCATTATAACCTTGGAAAACATTTCTAGGACTGCAAAACATATCAGAAAACAAAACCGAATGGAACGCGCAAGCAGATAACGGAGAGTATTGCTTCGTAGTAGCTGTGTACAAGCAATGCACAAACAGAAAGCAGCCACAGCAGCAGCTAGGAGGGGAAGGAGGCAATGTGGCACTATATCAAGAGCATGCGTCAACGCTACTACAAGCTACAGCAGACGCACGGACATGCAGGAAAACTCAGACGCACACGGGCAGACATACCATCTGTTCCGGAGCATGCGTCCGTCGCCGGTGCTTCGCGATGCGACCATCACAGATACGTATAGTCGGTGAAACGTAAGAACAGAGGAAGAGAGGTCGGGAGAGAGAAAGAGAGGCCGGTCTAAAGATAGATGGAAGCTACGCGACATGCGAACGCACAAGCAGCAGTCGCGACGCAAAGCTCCCAGCGTGCGCCTAGCGTAAACATCTGTGCTCAAAGCAACAGCGATCGCGCCGCTGCTTGTAAATGAGAGCAATGAAGGTCAGATTGGTAAAGGAGGCAGTGCATTTTTTTCTCCGTCCTGCACAGCACTCAGTCGCTCCACATCAATAAAAGTCGGCTCTATACTGCAGATGTGCAACACACATTACCACAGAAACACCTGGTAAGCAGCCATTGTAGAGCACAGCCGCGGACGCACTCGCTCAGAAGCGCGGAATCCAGTGCTTGGCGAGCATCTCAGATGTTGCTCTCTCCAGTGTACTTGGATGCCTGCTCATGGTGCTGCTGCAGACGCTGGCGGCGGAAGTTCTCGTAATGTACCTTGTCCGTCTTCTCCTTCAGGTCTTGCATGTGTGTTCTGAGAACAGGGGCACACACACGGGTGCACAGACACGCGGACGGACACACACAGATTAGTTATTAAGCAATGATCTAATGGAAAACAGCATGCACAGGTTGTACAAACGCAAACACCCCACCCCACACACACACACCACACACATACTGTAGTGTTGCGTATAAAAGTATGACCTGTAAAGAAGCCGGTTTTTTGAAGCACGCCGTGACACAGAAGCATGATTTGAATAGAGGCCGCTCTCTGGAAAGTGCACATGCAAGGACATGCATGGCAGTATGCACTACACAGTGTAGACTGATGATGTTGACGTAGAAGCATGGTTTGAACCCCGGCATATACGACCGTAAGCACCTGCTTTTATACGCGACATTACGGTATACAAACGCACATGCAGACGTACACACACACACACACACACACACACACACACACATACACACACCACACACACATACATACACACACACACACACACACACGTAACACTCACTTGATGAGCATGTCGCGGAGCTGTGAGAATTCGCAATGGTCGCGGTTCTCAACTTCAATTACACCCCACCGTGTCTGACGCCCATACACATCCTTGTTGCCCACCTTGATAGCACGGTCGCTACCAACTACACCGAACGGAATGAGAGCCTGTATGGCAGAGGGACACAGAACAAAGCAAGCTACGTGTAAGGTAAAACGGAAGAGGTTGGCGTAGAGCAGAGCTCTCCGGCTTCAGGCGACGAAAGAACTTTTTTCTTCGAACGCTCACTCTTTGCTTTCATGTCTGTGTGGTTCACACACTGCACTTGCCTATGAGCAGAATACATATCAAACTGGAGTACACATTTCAAAGTCTGACCGAGCCATGCCCACAAATGGCACACATGTTACCAAGAGTACATAAACCAGAGTGTGCAACTCGGGATGGTTCCTGTGGGAGCGTAATTCGTGCACTACGTCATTTCTGACGGCATGGTAAGCCACAGGTACGGTGAAAAGTTGCGTAACCAGTCGCGGTGGTGCAGTTCACTGAGTTTGTCCTGATTTCGGTTTTTTGAGACGGATAGCCTGGTGACTTTACTTGTCGGTGGATGTACGCAGCGTACACAGTCACACAAAACACCGAAATCCTGAAACAGGACGTCTAAAATCAAGCAAACTTGGCTGATTTCCGGGCTATGAAACATGAAAATTTGAGCTGTACGCAAGTCGCGGCTTGGCTGATCTCATCAGGGTGACGTAGTGCACGAACTGCGCTGTTTCAGATCTGATATGCACAGTTGCACACTCTGGTTTATGTACTCTTGATGTTACCTTATACCCCCTGCCGAACACACACAGCCATCACAGCAGCAACGCCAGCATCAGCAACAGTGGCAGCAATGGCAGCAGCAGCAACAGTGGCAGCAGCAGCTATGGCAGCAGCAGCAGTGGCAGCTGCAGCAACAGTGGCAGCAGTGGCAGCAGCAGCAACAGCTATGGCAGCAGCAGCAGTGGCAGCTTACGTCAATCGCGTCGGCGAGCGCCTTCTCTGCCTCATCCTCAGGGTCGTAACCTTGTGGGTAGATACGGATATTGTGTGTTTTGATGTCCTCACGAATCTGTGACGCGCAAAACACCAAAAATAGAAGAAAAACAAGTGACTAACTAAACGTGCCAAGTGTGGCCTAGAAGTAGCCAACAAGATTTACGCAAGTCTCTATGTTAGCTTAGCAAACCAGGCTGCGGACCGCGTTAAGAGACCAAGTGGGAACCACAAAATACCTAACTCAACCACCACCACCACCACCACCACCACCACCACCACCACATCGGAGAACATGCCTCATGCCTGCATCAAGCACTCACCCGGTGTTTGAAGCTGTCTCTCTCCTCGACGGTCAGCGTATCAGCCTTGGCGATGACCGGCACGATGTTGACACAGTCGTGCAAGTGACGCATGAACTCGATATCCAGTGGCTTCAATCTAGACAAACGACAGATGAATGCAACGCAGTACACACATATCAAGGCCCAAGAACGGTGCATATCGGCAAGAGAGGGGGCCATGATAAACACGAACACCGTACGAATACAAGGCAAACCCTTGCACGTGCACAGCCGTCCTACTAGTACGACACAGATCAAACTACAGTTCTTACCAGAGAAATCCAAACTCATGGATATTTTAGCGCCACTTTCGAGCACACAGTACAGTGTGTGTAGTGTTAGGGCTGTGCATCGCTTGGCGCTATTTTAGTCCCGAGGTTGGATTTCTCTGGCCAGTCCCGCACGTTATTATCACTGAGGCTTGGGGCACACGCTCGTGTGGATCTGGGCATAAGGGCTGATGCAGGCGCGTTTGAACTTACGCATGACCCGACGGCTGGATGAAGTACAGACAACAGTGTATCCGTGAATCGGGAATGAAGCGCTTGCGGTTGATGCTCACTTCTTCGGCTAAGTACAGTTCAAACTGCTCATTGACATAGTCCACGATCGGTGTCCAACTGAACAAACACGAGAAAGAGAATAAGAAAATACATCTAGTTTAGCAGAAATTCCTCTGATAGCATGCACCATACGTGACTTGCTCAACTCAGATGTTCACACACAAATGACGCAGTAGTTGAACAAAAACAAAGCAACTTCAAAAGCAGCAAATGGAATGGCCCTTCGCAGTTGAATGCAGGCTGCAGGCTGGTCGGCAGTAACTCTCTGCCTCTGGTAACCATGGTAACATACATGTACGTTTGCATTATTGCCAGTAGAAGTCACACGCGGTCATAACAACACGTCCTGATTACATTTGAGCCCGTTGAGTTCTTTGTCCATTGTTGTTCTCACATTTTGCTGATTGCAAATAAAAACTTTGCGTCGAGCAAATGGAATGGTAGGTAGCTTTAAGTCAGCCAGTTGCAAGTACATGTAGTGGACTAAATCTACTCACCAGTCTTTGTTATTGATCTGATCACCAAAGCCAGGTGTGTCAGTGATGGTCAGCTTGAGTCGAACACCTTTCTCCTCAATCACTACACACACACACAAAACACGCACGTACACGTACAGACACAGATAGACACACACACATGTGAACAAACATACAGAGTATGAATGGGGATATCACCACACACTGGTCAGTGCAGACAGCCATGTTCTATCAATTTTAACACACAGAGACGCGTGCATGCGCACACAAACACACCATGTACCATGTATACGCCCGTAGCAAGAGAAGCACGCAAGTCTGCAAATGCACTGGATGTGCACCCACAGATTTTCTCTTATAGCCACGATAGCGAACAAGATCTGAATGAGACAGATCAAGACAAACACACACACACACACACACACACACACGAATAAATGGAGAGAGGGAGAGGGAGAGACAGACCGACAGGCAGTGAGAGAGAGAGAGAGAGAGAGAGAGAGAGAGAGAGAGAGAGAGAGAGAGAGAGAGCGCGCGAGAGAGAGGGAGACAGTGAGGCATTCCAAGACTCACCGTGACTAACGGCATTGATATCTACAGTTGACGGTATTGGCGTCGTTACTTGCATACACGACGGTCGACTGACCTTGGCCTTGAAAAGAGTATTTACTAGTGTTGATTTGCCCATACCGGACTCGCCTGCAGCAAACAAACACAAACACAATGGCATGAAAAAACATTGATTCTGCTACAGAAAAAGGGCTTCTTTAATACGTCAGTGCTGTTTGATGATCGCCCAGTGCGTGAAACATTTCAAGTTACAACGAGACAGTCTACCGGCTCCTGTTTCTCTGTAGGGCTTCAATGTACGGCTTTGAAAGTGGTACGGCACAATTCCTAAATTAGTCTTCGCTACCGTGTTATTGGGAAGAAATTCCCGTTTGGATTTTGCGAAGTAAAACAAAGTATAAAAAAAGAAGAAGAAAAAGCCTCAAGTGTCAAGGCAGTACTGGGTGCTATCACTACCTGAAATACCATGATCTGCTCAGAGTACAGTGAAACTTCAGTATATTACCGTAAAGTCTTGTATAAAAGCCGCACTTGAATAGAAGCCGTCCTCGAATAGAAGCCGCAATTTTGGGCCCATCAAATCACACATAAGCCTGGTTTTAGTGTTGACAAACATAGAAATACCTGTCTTGTAAAGAAGCCTGTCTCATATAGAAGCCTGCAAAATTTCGCCAAGAAAGTCATAGAAGCCGCGGCTTTTATACAAGACTTTACGGTAAATGTACCCCAGGGGAGAGGCAAAGATCTTTTTTTTTTCAACCAAGGCACAGTACATGTACGTGTATATCCAAAGTCGGCTGGACTGGAAAAGGAGAGACGGGGCTCTAAAACAAGTGATCTGCAGCCAATGCAAAGAGATGGGCTTACCTACTACCATGAGATTGAACTCAAAGCCACGCTTGAGCGCTTTCTGCGTGATCTGTGTTTGCAGTGAGTCAAAGCCGACTGTTCCGCTAAGAGGTGTCTTCAGCTGACCCCACTGGGTGGTGCTACTCATTGTCTCCGTCATGATCTCCATGAAATCGGGGAATGTCACTTCACCTACACAGCACCGGAGTTTGAGAAAGAGAGAGAGAGAGAGAGAGAGAGAGAGAGAGAGAGAGAGAGAGAGAGAGAGAGAGAGAGAGAGAGAGAGAGAGAGAGAGAGAGAGAGAGAGAGAGAGAGAGAGAGAGAGAGAGAGAGAGAGAAGGGACAGACAGCGAAGGAATTATGATTTACGAACTCAAACACACGCATGCACCCAGAGATTACTCACCAGCAAACACACACAATCATACATGGAACCACTGTCAGCACAGAAATTCGAGCAACACAGCATACCGTAGTGTCTGTATAAAAGACTGTCGAATACAATCATGTAGACATGAAGGGTGCAAAACGCGACATACTAGTATCCGTTTCATCACTTTTCGGAAATTGGCCCAAGAAGGATTAATTTGATGGGTGGTTTGCACTTACATCCGTATTGATGCTTCTAGTTAGGGTTTGAATCAAGTGAAGAGGCAGAACTGAATCCAATGTTCAGACCCGACAAGCTAACACAGTTTCATTTAGATTACATTAGAAAATGCTACAGCATATAGAGATTAAGGCAACAACAATGCATCAACAAGTTTGGGCAGAAGGCCAAGGTTCTGTTGAAGAGTCCCACGAGAACGTCGAGATTGATAATGGAAGAGCGTGGGTACCTATCTTGGTTTTGCCACTTTCTTCCAGGTGGAACATTGACATTCACCAACAAAGTACACTGATCCCCAATTGGCAAGAACCAAGGAGGAACTACAAGCCCAGAGTCCCGTCATCCCAACTGCTGCAGAGGCGGGACCACCCAAACGCGGGAACAAGTTTCGCCAAGAAGCCAAGCCCCTCGTTAACTTGCCACTAGAGCAAATCGTTATCGATGAGCTGCACCTCATGCTCAGGATAATGGATGTCCTCGCAGACCATTTGCTCCAGCAAACAATGCGGCTAGATAAGGAGGCCAAGTCCAAGACACTTGCTGGCCCACACACTGAAAAGCTGGCCACCTCATGCTCAGGATCACAGATGTACTGACCGACAATTTGCTCCAGCAAACAATGCGGCTAGATAAGGAGGCCAAGTCCAAGACGCTTGCTGGCCCACACACTGAAAAGATGGCCACTTCCATCAGTGCCTGCGGTGTCAGCTTCAGTGTGTGTAAAAAGACCAATGCAAACGGCTCGGGTAGTGGGCGCCTGGATTCCACCAGCCTCATGGGGCCAGGTGACTTTTACTCCAACAAAGTACACTGATCCCCAATTGGCAAGAACCAAGGAGGAACTACAAACCCAGAGTCCCGTCATCCCAACTGCTGTAGAGGCGGGACCACCCAAACGCGGGCACAAGTTTGGCCAGAAAGCCAAGCCCCTCGTTAACTTGCCACTAGAGCAAATCGTTATCGATGAGCTGCACCTCATGCTCAGGATAATGGATGTCCTCGCAGACCATTTGCTCCAGCAAACAATGCGGCTAGATAAGGAGGCCAAGTCCAAGACACTTGCTGGCCCACACACTGAAAAGCTGGCCACCTCATGCTCAGGATCACAGATGTACTGACCGACAATTTGCTCCAGCAAACAATGCGGCTAGATAAGGAGGCCAAGTCCAAAACGCTTGCTGGCCCACACACTGAAAAGCTGGCCACCTCAGGCTCAGGATCACAGATGTACTGACCGACAATTTGCTCCAGCAAACAATGTGGCTAGATAAGGAGACCAAGTCCAAGACGCGTGCTGGCCCACACACTGAAAAGCTGGCCACTGCCATCAGTGCCTGCGGTGTCAGCTTCAGGGTGTGGGAAAAGACCAATGCAGACGGCTCGGGTAGTGAGCGCCTGGATCCACCAGCCTCATGGGGCCAGGTGACTTTTACTCCAACAAAGTACACTGATCCCCAATTGGCAAGAACCAAGGAGGAACTACAAACCCAGAGTCCCGTCATCCCAACTGCTGTAGAGGCGGGACCACCCAAACGCGGGAACAAGTTTGGCCAGAAAGCCAAGCCCCTCGTTAACTTGCCACTAGAGCAAATCGTTATCGATGAGCTGCACCTCATGCTCAGGATAATGGATGTCCTCGCAGACCATTTGCTCCAGCAAACAATGCGGCTAGATAAGGAGGCCAAGTCCAAAACGCTTGCTGGCCCACACACTGAAAAGCTGGCCACCTCATGCTCAGGATCACAGATGTACTGACCGACAATTTGCTCCAGCAAACAATGCGGCTAGATAAGGAGATCAAGTCCAAGACACTTGCTGGCCCACACACTGAAAAGCTGGCCAATGCCATCAGTGCCTGCGGTGTCAGCTTCAGGGTGTGGGAAAAGACCAATGCAGACGGCTCGGGTAGTGGGCGCCTGGATTCCACCAGCCTCATGGGGCCAGGTGACTTTTACTCCAACAAAGTACACTGATCCCCAATTGGCAAGAACCAAGGAGGAACTACAAACCCAGAGTCCCGTCATCCCAACTGCTGTAGAGGCGGGACCACCCAAACGCGGGAACAAGTTTGGCCAGAAAGCCAAGCCCCTCGTTAACTTGCCACTAGAGCAAATCGTTATCGATGAGCTGCACCTCATGCTCAGGATAATGGATGTCCTCGCAGACCATTTGCTCCAGCAAACAATGCGGCTAGATAAGGAGGCCAAGTCCAAAACGCTTGCTGGCCCACACACTGAAAAGCTGGCCACCTCATGCTCAGGATCACAGATGTACTGACCGACAATTTGCTCCAGCAAACAATGCGGCTAGATAAGGAGATCAAGTCCAAGACACTTGCTGGCCCACACACTGAAAAGCTGGCCACTGCCATCAGTGCCTGCGGTGTCAGCTTCAGTGTGTGGGAAAGACCAATGCAGACGGCTCGGCTAGTGGCTGCCTGGATTTCACCAGCCTGATGGGGCCAGACAAGAAAACCTTGTTGAAGAACCTGCGCCAGAAGCTGAAGGGAGGCGGCGTACCGAGTGTAAGCAGAGAGAATAAAGTTCTGCTCATGCGGACGGTAAGTGTCTTAGACATGGATGTGTGAAATTACAACACACTCTGTCGGGGTGAGACGCCTATGTGCAGGGGACATCAATTGCAAATCACACTCAACCGTACCAGCTGGATCGACTTATCACAACTGTTTCATTGAATGATGAACAGAAAGATGAGGAACCATGCAAACATTCGTGATACGCCGATCCAGCTGGTACTGTTGTTTCCGGTTTTAAAATCACTGTGGCCTCGTGGCTTACAGGCGATTCACAGGACGCGCAAACTCACGTGTATCCATAGAGATATACTCGTGTGACTAAAGCGCGAGTGAAATCTTGCTGAACTTGCTTGCAGGCCATATGCCCACGTGTGTGCTGTGCGCGCGTGCAAAATCAGCAAAAGTACTGGAGTATGTAACTCGAGTATGCTCGAGTACACAGATGCATGCGAGATGTGCACGTGTCTGGTGTACGTGTGAGTCCGCAAGGCCGCCTGTCCACTTCCGCACAAACGTGTTATCGTGCACTTTACACGTTCTGTGAATCGCCTATTATCTAGACATCAATTGAACTAATGCCTATTAAAAAAGAGGTAGACCGTATGGACAGCAACGACTATGAATATTTCGTTTTCGTGCGCTATCCTGTGTGTGTGTGTGTGTGTGTGTGTGTGTGTGTGTGTGTGTGTGTGTGTGTGTGTGTGTGTGTGTGTGTGTGTGTGTGTGTGTGTGTGTGTGTGTGTGTGTGTGTGTGTGTGTGTGTGTGTGTGTGTGTGTGTGTGTGTGTGTGTGTGTGTGTGTGTGTGTGTGTGTGTGTGTGTGTGTGTGTGTGTGTGTGTGTGTGTGTGTGTGTGTGTGTGTGTGTGTGTGTGTGTGTGTGTGTGTGTGTGTGTGTGTGTGTGTGTGTGTGTGTGTGTGTGTGTGTGTGTGTGTGTGTGTGTGTGTGTGTGTGTGTGTGTGTGTGTGTGTGTGTGTGTGTGTGTGTGTGTGTGTGTGTGTGTGTGTGTGTGTGTGTGTGTGTGTGTGTGTGTGTGTGTGTGTGTGTGTGTGTGTGTGTGTGTGTGTGTGTGTGTGTGTGTGTGTGTGTGTGTGTGTGTGTGTGTGTGTGTGTGTGTGTGTGTGTGTGTGTGTGTGTGTGTGTGTGTGTGTGTGTGTGTGTGTGTGTGTGTGTGTGTGTGTGTGTGTGTGCAATTATTTGCAGACGTTCGAGGATATTTTATGCCATTCTGGGGAAAGACGAATTCACCAATGGCAAGAGAACTCAACTCGACAAAAAGGTACAGGTGTGACACGGAGACTGTGACATTTTGCCTTGTATTGTATTGTATTTTATTATTTTACTTGGGCATTCCCAACAGACCCTAAGGTCTTCTTACAGGGTGCCCAAGATGAATGACTTTGTTAAGTTCTGTATGCAGCTGGCCTTAAAGTGCCTCTAGATCTTTTGATTACACTGAGCTCAAAATCTCAATTTCTCAAATTTGGCGCCTGGCGCGTTTTGCATCTAAACTCTCCACATGTAGAAGCCTGTGTCGAATACAAGCCTGATTTTCAAGGCGCACTGGCGGCATAGAAATACCTGTTTGAATAGGAGCCTAGCCCAGACATCAGTTTCTTCAGGAAAAAGCCCGGCTTACGTACATGACCTTACGGTGTGTACAAGTTTCACAGTGGAGATATGTAGACTGGGTAAACGGCTCTAGCATAATCGTGCAGTGCTAGCTTGGGCTTCGCATCGCTCAATCTCTTATCGTTGGGTTATTTTCGACTCACGAAATCGTCATGCCTTTTACATTTTTGTACTGTTTCGGATAGTTGCCGTGGCTGGCTATAACTCTAAATTTCACATCCGTTTGTTGTTTGTTATCGGCAGTCGTCTCAAGAGCCATGAAATGTTGAAAACTGTAGTGTCTGGTACAAAAGCCAGTCTCATACAGAGGCCCGTTTTGAATACAGTCAGACCTCGCATAACCGCACACATCCGTTTTCCACAAAAAATATCCGGATAGGCGAGGGAACCGGATAATCGAACACGCATACTGTATGTATGCATGGCATATGCTGTAAATCGGTAGCCAACGATTTCCTTCCGGACGGCGAGGGGTCCGGATAACAGAGGACCGGATAAGCGAGGTCTGACTGTACAAGCCTGATTTTGAGATGCACTGTCGGCACACTAGCCCGATTTTAGTGCTGATATACATATACCGTAAAGTACCGCCAGAGCGCCCCACCAGCTCGTCCTTTCGTGGCCGCCTTGTGGAGGTGGATTCCTGCCTGTAGGTCATACGACACGGACCTTGTACAAACATTGCACATTGTGCAGTCAATCCGTACCCAGGTTACCTTCGAGCATCACATAAAAGCATACCAAGTGTGACCTTAGTACACGAAGGTTCTCACATCGTGCAAACTTAGTAGCATCCTGCCATACGATTTTCTTCCCTTGGCTGTAAAATCAAGGTGGGGCGCTCTCGCGAGACGGGGCGCTCTGGCGGTACTTTACGGTACATAGAACTACCTGACTTGAACAGAAGCCTAACCCTGACATCGGCTTCTACAGGAATACGCCCGGCTGTTAACTTTTACGTGACATTACGGTAAAAATTTAAAAAAAACAAATGGATGCGCTCAGCGCTCGCTTCCCTCACCTTTGTGCGCGCGGATGTCCACGCGGGACTGGACCTCCTGCATCTCATGGTTGGAGACGGAGCCGAGAACCTGCTGTACCAGATTGGGAATGGCCGAGACGGCCACTAGACCAGCATCGTTGGTGTCCGCTTCTTGGAACGCACGCACAAACGCTGCAGTGGAGAACGAACAGAAGGCGGCACAAAGAGATTCTCATTCGAAAGTAAAACATATTTTTGGAAGTAACTAGTTGTCAAACTAGTTGCCCCCCCCCCCCCATACCCACGGAATGTGCTTGGATGGCGACTTCGCACAGGATTGGTGTAGACCCTCAAGCATTTAGACACGCCACGGCCGCACTCTCCAGGGGCGTAGGCCGCGTAGCTCGAACATCTGTGGTGTGGTGACAATGTGCCGGAGCATGTCCGTGGTGTGGTGACAACGTACCACCGGCAACCTCATAGTCATAGCCGCCAGTTTGCCTATCTTGACTATGTAGTACGTATGACGGCTATTCTCTGGTGTGGCGACCGGACTACGTTGACTGTACACCAGCCACGACAGCACTCTCCAGGGAAAACGACGCCGTACAGAACAGGGCAACGTACAGAGGTGAGTTGTTTCCCCCAGGCCCCTGCACATGTCACTCGGCCAGGCGCATGCGCATTGCACAGCCAGCTTCATTGGAACAACGCCAATTTCCAGCAAAGCCCAGAAAGACGATGTCATCGGTTCTGTGCAAAACGTGCACACATTATTGGGGACATTTCTTGGTAGCATCAAGAGTAGATAAACAGGAGTGTGCAACTCACGGATGGGTTGGCCCACGGCGGAAATTTTCGTTGACATAATCTTTCCCCGGCGCACTCGCTCGAAGTTTTGCCTCGTGCACTTGGCCGGGCTTTACATTACAAGGTCGGTGCGCAGCACGCGCTCTCATACCGCTCTGTACCACACGCGTCATGTTTTCCGAAAAAGGTGACGTGAACAAAAATTTCCGCCATGGGCACAATCAGCAGATTGTGCAGAAGAGATGCAGAGTTGCACACTCTTGTTTATCTACTCTTGGTAGCATACAACAACAATTGTTGTACGGATCAGTGCTCTATGCATACCGCATGCCTCGTGTTCTTGACTTTTCACTTTTTACTTGTTCAGATGTGTGTGAACTTGCTACATTCTTGATGCTAAATACTGGAAGTAAAACAAAAACAATCCTTGATTTACACCAACATCAGGGGCGTCGCACACGGTACGGTCACTACGGTATTGACCGTACCACTTTTTGCCCCAGATACCCCGTGAATCAACAAAATACACTGATCTGGGATCTGAAATTCCAAAATGTTGGCTCAGTTACCACTCCCCTACGAGTAAATTGCACTTCACATGGCTGAGTGACCGTACCACACTAAAATACCCTCCGACGCCCCTGAACATGCTGTACAGAGTTCTAGAACACAAACGTACACACAAAGCCTCAAAAAATGTTATAGTTCTAATAAGGTTAGTTCTCCATAGACCAGACACTGTGTAGTGTGTGATTCGTGAAGACGACAATCGTAATCATTCCGGGCCGCTCACTATGCGAATCAGACGCTGCGCACCCGCCAACTTTCGCTTGGGTATCGATCGCTAGTCGCTAACTAGCGACACCATTTTCCCTGGGGCCGTGTCGATGGAGGGAGTAACGAGAGAGTCTTCGTGCAAGGAAATGAAATTAAACTCACACACGTGCGGATATGAAAAGAAAGTTGACGGACGGCACGCGATTCTCCGTCACAATTGCCGGAGACGCACACTTTCTTCCCGGCATCAAATACTAGACAGCAGAAGCTGCTACGCTCCGCCATGCAGCGGAGCACCAAATGATGCACGCACAGTGCAGTTCGTCTTCGAAACAGTCGTAACTTACTTTCCAACCACACCGTACGTGTCAAAACGATCGACATACACGTCCGCTTTAGCCTAGTTTAGGCCACGCTATCGCAGCGGATAGGAACAACGATGGCTTTCAGGACGCGCGAAGAAATGAACAGAGCGAGACGGAGAGTACAGTCATGTAGCTCCCTCTCCACGCGGGAGAGATAAGCAAGCAGAACGGTAAGACGGAAAGGGGGCCTAGGCTTACCTCTTTCCGCACCCTTCAGCGGAACATGCTCTGAGCCCTCGGCGGAGTGAACTCCAAGAATCATGACTGAGCGAAACGAGATTGAAACAGCAGCCTCGCAGAAACAGCAGCAAAAACAGCTCCAGAAAGAAGGCAAGCTTGCTAGCTCCGAACTGAGGACGATTCGATCAGAAAACGACCTGACCCGCTTGAACAAGATCGCTCGCAGCGTTCGTCTCCAGCTCTGGTATGCAGCGTTGAGAGAGATTTCTTCCCACCCGCCGTGTCAAACTCAAAACGAGAGTTCCCAGGATTCAGAGGAAGGAAACCTAGCCCAGAACTCGACATTGCCATGGTTTACTCGCTGAGTTTTACGACCCCAAGCATAGGCAAAACTGGGTGTCAGACACAGAAACGAGCAGGTTTACCTCCCGCGCTGTATCAACACGAGCCGTTTTGTCGTGTTGCCGTGGTGAAGTGCACGTGCACCGGCAAAACTCACGTGTACTTGAGCAACAAACAACACAGGCGCACAACAAGCGCGGGGATGGTCTGATCGACTTTTGCTCCGACAAATCGACGTACTCTAGACAGTATGATCGACAAAAGAAAGGCGCTGAGAAGCTGAAGGCAGTGGCAGTGAAGAACAAACTCTGTACGATTTTTTACCACAGTCGATCTTGTGAAGTAACTAGTTGTGCGCATTTTACTTCCCCTCCACAGCAGTCTGCTATAAGTCAACGACGGGGCAAGAGAATCGCGTCGTCGACTTCCGCTAACCATCGCATTCAATGATCGCTGGTTGGCAGCTACTACTAGTAGCTCGTCTTCATCCAGCGACTTACCGTTGAGTTATTTATTACACGAGTTGAATGACACTGTCTGTTTAGTCGCTCGTCTCAAAAGTACTGAAAAAATCATAACGTCGTAAAAGTTACTAAAACGACATGTCGACAGCTCTAGCGTGGCTGGCTGGCTAGAACCACGCATTTCGATGGCTGTAGTACCATCAGTAGTGCCATGCCAGTACCACAAGTCCGACCCTCTGAGCTAGAAATAAAGAAGAATGAGGCAAGCCCATGAAGTCGGTTACCCCCTCGTGTTCTCACCTTCCTTCTGGCGAGTTGTCAGCTGCTGAACGTTGTAAAAGTTAGACGGCGCAATGAGGACAGAGCCATTGGAGGGGACGGATGAAGACATGTCATTCAGGCGCACACCACGACGCCAGCCCAGCCAGTCGACACAGTGGAGCAGCGGCGGCGACAGCGAATCCGCGCAGGTCACGGCAGCGCGGCCACACACGGCACACAAACAGAGACAGAGAGGGAAACGGAGAAACGATCGACTGTCGGCAACTTACTAGTCCAAATATAAATTCATTCTGCCCTGCACCAGCGGCAGGAGCAGGACTCAGTAAGATTTTGTCGAAGCACTGACTGTGCGAGGCAGAAGCTAACTGCACAGCACTGATCACATCGATCGTAGGGTTGTGCTACGCCCAACTCGGGCGAGCCTGGCCTAGGCTGCAGGCTTGAGCAAGATCAGATGTGGTGACGCAGCGGCAGCGTAACGCCAACCTGCGCTGAACACCAAACGGCCTCTCCGCACTCAGCTCAGCGTACATCACCAGACAAGTGATGGTATTCGCTGCATAGCGGCACCAAGCTGTCGGGAAACTCTAGACGGTCGGCCGGCCGAAACGCTACACAAGGTGCACAGAGAGAGTGCACCAGAAACAGTACTTACCAGCGGGGACGACATAGCAATCAGCTACTCGCAACAAACACTCCAGACTGGCTATTTCTCCGGCTCAAAATAATAACTACAAAGTAACAAACGTCCTCAAAACAACGCACCAAGAAGTCTTTTTCTCATCACTTCGCTTGACTGACATAACACGACAGTAAAAATCTTCACTCAGGATCAATATGTACTGGCCTATGCTAGGCTAGGCTAGCGCCCCCGATCCCCGAGGAGACGAAAATAAATGAAATGAAAATCTGGATGTCAATCGTGTATCGTATCGCGATGTGCGGAACGACAAACGCCACATGTGCACAGTCGACTAGTCCGGAGAGAGAGCGCTGTGCAGATTGTTCATTGTTTGTAGTCGAAGAGCAAGCGGCACTCACACGAAATTACCGCACGGCATGGCAGTGTTGACATGCCTCAGGACGCCTGTCGTGGCGCGGGTGAAATGATGGACGAAGCAGCTGAAGTGAAAGGCCAGGACCACGTGGCGGATAAAATCCTGTCACTTCTTGCGAAGATTCACCAATCAGCTGTTGTCGACTCAATATTGGCCAAAGTGTCACACGTGCTGCATAGTGAGTCTTGGATCTTGCACAGTCGTGCCTCAGGCAGGTGTTGCTGACCTTATTAAAATAATAATAATAATTGTTATGTTCTTCTCCTGCCAGCATGCATGCTAGCATAGGCCGGTAATGTTCCTTCCTGATGAGAGTTGTGCAAAAAACTAGGCAATTCCTCGTCCATCACTTGTACTGGGTCCTGTACATAATAATAATTGTACTTGAAGTAGTCACATGTTTCCTCTAATAGGCTCTATGTCCATCACGTAACGTCGTTCTTCCATGTACATGGCATGTACACTAAAACCATTATGAAAATGTCGATTCAGCTGATCCGGTTGATCGCTATTCATTATTACAATCATGTAAGTAGTTGGCATTTTACACCGTATGGTCAGCATGGGGAGCATAGGCTAGGCAGCATACAGGCATTGCTAATAGTATTACTAATAGCTAGCCAGAACACAAAAATAATCTTTGGAATGCGGGGATGCATGGGGTGCATGGCTAAAGCAAAACAAAAAAACAAAACCTGAACCCAGAAGTACAATGCCATGTAGTCACACGAATGTCTTTGGACATGACATGGGAGGAGTAGCAGACATGATGTATACACTACATCTGAAACTGAAGCAAGATACCGCCGCAGTGGCATAACAGGCTAACACAAACAAGAGAAGATAGTAGCACTGCATGCACAATCACAAAACAAAAACAAAAACACTATGATGTGGATTCCCTTGAGCAATACCGTCGGATTCAACCGGCACAGCCAAATGTTCAATGCTGTACTCAGTCAAGACAAGTGTGCCCAGGTCTTGCACAGCTGGCCAGAGTGCAGTGGCCACGGGCAACGCTGCCATGCAGCCAAGAATTCATCCCAATGGCTTATCCAGTAAAATTGTGCCGCACACCAGCCCATATAAGGAGGGATTCAGCTGCCACATGCATGTACATGTTCACTGTGAAATGCAATGATTTGAGATTTGAAGTTGCAAAGTGTTTAGAGAGAGGTCCTAGGCACCCTGATATGCTTGTTCTTTCAGGTCCGGTGCCACTGATACAGCCAAGGCCCTACCAGTTTTTACCGGCTTTCACAGAAACTGTTCTTCGTGTCCTGTAAGGCCTACTGTACTAGCTGTTCTTTCGGGCCCGGTGCCACTGATACAGCCAAGGCCCTACCAGTTTTTACCGGCTTTCACAGAAACTGTTCTTCGTGTCCTGTAAGGCCTACTGTACTAGCTGTAGACATCTGTTGCTAGCGGAATGTGCAGCTGAAACAATAGTGAGCATAAACTGTGATGCACACAACTACAGTCCATGCATCGGAAACTGGCCCGCTGGCTTTTGAAAGTCGGATTTGGGCCGAATTGAGGATCAAAAACCCACTTTAAATCTCAAAAATCTGGGTTTTGGATCTGCTTCTCCATACATTTTGCCATGGCATACCTTTCCTAATTTTATAAAACCTGGCTGAATTTCTATTTCCCTGTTCTTGGACTTTTCTGGCCTCAAATGTGGCAAGGAGTAATTGCACGGGTCACACAATGCAGGATGTACTGTTATTGTCACGATATCTTCAACTATGTGAGAGAGACACCAAAAAGTTAGGGTGCCAGTTTCCAATGAATGGACTGTAGAGATGCATCTTCCCGGGATATAGAAATAAAATTGGCCATGGGAAAAGGATTGGACCTGTAGCCGACCGACTTGGAACAGCAGCGCACCGCAGGAGCTGGCTCCAGCCCTGACTTTGATGACCTGGATCGGCATTATTATGAAAGACTGCTTTTACTGAGATAGCTGGGCAACATGTGTGGTGCACGGGGGCGGAGTTGAACCGACGTACATGTGCGCACTGCGCTACGCAATACTGTAAAAGCCATATTATATAACGAAGTGCTAACTCTAACGAGTTAACGAGGAGAAATCTGTCGTTAAAATAGAAATCGTTATACAGAAATTGATACATAGACTGCCCTATTGAGCGTTTGAGAATGAGACAGAATCGTTACCTTTGGTACACGTAAACCAGTCAATTTTGGGAAATCGTTATACATGCGCCTCGTTAGAATAATGGCTTTTACAGTACGTGCCAGTGCAGGTATGCCTGTGGATGAAGATGTGCACAATCCAGCACGGCAAGCCTGATCCTTCGTGTGGTCGTACAAAGTACTGCACTTGAGAGCATTGGTCTAATTCCCACCCTCTCTACCGTGAAACCAGCCGGGAAGGGACATGGCGTGGGTGGAGGGGAGGGGGGATCAACGGTCACGGGTGTTTAGCAGTGGTCATTCATCAAGATGACGGAAAATCCGAGGGTACAAAAATTTCGACTCTGCCCACATAACATTGAATGTGCGTTGTGAACGCGAGTCTCGCGCCAGCAGTTCCAGGCACGCACCATCTACATACAGGCAGTTCTGTAATCTGGCTGTAGGAACGACTTTTTTATTTTTAGAATGGATATTTTCGGCAGAACATTGGTCACGTTTCCTTGAGTAATGGCTTTTCTCGCACCAGCATTTCCTCACCACACTCTCCCTTCCAGCGTATTGATACGAGTATCTGCTCCTGAATAGAAGTCTCGGTCAGCACAGTGGGCAAAGGCAGAATCACATTGTTGAAATACTTTGCTTTTCTGGATATTTTTGGTCCTTTGAGGCGTACAACTTGAAGTGACAAACTTGAGACCCCCGCGCCACCAAAAAAAACTAGGACGAGCCGCAAAGTTTTGTTTGACTTTCGATGAAAGAATGTATACGGAAGCGGGGATAAAAGTAAACTCTCGTGGCTGTAGCCAAAACTCATACTCACATAAGAAACAGTGACGGGACTTCGGCAATTCCAAGGAAAATGTACGCACAGCCATTTCACAATGCAGACAAAACTACGAGCTCAAAAACACTTCAACTCTCAACAAAGGACACACGAAAGAAGACGTGGACGCAATGTTCTCGTGTGGACTCCAAAAAAACCCGAATTTACTCCGACAGGTGCTGGTTCAGGGCAAATTGACGGTGTTGTGCCTGTAGTGGTTTGCTATAAGCCTTCGGTTTTAACGATTCGTTTTACGGAGATTTTCCATGCGTTTTGAAATTAATTATTTGTATTATTTTATGCTAGCATGTCTTGTGATAGTGCCGTACTCGATTAGCACAACGTGAATCCACATTACGTCTGTCCATTCTTGCTAGGGTACTCATGCATGCACATGTCTGCCTTTACCGTACACCATGCGTTGCATTCGTGTCCTTTGCCGGATATTTGTACTCCTTTTATTGCGCGTTGTAATTATTACATGTTTGTACATACGCTATTGCGCACTACACATTTCTTATCTTCTCTTTGTTATGGCACAAGGATTGAGAGAATCTTTGAGTAGTCTAGTCTTCACCATGTCGATATAACGACAATTCGCGAATAACGACAGAATTTCCATGCCCAGAGCAAAATCCCATCTAACTGTAATACATAATATTATAATGGGACTTCGGGTATAAGGACACTTTGCGAATAAGGACACTCTTCTGATGCCCCGCCGAGTGTCGTTATACGCAAAGTTGACTTTAGTCTAGTCTTCACCATGCGGTTTGGCCTTTCGATGTTCTTCTCAATACATAATAACATTGTAGTCTGAGTAATTTTCCTGTGGATTCCTGGTGGATTTTAGTATTGAGGTGCGTTAGACGCATTACATCGTTTGATTTCGACCATAGCATGAGGAAATGTTCGGTACATCCAAAAGCGTACCGTGGCATTTTGCATAATATCACTGGCTATAGTTCATGCACTGCAACCACTTGTGAAATACTAAGTCTTTATGATACCTATATCAGTGCTGCCAAACCGTCCGATTTTTGAAGGCTCTTCCGAAAACCGGTCCGAAAAGGGAAACGTCCGAAAAGCAGCCAAAATGTCGGAGATCATTACTTTCCTATGCAGAAGTCCTGTATTTTCACTTTTCAGCGCAGTTGAAGGCACAAATCACTGTACATTTGCTTCTAAAAAGGCTAGCGCTTGGCTGTGGAGTGCAAAGTAACATCAAGAGTACATGAAAACCCGGTTTTCATGTACTCTTGGTAACATGCCTGGATCGGGCTGGATGGCATGTACTCTTGGTAACATGCCTGGATCAGGCTGGATGGCATGTACTCCTGGTAATATGCCTGGATCAGGCTGGATGGCATGTACACTGACTCTGTACAGACTGTCAGTGTGCGACCACACCATGCACACTCATCGTTACAAAATTCATGACAACTCCGGGGTTACCATGGCAACGAAGCGAATTTTCGTGGTGTTTTCGGCGATATTTTGAATTCTCTGTAAAAAAATTGCCGAGGAGAAAAATTCGCACCATGTGGCCAGCCTTGGCGGTGAAGGGTGTCCGATTTTGGGCGAAAATTATTTGGCAGCACTGCTACAACTACGAGCCATCCCCGTCAGCCTATGGTACTACGTGTCGCCAGGTCTCTGTGTGTCACACTGAACTCCATAATTATAATGATTGTGTGTACTGCGTGCTGAAACCTATGCATAGATCCTCACTGGGTCACAGTAGGTGTTATAAGACCGGTTCGCCCTCTAAGACCCTCTAGCACAGACACAGACATAGTAATTATAGGCGCAGACACACACACCACACACACACACACACACATCGAGTACATCTTACTCTTAGGCCTACATCGTAGATCACTCACAATTGTACATGGGATTCTCACGATGCAAACTGGGCGTCGATACGCCTGCAGATCAAACAGCAGGGAAATATGGGAAATGTTGAGAACCTTTACTACGTTTGTAAGTACGAATGAGTGCGTCACAAGGTTTGTGTTCTGTTCTGTTCACCGAACCCTACATTTCGACCGATTGCTCACGATCTGAACTTCGAGATCTCAAACCCTCTGAAGTCTAATCTCAAAAGGTTTCCTGCGAGTGCCTATAGCATTTGATGTAAGAGAGTGCTCGACTCGGGGCTGACTTACTTTTCCGTGCGACGGGCTGGTCGACAACCACCATACTGACCCTCCCGCTGCTGCTGGTCGACATGTTGTGACCACAGGTCGACCAAGACTGACTGGATGCTGGTGCAAATCTACGCCGCCACGAATCTATGCTATGGCTGCCACACCAGCTGGTCTAGAGTCGAGAGTGCTCCTCGAGGAAAGACGGAAGGCGAACTCAAACAGACAGATAAGACTTCGAACTCAATCAGACAGACAAGACTTCGAACTCACTTCCTGATCTCTGTGTGCATGTGGTTTTCTTCTGAAGGATGAAATAATTCCGGGATTTCGAACGTGCAAGCATATGACTCCATCAACTGTCACGGTGGCGCGGCGGTGCTGAGTGTGCTCTTGACAACTTTCTTGGAGTTGTAAAGATACGACTCGGTGTACCGGACATGACAAGTCAAGAGTCTTGACTTGTCATGTCCGGTGCAACGAGTCGTATCTTTACAACTCCAAGATGTTCAGTGCATGCAGCGCAGTGGTAGCAAGAGTAGTACGAGGTGAATAGCAATTTCTGGACATGAAAATAAAATAGAGGCCCACTGGCTATGTGTTTTACATTTTTCATATCCTTTTGTATCTATTGTATGGCCTAATCCTTCATCTTTCCAAATATGTGACAATTGCTCATGCTGTGAACCCAGAGACTTTATAGCAGGTTGTTTTCGACAGGCCAATTTTTTGGCCTAAATTTCACTGTATGGAATTCTGGACATGAAAGTAAAATAGCGTCAATAGGCATCCTATACTGCACCATTTTTGTTATTTTTTCTATTGGTGGACTGCAGTTGGCCTCTTTACACTTCCAGCCAACAGGTCCAAGACTGTACAGCGGCTGAAGTGGAGTGCACATGGGGAAGCCAACGATTCGTCCATTACTTCTTATTTTACTCAAAATTCAAAATTCTCATGCGACATAGTCTCACAAAACTCGTTGAAATGCCTCCCAAGAAAAGGCTATCAACAAGGCACCGACACAAGGAGAAACTACAACAGCTCAGCTGCCAACTACAACAAGAAAAAACTTCATCAACCTGACTGACTTGACTCTGCACGCGACGAAAAATTATTTTACTCGAAATGTCCAGAAATGTACAATGTCCAGAATTAGCAATTCACCTCGTACGGTAGTAGCAGAATTTATTATTTTGATAGGGAAGGCCCTACAGACGTTGCCGTCTTGTTACAGGGAACCCTAAGTGCTCTTTACAGAGCGAAACAAAAACGGATAGATGCTCAACCTGACGACACGAGGCAGGCAGAGAATTCCACCTATCAGCGCCAAGGAAAGAAATAGAGAACATGCCATATCTGCTATGTACAGTGCATACACCTCTGATGAGCCTTTTTTATTATTTTGCAATTTTTTATTTTTTTCCACCTCTCGCATATGATTCTGGAAGTTGACCTGACGCGAAACATAGATATAAAAAATGATGGCCTTACAACTTTACATGTATGTACTGTTGGCGCAAGTCAGGGAGTCGTAAAATACCGGTATTTTACGACTCCCTGGCGCAAGTCATAAAGCAGGGCTGTTGACATGTTGAGTCTTGTCCCTATTTGTAATTTCTCCTTTTTCGGGACATCTGGGCCCGACCCCGAGACAAACTCGGGGAGCCACACAGTCGGGACGAGACGGTACATCACACAGACTCATTCCCACATCACATGCATCCACGTCTCTCCCCCCCCCCCCCCCCCCACACACACACATGCACACACCTGCAGGTAATCACACCACCACGCCAAGCCTCGGAGAACCAAACATCTTGCAAATACAAATACGTGTCAGACTACACGCACCTGTTCCCTGTACTGTACGATCAGGCAGACAACTCGACAATGTCACAAGTGAAAACTAACCTAAAGGCAGATAACAAAAGGCAGATCAGCCAGCCAACATGCACTGCACACAACGCAGTGAACATCAACAAAATACGGCCTTGAAAACCCACCGAAGGCACCACCATCAGTTGTTGGAGAGGGGGGAGGGATGCTCTCTTGTAGCTGGAGAAAAAGAGGCAGAAGGCAAGCCCGGTGACGGTAGGCTACCGCACTACGGCTAGTTCAACAACTGCCTGCGCCAAGCACAAACAAACGCGGCTCGACAATCAAGGCAGACAACGTTGGCAGGCGGGATCAGTTGGGAACAGGATGCGTGCGAGCATACGGCGTGCCATTTACGTCTCCTCACCGTGTCACTAAAAATGAATATAAAACACAGACCCTGAGTAAATTTGCAGCCTTGGTCGGGGGTGGGCTAATGTGCAGATCTACAACGGCCAGTGAAGTGGGTTTGGATATTGGTGAGCCAGCTGGCTTGGTGACGAGTGAAACAAAACAAGTTTCGATATTTAAAAAAAAAGAAGGTCCAAGCTCACAGCGGAAGGTGGAGGGCGAGAGCAGGGGTGCAGCGGGAGTACGACGGGTTGTGTGGGGGCCAGCCTAGACACGGATGTGGACGGAAACGGAAATGATCGATCGCAAATCACAGTCCCAGCTGCATAAGTTAATCCAATCTGTCAGTTGTACGTGTATACGGCGTACTATAAAAAATAACCAAAAAAGATGAAGGAAAAGATAGGTATGGAAATTCCAGCAATTTTTCAAGTGCCTACTATTGGTTGGTGATTGAGTTATTTGTTTGTCATGATTTTTTTGATGAAGCATGGGTGTCTTTTGAAAATGGGAAAGTTTTGTAGCGGATGGACGAAAATGAGAGAAGCAAGCAAATCAAATCAATTGTCGAAATCAGCGCACCGAGCCAGTCGATGATACGTTGATAGCCGTTGGGATACGGCTAGTGGGCCGTTGTGTCACGTTGTCTGCCGATGGGTGAGCCCACTCACGCTGTCTGCTGATGGGTGAGCCCACGCGAGCAGTGGGAGCACAATCAAGGATTCCCGTGCGCAAGAGCCAACACCAGCGTGGCATCACGGCGTCCGCAAGAGCTACGTCAGCAGGACAATACCGCGGTGACTGCAGTTGATGAACATCAGTCTGTGAAAACACTGCACGTAACGTCAGAAAGGATCACTGTGGGGTGATAGCATGGAGCCGACCTGCTTACAGATACATTCCGCTGCAGCAGTAGGGGTATAGCTAGCAACTTCTTCAGCATTCAGTCTTAAGCGGGATCTACGGTACGGTCAGATGAAGCCGTGCTAGTGCCCATCGAGCACACTACAGGAGACATCAAATGCACATGTCATCTTTCTTTCGTTAGCTGACGATAGCAGATACGACGATGCTTCCGTGATGAGCTGGAGCTAAGGCACGGTGGAGGTACTGCTATCGGCTTGTAAGACCATAACGATGTGACCAACGCAGCACGATGCAATCACTCAGCTTGCAGGCTGCATCGTGATGTGACCTACGCAGCACGATGCAATCACTCACGGCGCACGACCGCATGGCGTCGCAAAGGAGCGACAGGCCGGTTTTCAGCGCCGAAGAGTTAGCCAGCATTCTTTGCCAATAGGGCTCATGCCGCTTGCTGGGCTATAGTGCCTGTATGACACAACAGTTAGAAGGAGTGGGATAAGAGTGCGGTCCAGTATCTATACCTGCATGCACATTCTACATGGTCTCTTCCGTTGTCTCCTGCTCTACGAAAAGTCCGTGAAATCTCCGTGGGCAGAGTCGCCGTAGTTGATGGCCTTCCGTCGAATTCGGCCAATCGTGCGCAACCGCTCGACCCAGTTCGAGCAGAAGGTCTCCTCGTTTCCCTTCTTACGCGTGTTGCGGATCTGTGATGCCAGCTGTACAACAGTAGAGACAGAGATCAAAACAGAGGGAGAGAGAGAGAGACGAGGATCACAGATAGAAGAAAGAAACAGGAAAACACCTACATTCCAACCTAAAATAACTTCCGAAGCCCTTGTGCCATGTACTACCATAGAATGGGGTGGAAAACTATCGCGTGTCATACCATTCCAAGCAAGCATGCAAAGTAATGTAATCGCACTACCTCTACGCAAGGATGTCATTTTACAACCTCTTAAAGGGACATGACAAGGAACACAATGACGATACACAGACTTTGCGTAGAGTGGCTAGCACACTCGGAGTAGGTTAGCTAGCACACACACAGAGCCTGTACATCAAGCAACTTACGTTAGCATGGACTGCCAGTTGCCTGACTAGGGTGGGAAGCCACATGTCAGACACAACCAATGAATCACTACACACCATGAAGCTCTCCACACCTGTCACAACCAGAAACAAGCAGCAGAAACAAGCAGCAGCAGCAGCAGAAGTCATAGCAGCAGCAGCAGCAGCAGCAGCACCAACAGCAACAGCAGCAGCAGCAGCAAGAAGGAATCACACAATGAACATGGATACACCTGGAAAAAGCTCTGCAAAAAAATACCGATAGCTGCACGGCAAAGTGATGGCCCACTGATGCAGACGTACTTAGTTCAGTGTTTCTCAACACTGGGATGACAGTAATGTGAATCCAGATAACTTTACCTTGCTGAGCTCTCCACTGACATCGATATGTCAATTACAGCCAAAGTTGGGCAGCTGTCGTTGGACCCGCTGTAGCCAGGGCATCTACCCACACGAACAGGAGTGTGTGTGTGTGTGTGTGTGTGTGTGTGTGTGTGTGTGACTGTGTGGTGTGTGCGACTCTGCTGTTGCTGCTCTGACCCATGGTGGGATTTATCATTTTTTTTGTACAGGCAAATTTTCTCCGCGACCTTGAGTCATCACGTACAACTTCGGACACGACCTGTATTGCTCGGCTGTTGGCAGGGTACTTCAGCCGGTTTAGTATTTTGAACTACTATTTTCGAAAACTTCCTTTTTGCTTCTGCAGCAGGTTTTCGCTCCAAATTTCAAAAGGCACGCACGGACAGTGAAGTTGCAAACGCAGGGTGTAGGAAGACAGTTTTCAAGACATGAACGCCATCTCTATACGTCCGTGCTCTCAGGCACAGTAGGCATCAACAATACAGTCTGCTGTGGGCCAAACCGAGCGGAACCGTACACTCTGGTCTATGCGCTCATCAATCAATTATTATGCCAGCACTCTAGAACGAGTGGTGGTGTTCCTATCTAAGATCAGACATCAGCTATATGTACATACCGTCTCGATGCACGACGCGCACTTCATTGATTGCCAGTGGTAGCGGGGTGATGACGATGGACGCGAAGCAGAACTGACCCTGATACACACACATGTGCAAGCACATTAAGACATGCACACACACACACGCACACGCACACACACACATAGATGAGTACATGGGGAGAGCGAGCTCCTATTCAAGTCAGTCTTATTTTAGAGCCACATATTTCTATGCACGCACACACGTGCACACTTACACACACGCGCGCGCACGCACACACACACACATACACACACATGCACACACGCGCACACACGCATACACACGCGCACACGCACACACACACACACACACACCTCAGACATGCCCATCGCGGAAGCGATGATAGCGAACAGCTATGTTAGACATAGCAACTTGTGCTCACACACACACACACACACACACACACCAGTAGCGTTCCTACCTCTTTGGCGATTGGCTTGATGTCTCCACCGGTGTTGTTGTACATGATCTTGACATAGTCGTTACCGATGTGTGCGAGCTTTCCAGTGCAGGATGCGTCACTCGGATCACTCGGCATCAGGGTTGCTACATGATATATCACTGAGCACGGCCAATGGGCAATCAAAAAAACCCACACACACACACCAGACAGACAGACACACACACATACACACACACACACACACACACACACACGCACACATGCACGCACCAGACGGACACACGGGTATGTAAAGCACAGCGCACATAGCACATAAACATACGAGAACATACAAACACGCTTGATGTGCCCCATAGTGGGACAAGATGAGTCTACAGCTTGGATAGATCGGCCATACCTGTATACTTGCACCAAGAGTAGATAAACAAGAGTGTGTGCAACTCGCGGATGGGTAGGTCCACGGGGGAATTTTTTGTTGACGTTATCTTTTCGACGACGCACGCGCTGCGAGTCTTTCGGAGAGTTTTCTCTCGTGCACTTGGCTGGGCTTTACACTACAAGGTCGGTGCCCAGCACGTGCTCTCACACTGCTCTGCGGCAAAATGCGCGTTTCTCTGAAAAAAGGTGACGTCAACAAAACATTCCGCCGTGGGCGGGGGGGGGGTATCTGCAGATCGTGCAGGAGAGATCCGGAGTTGCACACTCTTGTTTATCTACTCTTGCTTGTACTAAGACATTTGTAGAGATAGCGAGCCAAGTACACAGAGCACACGACTGGGAAGTAGACAAATTACATGTTTGAGGTGACAGAGTAAAACGGAACGTACAAGAAGAAACTGTAGAAAACGTTCAAGAAAAGAGAACTAGATGTACATGGTGACGTGGTATCATGTGTGCTGATCACAGCGGCCTTCAGTTTGAGCATGAAGGGACAGGGGGATTACGGAGACTCCCTTGATTCAGGCTAAGGCCTGTGGAGACTCCATAAATACAAAATCATACAAATTCTCGTGTTGAAAGCAGCACAAAGAGATAACCGCGCGTACCTTGTGAGATGTCATCTTCCCAGCTGATGGCCCAGTTGCCGTCTTTCCCGTCACGGCTCAGTCCTCCCAGGAACACGTTGCGTGGGTCACAATCTTCCAGCGCAATCCAGTCACCTAGACCGTTGAGAAAGTGCTCGTAGCGAAGGGAGCCGTGTGTGTTCGCCAGGGCGGCGCCAATTGTCATCTGCGAGCGGGCGAAAGTACACACAAACGAGAATGAAACAGGCTAGAAAAAGAATCCAAAAAAGATACACAGACGCATAGCTCGTGTATAATCAGCGTAGTCCGATCAGCACACCAGAAAATGACCAGTGTACTTCGGTACTATATTGTCAAAATAGGCAAAAGAAGGATACGGGGATACGGGGCTTCCCGTCGTACATGGTCACCACACCACACTACACTCCTGATACAATTCGAGAAGTTCCAGTCCAATCCTCCGAGATAGTCTCAGCCTCAAGCGTGGCAAAATATTATTACACGGGAACCGCAATGGACAATGTAGGTTTCCACGACATCTACAAGTGGACTACAATGATACGTGGGAGACACCAGAAAGTTGGGGTGCCACTTTCGGATGAATAACTATAAACATATGGAAAAAGACACTGTCACCACAAAGACATCAGCTTTCTAAATTGGCTACAAGAAAAATCATATCCTAGCCGATGATCACTGGTGTTTTAAAATAGAATAGAAGAAAATAGAAAGAAGAAAGAAAAGAGAGAGAGAGAGAGAGAGAGAGAGAGAGAGAGAGAGAGAGAGAGAGAGAGAGAGAGAGAGAGAGGGAGAGGGAGAGGGAGAGAGAGAGAGAGAGAGAGAGAGAGAGAGAGAGAGAGAGAGAGAGAGAGAGAGAGAGAGAGAGAGAGAGAGAGAGGGAGAGGGAGAGGGAGAGGGAGAGGGAGAGGGAGAGGGAGAGGGAGAGGGAGAGAGAGAGAGAGAGAGAGAGAGAGAGAGAGAGAGAGAGAGAGAGAGAGAGAGAGAGAGAGAGAGAGAGAGAGAGAGAGAGAGAGAGAGAGGGAGAGAGAGAGAGAGAGGAGAGAGAGAGAGAGAGAGAGAGAGAGAGAGAGAGAGAGAGAGAGAGAGAGAGAGAGAGAGAGAGAGAGAGAGAGAGAGAGAGAGAGAGAGAGAGAGAGAGAGAGAGAGAGAGAGGGAGAGAGGAGAGAAAGGAGGGAGGAAGGGAGGAAGGGAGGAAGGGAGGAAGGGAGGGAGGAAGGGAGAGAAAGAGAGACGGCGAGAGAGAGAGAGAGAACGATAGAAGACATCCATCACACACGTACAGAGGCACAACATTGGCAACGTACTGCAAAAAAGACAACGTTCCCTCAAACCGCCACTACCACATGCACAAGAGGACATGCAGCAAGGCTGACACCTCACCTGTCCTTTGTCCACATACAGCACGCCAATACGGTGCGTTTCGTATGGCGCAGTGCGATCCAGCACACGCAATGATCTGTCCACCGCCTACATACAGATAGTGTACCAAATCATACGGAAAAAAAGAAAAAAGGGCAAAGGGGATGAGAATGGTAATAGTTAAAGGTGATCAGGTGGATTCAATAGTGAACAAGGACCATATCCAACAAAAGAAAAAAAGAAAAAAAAAGTTGTCATCCATTATTAGTTGAGAAACTCCACGTTTTCGATTAGAAGAAACTCGGTGGAGAACGGATATTTTGATCTAGCACCAAAGGTTGTCAAGACAACCACACCGACACACTGACTAGTAAACAGTGCACAATGCTTGCCTGGTGCATTCTATTCAAGATCTTCACAATTTCCGAAGAAATAATTTTTCACATCCTCAAGTGGGATTCGTACCACGTACCTCTCGTTCACAAATCAACAACTCTACAACACCTTCAACAAGGTTCCAGGTGGCATATATAGGCAAGCCTCCAAATTTATCCAAATTGCCATGTTGCAGCAAGGCTCACAAAGAGGAGTGGGTATTGGACGAGAAATTGTAATCCCGGCACAACTGTCATATTCCTTCATGGAAGTGTTTCCCGTGGAAAACACTCCAATAGGACCTTTGTCCAGCATTATGATCACATCGAATTCGTTCTTCCAATGGTTTGCACTTGTCCCGGGTGGAATGAATTCGTTGCTTCGTCTTCTTTATGCTTTCCCCACAATGGCTGGCTAATGTATATGGTACGCATGGTGAGTAGTGGTGAAACGAATAAACCGAATGTTCGAAAATTCGTTCGGTTTGACACATTCGAACGAATATTTCTCATGGCGAATATTCGTTAACCCAGTATGCAGAATCAACCGGGCGACTTCAAACTTTCGTAACTTCGTGAATACTTGACCGAATCGCTTCATTGAAAGATCTATCGGCATAAGCAAACTCTCAGCTGTTGTTTAGAAGCCACCCGAACGCAATCCGAGGTCCTGGAGGTATGGCGCTCGAACGAAAATCACGTCTCAAGCTGTTTTTGAGCCTGTGAAAGGCACTTCAGCTGGGGATTTTTTGTGAAAAATGACCTAGAAATGATGGAGAAATATATGCCTTCGTTCGTCATGCCTAATAATAGTGACAATATCCAATAAAATGACTGAGAGGAGGGCATGTGATGTCATTCGTGTTAACGAAAGAATATTCGTTCGTTAAGCTGAAGAATATTCGGCTACTGGGTTTTGATATTCGTTTCACCACTAATGGTGAGCTTCTAACTCTTGTGTAGTTACTCTAAAGCTGCCACATTCAATCAGGACGGCACACTCACAGATGGAGGTAACATCGTTAAGGGGGCACTGACCTCATTATTCTTCAGCTGAATGGGCCGGTCGCCAAGTTTGGCGGCCGTGTCTTGTGATGTCAGCATGCCAGACTGGTACAGCTGGAGAAAAATGAAGCTGACAAGAACAACGACAATGAAAGAAAGAGGGGCAAAGCATACAGATGTCAGTTTCAGGCATGTGTGAACGGCTTGCAGGGGAAGGTGAATTTCTGCACAGTATCCGCATAAAATGCCATATCAGAGTATCCCCCTCCCCTGCCAACCAGCACAAGCATACACAAGCGACATAACACAAGTATATAACCTACCGGCGCAGGTAATTTTACACACACACATACATACACACACACACACACACACACACACACACACACACACACACACACACACGGGTATTCTGCGCGTCATTGAGCTAAAACGGGGTGCTAGAACTACGAAGAATCTCAGCTGTGCAATCAATCAACCCTGCCATTTCATTCATACATGTACTGTATACTGATGATAAGAATCAAGGCAAAGACAGTGACTCATGGCGTACTCACCTGGGACCTACTGGGTCTGGCACCGTCTCTGGACCACAGCCTAGTTGTTGGAGAAAGAAGAAGAAAAAAACACAAGGTGAACACGGGCGTACACGCAAGCAAGCACGCACACACACACACACACATAATGATCACAGACAACACAAATGAAGCACTGTGCTGTACTTGGAGTGAGCCGGAAGGCAAAGACTGAGTGAGACAACACAATGGATGTGTGATCTGACAACAATAGAGCTGCAAGCATGCAGTTAGAAGACACCACATAAAGAAAGTGTTTCACATACTTTCACCTCAAACGAGTTCGCACTCATACTCCTTTCTACGCATAAGCGGTCGGACGAGCGTGATTTGTCAAATACATGGACACAAATATTCACGGAAAAACCTGTCATCACAGCGAATGCTGTGCAAGACAGTGGTCACGACGTATGGCTTCCACTAATTGCCTCTATTACAAAAACGCAGAACCCGACTTCCGTGATCATATGCAGAGTTGTACTGCAGCACACATTGGATAATGTCAGGCCGGACCTTCTTGCCTGTACATGTACTTACTGAAAGAGCTATGCCTTGAGGAGAAGTTCATGACTTGAGAACACGCTGACAATTCACTAGAGGACTCATCTGTCAGTACATTGGCATCACACAGGACAGAACAACAAAAAACCACAGCAACAGCATTAGTGGAGGAAGGCAGCAACAGTGTAATAACAAGTGAGGGCAAATGAAGTGACATCAGTGGAGTTCATGAAGTACAAGCACAACGGCAGCAACGCGTGCGTGCGTGCGTACGTACATGCATGTGTATGTGACCTGTTGTCATTGTTAACTTGTGCACATGCAGTGCGTGCAATAGACGAGCAACCGAACGACTTACTGACATCGAATTTGGACGCGATCGGCGGCTTCACTGCCGGGGATGACACATCCAGAGAGCCGCTCTTCAACAACGCACTGGTTGCCTGCCTGCAAGCAGACACTTGACTAACGGCGGACAGCGGTAGAGAGGACGGCTCGTACGGCAACTGAGTAGCGGCGGACACGGAGGAGCAGGCTTTGACCTCAGGTGGTGTGGCGGTGTTCGACAGCGGTAAGGACGAACACTTGCCAGAGGGTGTCGCCGACTGCCGTAGCGGCGTCACGACGGGGCTCCTGGTCCGCGCGAGCGCCGCCCGTTGTTCGTAAGCAACGTGCATGGCGGGTCGGTGCTGTTCCAGCGGCCTGAAACCGGTCGGCGTGGTGGTGCGAACCGGTGTACTAGATCGAGGAGAGTCCCGGCTAATGCCCCCGCCAACGCCACTACCAAACTCGGCGGTTGCTGGCTCGCCGTCCAGCTTGTGAAATCCGGTGTCGCGCTCCTCCTGCGACGCCGCCGACGATGACAGCGCCAGGTCCTGCAGTGACTTCATAGCGCGGAATGTAGTTGTGTTCTGCAGGCGGTGTGCGGGATTGGCGTGCATGGGTGTGGTAGCTGGGCGAGTGCTAGACATGACCACATGACTGCTGTTACCGTTGCTGTTGCCAGTGCTGGTGCTGATGTTGCCCGTGCTTTTACTGCTGTTGACGCCGTGCGTGGCGAGTGGAGATATGACGGCCACGGGCAGCGTGGATTCGTCGCCGGCGGCTGTGGACTCGAGGCTGTCGGAGCTCTCGCGCCGTCGTGACGCCGTCGTGCGCAGCAGGTGCAGAGTGACCGGATGTGAGTGAGAGTGCAATGCTGTCGCCGCTGTCGTCGTCGCAGCGACTGTTGCCGCCGGTGATGCCACCGGGCACTGCCGACGATCTTCTCTGTGCTGCTGCTGCTGATGCTCATGGCCATGGCCATGCTTGCTTGGAAGGCCACTACCACCACCAACGGCGACCGACACGGCTGCGGGTGTACCTTGGACGTTGACTGGCGACATGTCGCCGACGTCATCGGTGACCAACGGCGTGGCCTGGCCGTCTTCCCACATCATCGGGTGGCCGACTATGTCCGGTGTCTTCAGATCTGTCAGTTGCGAGTCGGACAGCTGCCGGCACAGCGACGATCTCTGCTTGACAGCGTTCATGTCGATTGTCGGCAGATCTTCATCCGACACTCGTGTATGTTCGGGCAGGCAGTGCACTGAGCTGGGAGGTGGCTCTTTTTCGGTTGAGGACTGCAAACTGGTCGAATCAAACGAGCAGCGACTTCGTGCCGCCAGACCGAGAGCTGAGGGGTGGCGCGGATGGCTAGATCCCAGTGATGACGGCTGTCCGGTCGATGAAAAAGACACGGGACCGGACGATGTGGTTGACGAAGGGCCGCTCGCTGCTACACTGCGTGATAACGACAGCGCACTGGCTGCGGAGGCAGCGCTGGGATTGGACAGCGCCAGCATGGCGGCCATTTCCGCCTCCGTCACGTCACCCTCGGCATACAGCTGGCGGAGCGTGGGCGTGGCTCGCACCATGCTGCTCGGCACGGACGATGCGACGATGCTCGGCTTGTTCTGCAGCTTCATGAGCCAGGCGGTGTTGCTGCATGGTCGGCGGATTGTAATCGCTGCCCAGCCGTTCTGTAAAACCTGACTCTGGTCGGCCGCGGTCCCGGTGCCATCCTCGGCGACGCTTTGCCCTGTCACACTAGAATGCCCACCACCAGCACCACCACCGCCGCCAGCAGCACCACCACCACCACCGCCAGCAGCACCAGCATCTCCTCCAGGCAGCGCCGCAGCAGACCCTGGACCACCACCACCAACACCACCACCGTGAGTGCTACACGATGACACGGAGCCCGAGTGGTGAAGCTGGTGAAGCGGCGCGGTCATGTCCTGGCCAGATACTGACATCGATGTCGACATCGAATGACTGGCCACGGAGTCTATGGAGGTGACTCCGTGCACGTGTCCAATACTCTCTGTAGCCGACGGAGCATCTACAGATTCATCAAACGTTTTCGATAACGGCGATGCAGGCATAGACATTGTGGAGCTACGCTCGGAGATTGGCATGTCGGCCGATGGCTTGCCCGTCGTTATGGTAACAACAAGATGGCCAATCAGCCAGTTGCTGGATGCTCCGTTGGCCAGTAGCTTGCTAGACCCAGGCGACCTGTACCATGCCCATGCATGTAAGTGCGCACACACACACATGCATGCACATGCACACACATACACACACACATACACACACACACACACACACACACACCCACGCACGCACACACACACACACACACACACCAGAAGACGGCAGCATTAAAGGACGGTCAAGCGCACCCGCACACGCCCACACCCAGCATACAGTACGCCCACAGTCTGATCTGTGGGATGTTTCAAAGTGCCCTCTGCACTGACACCGGCGCCATACTACACCACTGCCAAGAGGAAAGAAGAAACTAGGAGATGTGACGATGTCATCCATTATTAGTTGAGAAACTCCACGTTTTCGATCAGAAGAAACTCGGTGGAGAATGGATATTTTCATCTAGCACCACGGGTTGTCAAGACAACCACACTGACGCACTGATCAGTAAACAGTGCACAATGCTTGCCTGGTGCGGGGAACAGCAATGGGGGCACAGGGTGGACTATACGTACACTGGTACGAGCCAGGGCATGCGAAAAGGGTGCTTACATGCACACTGAACTAAGAAAAACGAACTAGAAGTTGAACTTTTATGTGTGTGACTATTAGACCGCAACCAACAAAACTGCTTGTGACTTGGGTATTTACTGGTTTTTTTTTACCTAATTATTTTTTAAACGATTTCTGAAGCTTGCAGACACATGGTCCACTAAAGAATTCAATATAGGAATCAACTCAGTACTGACTTTCAATGTCCTCCGTCTATCTGTTACTTTCCTCTGGCACAGTGCACAAGTACATATTGCACAAACATTCGCTTCAAACTTTAGACTTTTGTTTCAATAGGAGAAAGCAGCACACACATAAGTTTGTTCCCAGCTGAAGTTCAAGCAGGAATACAGTCAACTTCGCTTATAACGACATTCGGTGGGGCATCAAAAAGGTGTCCTTATTCGCGAAGTGTCGTTATACCCGAAGTCTCATTTTATGTATTACAGTGGGATGAGACTTTGCTCTGGGCATGGAAACTCTGTCGTTATTCGCGAATTGTCGTTATATCCGCAGTCGTTATTCGCGAATTGTCGTAATATCCGCAGTCGTTATTAGCCAAGTTGACTGTACTACAGTCATGGTGCACACTCTCAGTTTCTAGTGTGACAATGACACAACACACTACTGATGCACCCAGTGTGTTGATAGTGCTCAACACCGCGCAGGCAGAGTGTAATACACGGAACAACAATGGGCAAGGCTAGTTGGTCCCTACTCTTGAGTTCATGCTTACACAATCAGGTTGCCTGATGATTGCCTGATGATCGCATAAGCACGGAACTCAGAGTACCGTAAAGTTGTGTGTAAAGGCCGCGGCTTATGACCTTTTTGGGGAAATTTTGCAGGCTTCTATAGGAGACAGGCTTCTATACAAGACAGGTATTTCTATGTACAGTAAAGCCTGGTTTAAGCGACCACCCCACGGTGCAAGCAAAAGCGGGCGTTAAAGCCAGGTGGTCTTTAGAACCAGGTTCCACAGTCTTTGTGTAGAACTGTCGGTGCATGGGAAAACGGTGGTTAAGAGCAGATGGTCGCTAAACCCAGAGGTCGCTAAACCCAGAGGTCGCTAAACCCAGAGGTCGCTAAACCCAGAGGTCCCTGAACCCAGAGGTCGCTAAACCCAGAGGTCGCTAAACCCAGAGGTCGCTAAACCCAGAGGTCGCTAAACCCAGAGGTCGCTAAACCCAGAGGTCGCTAAACCCAGAGGTCGCTAAACCCAGAGGTCGCTAAACCCAGAGGTCGCTAAACCCAGAGGTCGCTAAACCCAGAGGTCGCTAAACCCAGAGGTCGCTAAACCCAGAGGTCGCTAAACCCAGAGGTCGCTAAACCCAGAGGTCGCTAAACCCAGAGGTCGCTTACACCAGGTTTTACTGTATTGTATAAGCAGAAAATTTCGTCGGTCAATAATTTCGTCCACCTCCAAAGAAAGGGAGTTCGTCCGGTTGTAAATTTCGTCCGTGGATCGTAAGAGTGCATTGAAAAGCTGGACAAATCGATATCAGGCCGGCATTTAATTAAGACCAAAAGCTCCTTGGACGAAAAAGACGAAATTAAATTCCAGACGAATATTTCTGCCTGTACAGTGTGTCAACACTAAAGCCAGGCTTGTGTGCAGACAGTGTATCTTGAAAATCAGGCTTCTGTTCAAGACAGGCTTCTATTCAAGACGGGCTTCTACAAAAAAAATTCACGGTTCGCGTGAGACTCGGCGGCCAAAGGCCCAGTTTTCCGCATCAGCAGGAACGCCACCACCCTCTTGGATCAAGGCTTCTATAAAAGGCAGGCTTTAATACAAGCCACTGCGGTAAGTTAGCGACAAACTGGCCTTGCTCTTGTTGTTCTGTGCAACGGCTACTGATATTACACCCTTTAATCGGCGGTGATGGCTGGCACCAAGCAAACAAATCCAGAAACAGTTTCTACAGTCCTACCAGCTGTGCAGTGTAGAGCAAGCGGTGTGCGTGTAGCGCATCATCATGTCCAGGCAGACGTCGCACAGCTCCTCGTGGATGTGCAGGTTCTCCTCGAGACGCTGCTGGCGGGAGAAGTCGTGGCTGCGCACGACGGCTGGGGACGCGTCGCTGCCGCGGCCCGAATCTGCACATCACCGTCGGCAAAATACACACATGAACACGCATGAACACACGCATGAATACACGCATGAACACACGCATGAACACAAACATGAACACAAACATACACATACATGGGGTTGGGCACATTAACACCGTAAAGCCAAAGGAAGGGTTCGCACCAGCAGCAACACCATTGTACACACCAGCAGCAACACCATTGTACACACCAGCAACAGTGACAGCTGAAGCACCAACAGCAGTGGTCGCAGCAGCAACAGCAACGGCAGTGGAAGTTCAGATTACCAACTGCCCAGGAACAACCACCATCACCAGTGCCAGCAGGGTCAACAGCGATGGAGACACCATTCGCACCAGTAAGCAAGCGCAAAACACGGAAGCAGAAAGCAGCAAGTAGCAATGGCGGTCACTGAGACAACGTACGTCTAGAGTGGCGACCGGACTGCTCCAAACCCGGAGTTACGGTACCAGAACCGGCTGATGTAACACTGGTATCCGACAAGATAGACGATGAACGCAGGTTACTCTGCATATGCTGGGAGATGTGACGTAATTTCTATTCCCAAAAAAAACGAAACAACAAAAAGTTAAAAACACAAATTGTCATAAGCTTGGGGGGAGATAGAGAAGGGGAATAGCCAAAAAAGAGGTGTGAGAAAATCAGATGTCACCACCAGGACTCGAGCCAAGAACATTCGCTGCACCACTGATGCGCTAACAGAGTGACAGTACTGGAGCGCCAAAACCCCCGAATATGTGCAAGGCAAGAGGTGCTCCACATGCTACACAGACATACATTATCCACAGTGACAGCTCCAGGCAGAGAGCAGACAGAAGGGAAAATCTGCCAAAGGAAAAAAGAGCCAAGTGGCATACTACATGTACCCACGTCATGGCCAACTCACGTTCAAAATGAATGTAACAAAGTTCTTCTGCGGCACTCGACAGCGGACGAACCAGAGAGCAAGCACGTGATGGGCAAGTGTCACAATGTAAAGGGAAAACCTGCGCATCAACGGAACAACAGACATACACCACAAGCACAAATGGAGGATTGTGTTACCATGGCAACCAAAAAGAACAACTAAATCCCCACTGCATGTGTCCGTTACAGAGTTTCGCATACAAACAAGCGGAAGGTATATCAATTGAAAATCGCGACCACGCCGACCAAAACTTCGACAGGGTGGTTCAATCAAATCCTGTGTACAGTTGCCATAGCAACACGGCGCTGCACATCCCGCACAGTGGCATTACCACGATCAAGCACAAGCGGTCGGGCAGAGAAATGCGCCGACGATCGATTGTGCAACGACAAACTCGTATCTACTGAGAATCAGAATTTTGCAACTATTGCCACTTTACGCATTGGGAACGGTACATAAGCCTTCGTCCCCAGTATTACTCAGTGTGTTGTATGAGCCGAGAGAAGGTTAGCATCTCCCTCGATAAGGACGAGAAATGTCTTCGGACATTCAACTTACAACACATGGTTAAGGCTATGCCGCTTACTTCGCGGTATCTTACCATTTTTTCCCTTGCGCTGTAACTAGCACTTTTTTTGTCTTCCTCTGGTATCTGCATTGCCTGACACAGCGGAATGCTCTTCATTTCCTGAGTGATGACATCCCGGTCTTTTCGTTTCGTTTGCAAGACTAGTGTGATCTTAGAAGGTGAAGTTGTACTCTGATTTATTGATCTGTGAGATTTTGAGTCAGTCTAAAGGCCCATTCACAATATCACTTTTGATGCGTTCAGACTTACTGGGATGGGTCGACGTAGGGCAGGATGATAGCGAAGATGCTCTTGTACTGCTCAGCGTTAAAGCTAGCGTACAGGCTGGAAATCTGCACCAGGTCTACAGACAAAGAACAGAGACAAGAACAACATTCTCGCTCCTGTTTAACTACCGTAGCTAACGGGAGGCATGCGTCAATTCCCCGCCATTAGGTTTTGCGGGGCAAGTCCACTACAACCGTGCACACCTTGATACCAACTCTGCATAAAAGGTCATGAACTTTGTGTGGTCATACATGTACTCATAAATGTACTATAGCGGGTTATACCTGCCAAGTACGGGATAACTTGCCCCGCAAAAAGGTGACGGCCATCTTAGACGCATACCTCCCATTAACAAACAAACCCTGCAAACCGTGGATCTGCTTGGCCCTATAACATGCACTACGTAATACAAAGTGTAGCATGCAGTCACTGTGTTACGTGTAGCATGCAGTCACTGTGTTCATGTTGGGTATTGATATTCACTGCTAAAACTGGAAACGTGTCGACCAGCAGACCAAAGCTCCCGATAAGTGCACGGCGACCACACCATAGCATGGCCAGTCCAGACACCGACACTCCCGAACTCGTCTTATGTATGAATGTGGCAAGTAGACTGTACTGCATTGTACTGCACTGTACTACACTGCACCAGTACTCACTGGAGAGAAGTTCTAGAACCGGTGCAGCTAGAGAAGGTGCAGCTGATACCAAAGTGAGACGATGTAACAGTGATTCCATACGCCTGCATAAGAACACATACACACACGTGCGCATACACATACACATGCACACACACATACACGTGCACACACACATACACACCCACACCAGCAGGTGTACAGACACAAGGACGGTACAGGCACATTAGCATCACAATGAGCTCAAGTACCGGACGTCGCAACAACAACAAAAGGGAGGAAGGACGGTATTTCAGACATAGCGCCAGCGTAACCCCTAATAGGCCATTCATACGACATGCAAATCTCCAATTGTACGCTTGTGCAAACGTGGACATGCGATTAGACTGATTCACATAATACATGCAAATCCTGCACGTGTGCCAGTCTAGCCACAGGGACCTTTCGAGAGTGCTGTTGGCTGGGGTTCACTCGTGGGCAGAGCACAACCATGCGCACAGCGTTCACGCCCACGTCAAACATACGTTGCTCGCTCATTCCCCACATTGAGTATAACACGTACAGGGAGACCACAACAAGTACAAGATGATGAATAATCGGTTGTAACTCCAAGTTTCACGCACGCCGGGATCATCAGACACCAGTGAACACCAGACAGCAGTGTTCGAGAGTGAAACCTTTCCAAGGCGACGACCACTCAAGGGACCTTACAGTCAGACCTCGCTTATCCGGTCCTGTTTTATCCGCATCCCTCACTATCCGGAAGAAAATAGTTGGTTACCGATTTACAGCATATGCCATGCATACATACAGTATGTGTGTTCGATTATCCGGTTCCCTCGCCTATCCGGATATTTTTGTGGAAAACGGATGTGTGCGGTTAAGCGAGGTCTGACTGTATAAATGCTCCTGTCCCTCTTCCAGTGTAACTGGTAACTACTTACAGCGTGATGACGCTCTGCATCTCCAGTATGGACAAGGACAGGGCCACGACGCACGCACGGCAGCTCTTACGGCCGGCCACCAAGCCATTCTCCAGTGACTGCACCAAGATCATCTGAGACCCATAGAAAAGAGACACACAAACACATGGACAAACACACACACACACACACACACACACACACACACACACACACACACACACACACACACACACACACACACACACACACACACACATATATACACACATTATTCATTAGGGTGAAGGAGCTGCAAAGGGCAAAATTCTGAAGAAAAAAATGGACTGTCACCACCAGGACTCGAGGTAGGGGACCCTCGCTTATGACCAGCGATGCTCTACCTCTAAGCTATGGTGTAGTCGTCATCCCAGCAGCGACCGTACCCTTTTCTTCAGACTTCAAAACCCACGCTTCCTGTGAATCCACACAGGTGGGTGGGAAATGCATTAAAAATTCCAATCATGGATGGTCTGTTGTACATCTGTACCAGCTCTACTTCACAGTCTGTTGTACATCTGTACCAGCTCTACTTCACAGTCTGTTGTACATCTGTACCAGCTCTACTTCACAGCAAACACATACAGAGAAAGGTTCCTGATTGAGGAAAACGGGTAACCTGACAGTCCACAAACGGAACGTAGTGCTTTACACCCCTGACCCCCGGGGTGCTGCAATACAACCCACAACACCCGGCATACAGTTTCTTCCCAGCACGGTCAAGAGTTATCAGCACGGCTAGTGCGGTGAGGACGACGTACCTGTGTGCTTTTGGTGAGTTTGCTGCAGTAGGGCACCAGAGCGGTCAGAACCTAGACGACAAGCAAAACAAAGGGACAGAACATCACGTCAGCAAGAACAGGAAACGGAGCAGATACAAGGAACGACACGAATCGAGCGCGAGATACTGGTGGCACATGAAAAGTGACTACTGTGTACACTGTCCATGCATTACGGTACTCGGCAAAGGAGTTGTGCGACAACTGCCAAATCTCAATGTGCACTGAAATTCACTCAAAACCATTTTCTCACTGCAAAAGATTAATTAAAACATTTGCTCTGTTACCCTGATCAGTACTGGATTCGGATAAAACAGCAAGAAACATAAATAAACGGACCTCGAGCGTTGGTGTATGTTTTTTTACACCATTCAGCGTGCACAATACAGCCCAGTACTAATAGTGCAAACAGCAGATGTGGCTAGTTAAAAAGAGAGCCGGGCAGTTACACCCACCATATGCAAGTCACAAAAACAAAAGCAAATATGAAGCTCTCAGTGTAGACAGACTCCTACTCACAGGGTATATTTGAATAGAGATATCCATTGCAGATATGGGCATGTCCTTCAACGAGCAACGGCGAGAGGATTTTGCCTGGATGCGACAACAGCAACACACGCCGAAAACAAAAGTCAATCCAATGCTTATTTGCTTTTAATGTTGAACGGTCTCTGCTGGGATGACAGCTACACCATAGCTCAGTGGTTAGAGCATCGCTGGCCTCAAGTGAATGTCCCTGGTTTGAGTCCTGGTGGCGATAGCCAAATGTTTTCTTCAGATTTTTCCCATTTGCATGTTTCTCTCAAGCCAATGAATATTCAATGCTCATTTAATAATACATTCACAACAAGACAAGCTCCCGTTCTTGAGAACAAATATCAACGGTCCCTTGGTGTACGAGCTTGATGTTCGACTGTAGATAATATTGTACTAAATGAGCGGCGACTCACCAGCTCGCACAGCTGTCTTCCCAGGTTGTTCAGGTCACAGTCGGTGGACAGGATGAGCAGGCGGTGATGCAGTAGCCGAGACAGCTGCCTCAGAACCACGTCCACAACACTGTACTGCTTCTCCTGAACAAGACAAAGACAGAGAGAGCGAGAGAGAGGATCAAGACGAAAAAAGACCATGATTACAATACAGTAAAACCTGTAACTAAAGACCACCGTGACTAGCGACCAGCCTGGTACTAAAGACCACCGTGACTAGCGACCAGCCTGGTACTAGAGACCACCGTGACTAGCGACCAGCCTGGTACTACAGACCACCGTGACTAGCGACCAGCCTGGTACTAAAGACCACCGTGACTAGCGACCAGCCTGGTACTACAGACCACCGTGACTAGCGACCAGCCTGGTACTACAGACCACCGTGACTAGCGACCAGCCCGGTACTACAGACCACCGTGACTAGCGACCAGCCCGGTACTACAGACCACCGTGACTAGCGACCAGCCTGGTACTACAGACCACCGTGACTAGCGACCAGCCCGGTACTACAGACCACCGTGACTAGCGACCAGCCCGGTACTACAGACCACCGTGACTAGCGACCAGCCTGGTACTACAGACCACCGTGACTAGCGACCAGCCTGGTACTACAGACCACCGTGACTAGCGACCAGCCCGGTACTACAGACCACCGTGACTAGCGACCAGCCTGGTACTACAGACCACCGTGACTAGCGACCAGCCTGGTACTACAGACCACCGTGACTAGCGACCAGCCTGGTACTACAGACCACCGTGACTAGCGACCAGCCTGGTACTACAGACCACCGTGACTAGCGACCAGCCTGGTACTACAGACCACCGTGACTAGCGACCAGCCTGGTACTACAGACCACCGTGACTAGCGACCAGCCTGGTACTACAGACCACCGTGACTAGCGACCAGCCTGGTACTACAGACCACCGTGACTAGCGACCAGGCTGGTACTACAGACCACCGTGACTAGCGACCAGGCTGGTACTACAGACCACCGTGACTAGCGACCAGGCTGGTACTACAGACCACCGTGACTAGCAACCAGCCTGGTACTACAGACCACCGTGACTAGCGACCAGGCTGGTACTACAGACCACCGTGACTAGCGACCAGGCTGGTACTACAGACCACCGTGACTAGCGACCAGCCTGGTACTACAGACCACCGTGACTAGCGACCAGCCTGGTACTACAGACCACCGTGACTAGCGACCAGCCTGGTACTACAGACCACCGTGACTAGCGACCAGGCTGGTACTACAGACCACCGTGACTAGCGACCAGCCTGGTACTACAGACCACCGTGACTAGCGACCAGCCTGGTACTACAGACCACCGTGACTAGCGACCAGCCTGGTACTACAGACCACCGTGACTAGCGACCAGGCTGGTACTACAGACCACCGTGACTAGCGACCAGCCTGGTACTACAGACCACCGTGACTAGCGACCAGCCTGGTACTACAGACCACCGTGACTAGCGACCAGCCTGGTACTACAGACCACCGTGACTAGTGACCAGCCTGGTACTACAGACCACCGTGACTAGCGACCAGCCTGGTACTACAGACCACCGTGACTAGTGACCAGCCTGGTACTACAGACCACCGTGACTAGCGACCAGCCTGGTACTACAGACCACCGTGACTAGCGACCAGCCTGGTACTACAGACCACCGTGACTAGCGACCAGCCTGGTACTACAGACCACCGTGACTAGCGACCAGCCTGGTACTACAGACCACCGTGACTAGTGACCAGCCTGGTACTACAGACCACCGTGACTAGCGACCAGCCTGGTACTACAGACCACCGTGACTAGCGACCAGCCTGGTACTACAGACCACCGTGACTAGCGACCAGCCTGGTACTACAGACCACCGTGACTAGTGACCAGCCTGGTACTACAGACCACCGTGACTAGTGACCAGCCTGGTACTACAGACCACCGTGACTAGCGACCAGCCTGGTACTACAGACCACCGTGACTAGCGACCAGCCTGGTACTACAGACCACCGTGACTAGCGACCAGCCTGGTACTACAGACCACCGTGACTAGTGACCAGCCTGGTACTACAGACCACCGTGACTAGCGACCAGCCTGGTACTACAGACCACCGTGACTAGTGACCAGCCTGGTACTACAGACCACCGTGACTAGCGACCAGCCTGGTACTACAGACCACCGTGACTAGTGACCAGCCTGGTACTACAGACCACCGTGACTAGCGACCAGCCTGGTACTACAGACCACCGTGACTAGCGACCAGCCTGGTACTACAGACCACCGTGACTAGCGACCAGCCTGGTACTACAGACCACTTCGCCAGGCATGGACGGTCTCACATTCATATATGTTTGTGCGATGAAAACCTCTAACTAAGGACCACCTGCCACTAAAGACCGCTTTCTCTGGCACCAAGGGGTGGTCGTTAGTCACAGGTTTTACTGTACTTAGCAAGTGTAAGTGTAAGGAGACAACCTGTACAGAAGGACCACAATTCGCAGGTCCCCTGAGCGGTCATCTTAGACAGGTTTCATTGTAGCTAGCTTACCTGCTCCAGGCACACTTCAATCAGATGCATGACGTCGGCAAAGTGCAGGGTGCTGTGCACGACCGGCACTATGGGCAGGGGATCTCCCTCGCCGCTGAACGTGTCCGCCACCTGCAGTAGATCCCTGAACACAAGTAAACACACAGAACATGCCGCGCGTACTAAAGCCGGGCGTATTCCTGTAGAAGCCGATGCCAGTGCCAGGCTTCTATTCAAGTCAGGCTTCTACTCGAGCCAGGTATTTCTATGCATGTCAACACTAAAACCAGGCTTATGTGCCACCAGTGCATCTTGAAAAACAGGCTTGTACTCAAAAAAGGATTCTATACGAGACAGGCTTTAGTACAAGACACTACAGTAACGTATTTTCCGGCGTACAAGCCGTACGGGAGTACAAGCTGCACCCAGATTTTTAGTGATGAAATACAGACATCTACCCTGTTCAGTACCGTTAATTTGACCATCGTAATATAAGCCACATCGACTTTTTGAGAGTGTATTACCGGTGTAGTGTGCATCCCAGGGGAAATGCGTTGACAAAGTCATCGAGGAGCAAACCAGCAAAACCCATACCTTCCATCGCAGTAGATGAAGTCACTGAATTCGGTGGTGTCCTCGCCGCTTTGTAGACCCAGTCTCAATTGGCTGTTAGCCCGCAGTGACATAAGACAGTCGAATACCTATGAGAGAGAGAGAGAGAGAGAGAGAGAGAGAGAGAGAGAGAGAGAGAGAGAGAGAGAGAGAGAGAGTGAGAGAGACAGAGAGAGAGAGATGAGAGAGACAGAGAGAGAGAGAGAGAGAGAGAGAGAGAGAGAGAGAGAGAGAGAGAGAGAGAGAGAGAGAGAGAGAGAGAGAGAGAGAGAGAGAGAGAGAGAGAGAGAGAGAGAGAGAGAGAGAGAGAGAGGGGGAGGAAGGGAGGGAGGGAAGAAGGGAGGGAGGAAGGGACCAACACACAGACAGACAGAGCCATTGCCACAGTATCAAAATCATTCGGCCACACAATGACTTGACTGTGTTGAAAATCGAAATATACCCAGTCAGGCAGTAGATAAAGAGCACAACAATGAGTAAAACAAACAAACGTGAATGCGTGAGTCTGCACACCTGTGTATACTGTACTTTCATCCCCCCCACAGACATACGGACAGACTCAAACATGCCCTGATAGCGAACAGCCTTGTTAGACATAGCAACTTGTGCTGGGACTACACCATTCAACAGCGTGCAAGGCTGGTGGTGAACTGACCGCCATTAATTTTAGCCTGGTATCCACCACACAGCTGTTTGAAGTGGCTTTTCTGGCCAGTGCATCCCTATTTTTCATTTTTTCGGACAGACAGACACACACACGGACACACACACACACACACACGCACGCACGCACGCACGCACACACACACACACGGTCACTTACAGCAATCTTCAGCTGTGCAGCCACGTGAGAACTGTACCCGAGTTCGTACTGTTTCTTCATGTGCGTCAACAGCAGCTGGAAGACGTAGCTGACATGGGCAGTTGGTAAATGAAACAACTTGTACTGGACAACACAACAGAACAACAGAGAAGAACACAAGGTTGAGAAGTCGGTGTGGATAATACTACCATGGTCAAATGAACCGTGAAGTACCGGGTAGTTGTCTGTATTTCGTGATGAAAAAATCTGTTGAACTCGGATGGTGAGCCAATTTAATTATGGTAACAAAGAAGAACGACAAAAGCACTCGCTGACGGTATTATAATCTGGTTCTGTTGGTGGACAGTTGGTCATAACTCGTAACATTTTGTCCTGCTCCTTTTTTACCAAAAAAATCTGCGCGCAGTGTATACTCAAGTGCGGCTTATACTGTGGAAATATGGTACTCAACAACAAGATCAGTTACAATCATACTGTTGCATGATGATGCAAGTACACGGGGCCCATGTCGCTTGCTTCGTTCACAAGAAGCCAGTTACGAGGCCTTTACCTCTCACCGAGGTCTGGCATCAAATCCCAGATGGGTAAATGGGTCTATGAGTCAGATGAGTCGGATGAGTCGTACTATGCAATGGATAGTCATCATCATTCTTATTCACAGGAATCAAACTCCTGGACCGGTCCCATGACAATAGACCACAGCACAATAGATGGTGAAAAGCTCAGAAATCTCGATGATCGAAGCAAATGACTAACTTTGAAAATGGAGACAAGACCGGTTACAGCAACCGTGGCATCTCGCAGAGTATCCTCTTCTTCGGCCTGACAGCACACAGAACAAAGAGAGACACCGGATATTCAGTTCTTCTTATCGATCTTAGTGTAAAAGGTCACGAGCAAAACAGCAAATACAAACATATGTGCACACATACACATGCACACGCACGCACACGCACACACACACACACAGACACAGACACGTGCACATGCGCGCACACTCACACATATACACACACCCCTTTAATACCTCGGTTATATTCGCCGGAACGTCGAGACTACGACTTGCAACCTAAGCAATAAAACACACACACACACACACACACACACACAGTGGAAAGAAGCCCAACAATCAAGGAGGGGAAGAGTGGAGAGGAAAGAGATCGAGAGAAAGGATCAAATAGGAAATGCAGTGGGTGAATACAGAAAAAAAGAATCAGCCCAACAAAAGGGAAAACAACTCCTGGTAACACATAATGCACTTTCCCGCACAAATATTTCGTATAGATGCCTGTTTCGGATACAGGACCAAATTTCAAGACATCATTCGCACATAAGCCAGAGCAGGACAATTCAAGTCCTTCCCACCGTGTAGGGCCCAGGCTGGCTCTCACCTTGTAGATGATGTAAACGATCTTTTCAAAGTGCTGCACGTCGCTGCACTGCTGGGCGAGACTGACCAGGTGCTGCGTCACGGCTGTGCGCACGGCAACCAGCGGCTCACGGTGGACGGCACGCATATGATACAGGACAATCTGATCCAGCATCTCATGCTGCAAACATAGACAAACACAAAACAGGCGAAAAGTGAAGAAAGGGGTCACAGATAGTTTCTTCAGCAGCATTAAACAATAACAGAAGAAACTAAGATACTGCTCTGCCTAGTGAGTGATATGAAAGATTTATAGAAGAGACCCATCAATTTATCAATCCCTTATTTTCCCCAAGGTGATTGTAGCTCCATACCTCGCTGAACAACAGCAACAGCAGCAACGCAGAAACACTGGCAGCAACAGCAGCAGCAACGCAGAAACACTGGCAGCAATGGCCACAACAGAGCAGCAACACCAGGAGAAGCAGCAGAAGAGCATCTACTTGACTCACCGGGTACATGAAACACCAGGCATTGACCATGTCAAACACAACGTCCAGTACATATATGCGTACCGACTGACGTGTTTCACTCCTACAACACACACAAACACAGACACAGACACACACACACACACAGACAAACACAAACACACACACAGACAAACACAGACACGCGGCACAAACACATACACAGCAAAACAAATCAAATGTCACAAGGGAGTAGGCAAAGACAGGAGATACATGTAACAAACACAGGCAAGCTAGCATCAGAGACAAGAAATAATGCACATGCGTCAAATCTGGAACAGAGAAATCAGTGTGCGCATCACAAATATACATGTAACACAATTATGTGCAGCACTACTACACACAAAAAGCACAACGGAGGTTTGTTTACAGAGTGTGTTGCAAATACGGGCTTCTCGCACAGTGCACTCATCAGGACACTTGACTTGGCAACAAGTCAAATGCATTGTGCAAGAAACTTGGAGTTACGACATACTCTGTAAATCTCCTTCACAAATTCTGTGTGTACATATAACACAATGCAGGTACTACTGCATTCTTTGAATATCAGTATCAGCTGCTCAGAGGCAATGGGCAATGGTGCAGCCCCCTCTCTCTGTGGTGCGAGACCCTCGAATTTCTGAAACATCACTTACTTGTAGAACTTCTCAATGAGCTGGTTGAGCTTCTCCACCCAGCAAGACTCTGCCGGGTGAATGAAGGATATACGGAACTTTATGATCAGTTCAGTTGATGTTGGCTACAGAAAACAACGTCAACAACAACAACGACGACGACGACAACAACAACAACAACACCAACAACAACAACAACTATCTCTTATTGGCGATGGTGCCATCGTGAGAATAAAGAATTCAAACAACAACAACAACAACAACAACAACAACAACAACAACAACAACAACAACAACAACAACAACTATCTCTTATTGGCGATGGTGCTATCGTGAGAATAAAGAATTCAAACAACAACAACAACAACAACAACAACAACAACAACAGCATCAGCACCATCACTACCATCACCAGCAGTACCAACAAAACAAAACAAGCCGCAACAGCAGCAACAGCTACATGAACAACAACAGTAGTGTAGACTACATCACAACAGTGACAACTAACAGCCAACAACCATCAGCAGAAACTAGAGCAGAAACAGGGACAACATATAGCACATCAAGCAGCAGTAACAGATCGAGCAGCAGTAGCGTCGCCAGAAGCACCACAAGCAGTAGCAGCAGCAGTAGCACCAGCAGTAGTAGCAGCAGCGACAGCACCACCACCACAAGCAGCAGCAGGAAAAGCAGCAGCAGCAGTGCCACCAGAAGCACCACAAGCAGCAGCAGCAGTAGCAGCAGCAGCTGTAGCAGCAGTGCCACCAGAAGCACCACAATCAGCAGCAGCAGCAGCAGTGCCACCAGAAGCAGCAGCAGCAGCAGCAGCAGCAGGGGAGAGAGGGCTGGCCACCACTCACACTTCGGACGCCGACCCACTTCTCCAGTAAGTTGAAGAACATATCCGGCTTAGCCGCTAACGTGCCTGCATCGTACAGCTTCTCCATTGTGGTGAGAGTGTCGTTGATTTTGTCACGGATGGCAAACTACAGGACGGGACGGGCAGCAGAGAACAAGAGTGCAGTGCAGGACAGGACAGAGAACACAGGCAAGTGAGAAATACAGCAGTCTACAGACGGGGAGCAGTGCCATAACATTACTGATCCTATGACCAGTATTCTCGTGGAGCAGCTGATGGAACAAAAATCCACAAAATCAATATAAGGAGCATTACAACAACACTGCAGTAAAACCCGTCAAGGCGACCACTCTGATAAGGCGACCACCATGTCCCAGAGTAACACAACAACCAGGACCAAGGGATGTCATTTCCAGTCAAATGACCCTGGACAAGGAGACCACCAGTACACGGGGACCACATTTGTAAGCTTTTTTATCCTTCCTTCTTCTCTTTTCTTTATTCCTTTTCTCTTCTTTTCTTGCCATGGTTGGCTATCACCCCTCTCTCGCACTTTGTGTGCCAATCGGTCATGGACCACGAGTTGAGTGTAATAAATAAATAAATAAAATAAAGGTCCCTTGAGCGGTTGGCTTAGACAGGGTTTGCCGTATTCCCATTGCACTGAGCGTCTGAAAGAACAAAAGCACGACGGTGCAGTGACAGAGCTTACCACACGCGTTTGCTCCGTTTGGCTGTTGAAGCCGGGTGTTTGCCGAGAGATGATCTCCAGGACGTCGATAACGTAGCCCCACATGTTCTGCTGCAGTCTCGTGCCGTACTTCTTCACCAGACGGTTCATGGACAGCGCGAGCTCATATGCCACCGGGGCACACACGCACTCCAGTGCCTGGGAGAAGAAGAAAACAGCAGACCAAAGAAATAATGAGGAGTGTAGGTTTCACTCCGGGCTTCCCGTTCCACAATCCATTCGCCCCTGGAGGCAGTGGGGACCTAGTGGTGATACATGCACTCTCGTATCACATCGCTGGTCTGGGTCGCATTCGCAACCAGCAGGCCGTGTCAAGAGCCGGAATGCAAAAAAACCCTAAAATCCATGTCATCACTTTTCGGATAATGGGCAAAAGAGGATTCATCTTATGTGCGGTTTGTGTCTAATTTTTGACCCCACCAGTCAAAGTGACTGGCATGTACGCTGGTATGCGCCTGATACGCTCTGAAAAAAAAACCAACATGTTGGAATTTCCATTTCGGCATGTTCCCATACGCATGACGCCCCAAGAGCCAGCAATATACACACAAACGCGTGGTTTCACATGTACACGTGCCAGTTGTGAACACAGCTCCAGCTCATTTTACTACCACAGACAGTACCAGAAGCACATCTGTACCTTGACGAATGATGGAAGAACCGTGGCAAACGATCGCTGCAGGCTGGGTACGTGCTTGGAGCCCCAGAGCGACATACTGAGAAAGAAGATAGCACCGCGTATGACACCTGGTTTGTTGTAGTTCTCCCTGCAAACGCACGCACACACACGTACACACACACATACACACACACACACACACACAAACACGCACACACATAGACACCCACGACACACCCACACACTGTTTTGCTTTCTACGTTTACGTTCCAAGTCGCCCGCATAAGCATACTTTGCCAGGCATACCGGGAGGGGTTGGACTGTTCGCTATAAAGGGTCAATTTTGTACGGGTTCAAACAGGGACGTGGACAACGGTTCGCTATATCACGAAAATCGCTGTATGCGAGTTCGCTATAAGTGGAGTCGACTGTATACAGGCCGTTGAACAGTTGATTGCAGCCATCAAAACGTATGTGAGTCACAGTAACTGACATTCGAAAGTAAACAGGCTCTTGACTGTAGATCTAGATAGTAGATATGCACAAAGAGCACCCAATACCATTATCAGGATACAAGGATATGTCATCCATTATTAGTTGAGAAACTCCACATTTTCGATCAGAAGAAACTCGGTGGAGAATGGATATTTTCATCTAGCACCAAAGGTTGTCAAGACAACCACACCGACACACTGACTAGTAAACAGTGCACAATGCTTGCCTGGTGCATTTCCTCTGTTCTAGGACTGTCTCAAATACTAGTGATTCCAGTGACCCAGCGTAGCAAACTGACAGACACGCTAGCACCAGCACCAGGAGCACCAGCAGCCACAGCACCAGTGACACCAGCAGGAGAGGCACCACTACCAGCAGCAGCAGCAGCAGCAGCAGCAGAGGCAGCACCACCATCACCATCACCATCACCATCACCACCAGCAGCAGCAGCAGCAGCAGAGGCAGCACAATCCTCATGGGCATAGAACAGAAGACGGCAGCAGACAACTTACTGGCAGCTGAGCAAGTAGCAGAGCTTTTCTACACCTGCATGTCCCATGTGAGTACCGAGAAGCTTGCGAATTAACTATGCACACAAACACATGTGCACCAATGGTGCGCCCGCACACGCACACCCCCCCCCCCCCCACACGCACACACGAGTATGCACACATGTGAGAATTTACAATGTTGGATGCATGTCCGTACAAACAAGTGTGACAGGAACACCAACATTGGGAATCTAAGAACAATAGTGTGAGAACAGGCCAGGTTGTAAGAAATTGCCCGAGATGAGGGCATGGTCTGAGAATCCCCAGTGACAACGTTGTGTAGATTTATCCACACACAAAGATTTCTCCATGGCCCCACAGAGCATGTTCCTTTAGAAGTCATGTGAATACAGTGATTACGTCATCATTTGAGTTCTTCTGTGAAAAGTGACATGACACACAGGAGCTCTCCACTCCATACAAAGCATATACAATAATGTCATTACATTATATCTGTAAGAACAAAAGAGGACCAAAGAGCTGCAAGTTACGCTACGATATCCACTAACACCATCAGTTTCTTTACAATCAGCTCATGCGATAACATTGCTTTGGCCCTCTTTTCTTCTTATTAATTATTCCTTGGCTCTCCGCCCGAGTCTAACCATTACATCCGTCATCATCATTTCATGTGTGTTTGTATTGAGTGGCACCACACGTATGGGCTCGCTACCCCATACAATAGTGGCATTCGCACAACCTCTAAAAGCCAGGGAACCCCACAGGAAATTGAGGACACGCCAATTCTAAAGCAACTCTCATTGCCCAACTCATACAAAAGGGAAGGAAGCGAAAAAAAATACAAACAGAGTGATGAGCATGACCACAGCTTTATCAAGTTCTTTCTCGCACAAAGTTCCCAAGCACGCACAGAAAAAGCTGCGAAAAAGTTGCAAAAAAATCCTTCGAGCCGGATTTGAACCAGCGACCTAAAGATGACTGCACATCACAGTGATGTACACACTACAGTCTTCCGCTCTACCAACTGAGCTATCGAAGGCCACAGATTCAGGAAGACTCCAGCAGGCTTTTCTTGCTTTACCAGAAGACCACAATTTTAGTCCATATTTGCTTCTGTCTTCTTTTCCTTTTCTTTTTGACTTCTTACTCTTTTCCATGTTAGCCATGGTTGGCAATAAAAACCCTACAATCGCCACGCAAAGTGGTCATTAGCTACCCCAGCCATGTATTGCTTGGAATAAAATAATAATAAAATAAATATGACCAGTACCCACGACCGGTTTAGTATCGACAAGAGTTCCACGGCGAAGTTTTTGTTCGGGTCATCATGAATCATCAAAAAAAGACTGTCATACTGTAGGCTCAGTGCCAAATCACCGTATCACGATATCACGATGGTGACAACAACAGGAGATTCGCTTGCCACGGCAGACATACCGACTGATAGACATACCGATTGACATACAGCCGAGCACAGAACGGGGTGAAAATCGGCAGGATCGATCAACAAGAGCAGTACATGATACAGTGTAGTACAGTTGCGCTCACTGAAATCCGACCCAAAGTGCAAAGCTGGCGCCCTGGACCAGTTCCGATTACATCATTGTATGTGTACATGTGTACGCCCAGCCGTATTCATTCCATTTCCAGGGCGTCAAGGGCCGAGGAAGTTGAGGGCGCCAGCTGTGAACGTATGGTCGGATTTCAGTGAGCGCAACTGTACTAGTAACAAGGGCTGGACTGGCATTGATGTGTAGACACACAGACACACACCGACTGTCAGAAAACAGCACACACACACACACGCACACGCACGTAGATGCACGTGCATGCAGCACCACGCCACGCGGGCAGTTCATGCGCCTACCTCCCAGCTAGGGGTGCAGAACTGCTCCTGGTTGACGGTATGACACAGGGCCAGTACAAAGAACTCGAGACTCTCGCAACGCAGAGAGCAGCCACGCAGGATGCGATCCAGCAATTTGATACACGCCTTACATCAGAAAATAACAACACGCACAGCAGAATTTGTGTTAGTTGGAGGCAGAGAAATAGGGCGACCGGCAAGTGAGAAGCAACTTTCCACTACATGTAATTTAAAAAAAGAGAATAAAGAAAGAGAAGATCAACACCTTGCAGTGCCTCAGTTGGTCGCATTAGAGATACCTTGCTGAGTGTTTGTGTTGGCCAGTTCCAAACCTTGGTTTAGGAATTTCATTTTCATTCACATCGGTACTGGGTTCTGCCTCAATTTCCGCGCTGTCTGAAGCAGTGCGTACAGGACAAAATAGAACTGACCGCGGAACGAGGACCAACACACAGAGACACGAGTGTCGTTCCCCAAACACACAGACACGAGTGTCGTTCCCCAAACACACAGAGACACGAGTGTCGTTCCCCAAACACACAATCTTCAATGCGCACCAGGAAGGAGATGCAACTTACATCTGGGTAGTCGACACAACGCTCCTGGTGGCACACAATGGCACACGTTCTGCGAGACGGAGGAATGCACACGCATACAGAAACACGCACAAACTGTACTGCACTTGCTCACTGCCAAAACTGGTCACGTAGGTCTCTCCCCCCCCCCCCCCCCCCTCCCCCAACTCCCCAGGAGAAGGGGAGACTGACTCAACAGGAATCTTGGAAAGATGACTCAATTGGCTATTGAACAACGGCCGACACCCCCTGAAATCACTATGGGTGGACTTGGAAATGATCCCACTTATGGGCTCACCACACCTCAGTAAGTGGGTGAGGACAAGGTGCAGAAAAGTATTGACGGCATCATGGTATCCGTCCTGGGATCCAACTACAGTTACTCCTGCCCCCAGTGAAGGTAATACTTGCTACTAGTGTGGGTGGCTAAATTAGAGTGGGTCTGATATAAGTATCACTAGCACCAGTGATTACACAGGAGTTCATCTAGCCAGAAGCAGTCCATGATTAACAGGTGCACACACAGGTACACACACACACACACGTGCACACACACGCACACACACACACACACACTGAGTAACCATACTTGACAAGCTCGTGACGAGTGTTGTCGCTGAGAAACGCAGCATTGTACTGCACGACCATGACCAACACATCGAGTAGCTTCAATAGTCTGCAGGACAACAGGAGAACAAAATGAGGGATAGAGCAAAGACGGATGACAATGTGCCGTTCAGAAATCCAAACAATACGTCCCCACATTGCATACAGAGCAGTATTGCAGGGGGAAAGAAATGGCTTTTTGTCTCCAGGCCCAAGGGAAATCACAACGGCTACCAAGACCAAGAATGACCCAACAGTTGTGGGATAGGTGCGGGGATAATGTTGTCTACCCGGTAGAAGCAGCCGGAGCTTGTTCTTGCTACACTTCAGAAAGTCACTGGTTCATAGAGATTGGGGACTCCTCTGTACAGTGATATGATATATAATTACCAGTACAGTGGTGTTGGCTGTGGAGTGAAGGGAGTTGATGGTAAGCATGGGGCATATAGAGCGAGAGTGGCTCAGAGCGAGCGTGACTCAGAGCAAGAGAGATTTGTGACGAAACAAATCAAAAAAAGGGCGCACGTCCACACCTGAAAACAAGGCAGGCTGCACGCTCTCTCCGTTTTAAAGGCATGGACAACTTACTGCTCATGTTCGCGCAGTGTGGGTAGACTTGTGCGAATGAAATGATCTGCAGAAACAAATAACGGCGTGTAGGGAGCAAGAACAGCGGCATAAGAAAATTAGAAAAAAACCCAAAATCCAAATCTGACTCATAAGGGAGTTTCCGCAACATAAATTGCGCGCACGTGGGACGTCCATTCCGGCGAGGCAAGCATGCGTGGTGAAGAAAGTTTTGCGAAATGTGAAGTAGACATGGACTCCGCAGGAACAAAGTCCTTGAGTAGTTCATGCCACGTATTTCGTTCCGTGAGACCTCCCACATGATAAACATAAACAGCATCCACACAGCTTACCGTATGTCAGCGCCTTTAAAGCCATGGCCTTATATTCGAAACACCGCTGCTTTCCTAGCTATTTTAGATGCAAAATGACTCACCCACTACGCCATGCCATGAAAGTCAAGTCCACATAGAAATTTAAATCGAAATCCACCTGTTCAACCTTCCTGCTGGGCTGAGAGTTTGTTAGCACAGTACTAATTCCTTCATTTTTACAAAACATACCTCAGATATAATTTCATTTATGAGGCCCATGGCTTTATAACTGAGACTGGCTTCATAATCGAATATACCTCCATGGCTTTAAAGGTGCGGACATACGGTATGACATTGGCGCTGTAGAGCACAGAACCCACTCACCAAGGTCTCGTTGAATGAACGTGATGGAGCGGCCTTCATTCGTTATGCAGCTCAGCAGTAGCATGCGCTCCACAAAGTCTTCCGACAAGTGCTCCGGCTGCGTGACGACATCGAACAGCTTCAAATTGCACGGACCGAGTCGATCCACCTGTGAGACAAAAAAAAGGTACAGCAGAGAAAAAGGGGACGGTGGGGTGAGGGCTTCGAGCTTGGGTTCAGGATAGACAAAGAGACTAGTCAACAGTGAGGTGAAGAGGCTCATCGTTTACACTGCTGGAAGGTGAGAGAACTGCAGTATCCGCACTCAGTAGAACCTTGACAACATCACCAACCAAGTCATTGACCCAGTGCGCATTGCCAAATACGAAATGTATGAGCAACAACTTGTGAGTACGCCGGGATCAGGAATGCATTGTTCAACACCCGAGGCGACGATGCCCAGGTGGCTTTGAAGGGTGTTTATGGTACAAATTACGTCATTGTGCAATGCACACCATCAATGCACACCATCAAGACACACGCAAACTGGTGGCAACAACCACGGCATTTCAAGTCACCTACCTGTCCTTTGGCAAGGAAAGAGAGAAACGTCAGCGCTTGCTGTCGGACTTCAGCAGTCTGCTGAGGCTCCAGCAGATCATTGACCTCCATCCACACAGCCTCCACCATGAACTTTCAAACAGGATACAAGGACAACAAGAAAATAACTCAAAAGGGATCCGACGATTCGTTTCATGTACTTCAAGTAATTGTGTTGATGCTTCACAAATGTGTTATTTTTCCCATACAAGAGGCTCAAGAAAGGGGGGCCCAAAATCTGACTCCCAATATGAAGTGATGGCAGGAGTGGAGGAGCTGAGAGAGGACACGATGCAGAGGATCGCAATCTTGTCCAATATACACGTGATTGATGGTCACTGAGACCCACTGGAACTCATATAAACGCCGTTATAAACAAGCAGCATCAGAATGTGACACTTGACTCAAAAGCAGAGTCAAGACACATGCAAGATCGAAAAGACTACTATTGCCATACACATTGAAATCCGATGGGATGACCAAGGTCTGAACCCTTACTGCTTTTAGCGCATATACACACACTGTAGTTCATGTTTACACTGCAAAAATAACCGGCAGTACTCACGGCTGCAAGGCCAGCACCCCGTGGCTACTAGGTTTCTTTTAAAACGGATTTCAATGTCCACAACCATAGTACGGTGCTGCTCAATGAAATCCAGTAGTCGCTCAAGCTTGCGCCTTGCAACACTTCGCAGCCCAGTGTCCGCAGGTCCATGGCTGCGCAACGCCCGGCGCGTACTTGAGTGACTCGACTGGATTTCATTGAGCAGTGCTGTACATGCATTGGAGGTACTGACGGCAGTGTTCCACCACCACCACCACACTCACCTCCTCAAAGTGTTGGTTGGATACGACATCTTCCAAGTCCTTCAGGAGACGCAGTCGACTCTCTTGCGGTGCTCCACAGCCGATCGACTTTGTACAAACAAGGCCAGCAGCAACAGCAACAATAAGTCCACAAGAAAAACCAAAGCGACAACAACGGCAGCAGCAGCAACAGCCATAAGGTATAACACAACAAAACATTGTAAACTAGAGAGGAATAGTGCGGTGCTCGTACGTGCAGTCATCAGAGACTATCTCCACAGTCACCACCGTGACAGCGGACAGAGAAGCAGGGACACGTTTCCACAACGAACAGTTCATTTGACGTTCCTCTGTGGAACTGCCATCACTAACTGACTCTCAAAGCAAAGGAAACACACAGAAAGACAGATTATGAGACTCTAACTTTTCAGCAACATATTTAGAGGGTAGCAGTGGAAAGCGGGATGCTAAGATTAGTATAGACTTAGATTACAGAGACGATAACATTTGCGCAAAGGCGTGGACATGTACAGTAAGACCTCGCTTATCCGGTCCTCTTTTATCCGGATGCCTCGCCATCCGGAAGAAAATCGTTGGTTATCGATTTACAGCATTTGCCATGCATACACACGTGTGTTCGATTATCCAGTTCCCTCGCCTATCCGGATATTTTTGTGGAAAACGAATGTACAGTGGAGATCGGATAAAACGACAATGCATATAACGACAGATTGAGTTTAGCGACACAATTCTGTTGCCCAAGTCGTATAGCAAGTCCTTTGTGAAGATCGGGTTTAGTGACAGATCGAATATAGTGACATATTGTTATCTCCTGAAGAAGTGTCGTTATATCCAATCTCCACTGTATGCGGTTATGCGAGGTCCAACTGTACAGTCAACCTCGTCAACAACGACCCCGGGTATAGTCAACTTCGCGTATAACGACATTCGGCGGGGCATCAGAAAAGTGTCCTTATTCGCGAAGTGTCGTGATGCCCGAAGTCCCATTATATGTATTACAGTTGGATGGGACTTTGCTCTGGGCATGGAAATTCTGTCGTTATTCGCGAATTGTCGTTATATCCGCAGTCGTTATTAGCGAAGTTGACTTTATAACAACAACATGAAAATAACCACACTATCTTCAGACCTACTGACCATTTGACTGCATGCTTTTTTTCTTTTTCTTTTCTGGGGAGCTATGCTGGTTTGGCTAAAGCGCTCTGCTATTGTGACGGCAGCTTCAAGGGGAGCTTACATGATTTCAGGTGTTCACACAGCTGATACCTGATACCAAGAGTATGCAGCCTGGCGATCTCCCAGCCCAAGGTGGAATTTATTGATGATAATCTCTCACGGCCACTCAGCTAACTTGTATAATCAAGAGTAAAAAGAAGCTCCCAAGAGTGTGCAACTCTGCATATGGGGTCTCCGGCGGCGAAAACTCACATCACGTGTGTCAGGTACGTTTCGTACTACGTACAACGAAGGATAGCGTGCGCGCAATCCGATTACCTGCCCTGATCATGCTGGGGAGTTGCATACGCGCAGTGCGTCTCTGTCAGGAGTGTTTTTTTTATTATGCTGGGGAGTTGCATACGCGCAGTACGTCTCTGTCAGGAGTGCTTTTTTTATATTCCCGTAGCTATGCAGAAGACGTTACTTCAGTAACGTCTGGCGCTAGCCAGGGTCCACACACCTTTAATTTGGTGTTTGTTTGTGTGTTTGTGTCACGCCTGGCGCTATCCCGTATCTGTCCCGTACCGTACCGTACCATCAAACACAGCTGGTCACATACAGCTGGCCGCAATATTCAAATAGGGCTTTTAAACGCAAGATCATAACGTGAAGCAACTTGGAAGAATGAGTATGAATGCGAAGTGTATGGGGGAATGCATGTAGGGCGATAGTGCGGGTTCGAATCCCAGGACGGACTGTACGAGTTTCGATCTAATAAGATCGAAACTTCGTAACTTCGTAACTCCATCGTTTCTTGAGTAAATTCCACAATCGAAGGGTCTACGTGGTAGCGGGAACTCCAAGCTGTCCAATGCAACAATCGCCGAAGAGTTACAATGTCGGACGCCAGAGATATCGCACGCCGTATTCTTACCTCGGCAAATTCAAATTTTTGATCGATCATTTCGCCATTTTGGGGGAAAATCCCTTTTCGTGTGCTCTTTGAGCGAATGAGCACATGATAATGACGTAGCCGGCTGAAGTTTGAATTGTCTCAAACAGATTTGAGCGTTCTGCGATGAAGGAGAGTGGAATGGCGTTGATGGGACGAATTTGCTTGCATACCAGGCTTGAAGACGACTTTGCTGTGTTACCGCGCCTGATTTGTGGCGGCCGGATAATGGAGATTGGTACCCTGACGTAGTTCTCGCCAAGAGCTTTCCAATGAGCCCTTGATTGTGAAAATCAAGTGGACACCAAAGTTATGACATGGAAAAGTTGAAAATTGTACTGACATTTTGTAATTCTGGTGCATACTGTGCTAGTAATCCGTCCATAAAGGGTTATGCCTAAAAAATAGGAGAATTGAAAAATTTATAACATCCCTATTCTTTTTTTGCCTAGGTCATCAAGGCGGTAGACGGTGTCGTATTACCCTCGACCGTACCTGTCCCGTACCGTACTGTGTCATCAAAGACGGCTGGCCACAATGCATATTCAAATAGGGCTTTCAAATGCAAGATCATAACGTGACGCAACTTGGAAGAATTAGTATCAAGAGTACATGAAAACCAGAGTGTGCAGCTCGGATGGGTTGCTGTCACGGCGAAATTCCGTGATTACATCATTTTAGTGATGTAGTGCGTACAAGCAGGATTCAAGCAGGTCTCTTTCTGCACAACTGCAGCTCAGTTGTACGCACTACGCCATTTCCCGCCTCAGATCTGCACCAAAATGATGTAATCACGGAATTTCGCCGTGACAGACACCCATAGCAGAGAAGACCCCAAGCTGCACACTCTGGTTTTCATGTACTCTTGTTAGTATGTATGCGAAGTGTATCGGGGGATGCATGCAGGGCGATAGTGCGGGTTCGAATCCCAGGTTATGTCTTTAAAAAAAAAGGAAAATTTTATATGAATTTATAACATCCGTATGCTTTTTTTGTCTAGGTCATCAAGGCAAAAAAGCATAGCGTAGGGCCCTGAGCTTCAAAGCTCTCTCGTTACTCCGCTGCTCGCTAAAACTGGCTGGAACGAACAACGGGAACACTACACCATGTGATGTGAGTTTTCGCCATCGGCGAACCCCATAGAAAGGGCACCAGGAGCTGCACACTCTCGGGAGCTTATAATTCTACTCTTGGCACGATCATGCACAGCCAGAAATCAAAAGTTCAAAGGACATGCGCAACACAGCTACAGTAGTCGAAGCCAAAACAACGGACAGTAGATCCATTAATTTTGCCCTGAACTTGACGAGCGCTGACAGGATATCTAGATGACAAACGAGGGCTGCACACTTGATCATACTTCCGCCAAAAAATAATGCAATAACAAAATCCCGACGGTGGCGAGTACGTCGCAGCTCACGATAGGGAGTTTCACACTCTTGGTTATGAAGTTTTAGGGGTGAGACGAGTGCCGAAATCGAGGACTCGAGTACTCTTTGAAAAACGAGCGAGTATTCGAGCGAGTATGAGTATTTTACAGACAACATAAAACAATGCACAGCACACACTCTCGCAGCACCGAACGTTGTAAACCCGATACACGTGTAGTGCGGGAAAAAGTCTGAACTACCGTACTTTCGTCGGTGGAACACATGAAGGCTGCCGGAAAGAACTCATTCTTTTACGACAACACTACAACACAACTCCTGGAAGCACTTCTCACAACAATCAAGAAGCACTAGACTTTCACAAGTACGGCGGCGCGAGGCCGCAATAGGCGCGATTGAATGGGTTATCAGTACTGGTCCGAGCAACAGAAGTGCTTGATGTACATGCATGTAGTACACTTTTGAGTATTTTGCGAAACGAGGAATCGCTCTTTTCAAATTTTCGAGCGAGTGCTCGAGTATTCGATATACTGGTACTCGTTTCAACCCTATTAAAATATGAACTCTTTGTTGATACCCAACGCCTGAGCTAATTCGTTCAAGTTTCTGAAAAACGCCTCAGAATTACGTTGCAAACTTAAAAAAAAAACTACTTCAAAGTAGAACGATCTGTGGTGGGTGATGAGTTTTGCAAAAGTGAAGATTCCAGACGCCTCCAAACTGTAGTGGCGTGCAGGGCTCTAAGAACTCGCCAGGACACATGACACCACCATCCGTATGCACGTTTATCTCCGTGTTAGAGGAAACTACATATCTATCACATGTACTGCAGTACTACAATGACTGTATTTCCCACGCGAAAATGAAATAATTGGCGCGGTTCAGCGAAAATAATTTCGACAAAATGGCCAAAAGCAGAAGCTTACTTTCAGCGACTCTGTTGTGAATTGAAAGTCTGCTCCAAGGCCTCCCGATGACTCTCCTCCACGTTTGTTACCCTGACCAAGCAACTGCTGGAATTTGAGGCGAAGTGAATCTTTGGCCATTGTTCTGCGATCGTTGGCTGCTGACGTGTAATTCAGCTCCTGCTAGGAAACGAAACTAGGCATGCTGACCCTTCTCGTCGCGCGTAGAGGCACGGCACTCACACTAAGCAGCCATCCTGGGCGGATGAACAAAGAAACAGTATGGAAGCAGCTACTCTTTCTTCTAACGAATATGAAATGCAGCCACAACTCAAGCAAACGACAAGAAACACAAACAGTTTGATTTCTCGATTTCTGCTGCCACTTTTTTGCGTTTCATTTCTGTTCCATTCTGTGGCTTGCAAGCTTGGAGGCTGAGCCTCGGCCTTGAATCCAGATTCGGGAACCGGGATTCCCATGGAAATTGGAGTCGAGTTTTGAAAACACCAGGTGTTTCTGAAAATTCCCTTGTAGTTGCCCGAAACTCATTGCTCTGCCCCGGCGAAATTACAGCAGAACTGCGAACTGCGTCATGCAAAACCGGGCATCAATCTCTTCGCTCGCTGATGCTTTACATTCTTTACTACTTCGTCTTTACAATGATTGTAGTTTTGTAGTTTTATTCTCTTCGCTCGCTGATGCTTCTCCCATCCCGTGGTGCTGGACTGAACTGAAGTGGGCAAGTGAAGGTTTCTCCCTCTAGGGCTTGCTGCATTAAACTGTTACTTTGAAGTACACTTGCAAGAGCCTGATTTCATGAAATCTGTGAAGAGCTGCAAGACAGCGAGATGTCGATCGATCTTGGCTTTTTCGAGACTAGCGCTGAAAAGAGCCCTTATAGACGCCTGCCCTTGAAACGAGGCGACAGGGAGGCGGAGGATCGGATGAAAATTGAGTACAGGTAGGCATTATGGTATATACAGAAGCCTTGCTTGGTACTGAGTTTAAAGGGGAAGTTAAGGCAAAAATTAAAATTTCACCAGTTGTAGTCTTCGGGGTGCTGAGTCGAATGGTCTTGGTCCGAGAAAGCTGAGACGCTCCCTTCCTACTTGAATCCCAATCGAACTCGCGCACTTCCACCGAAACTGGGTGACTGCGCCCTACGAGATGGGGATTTGTATGCAAAATGTCACTAAAAGCGCCATTTCGTTCTTATAAAAGCACGGATGACCGCGATTGGCCCATATGTTGTAGTCTTTGGGACGCTGAGTCGGCTGGTTTTGGTCCGAAAAGGCTGCGATGCAGCGTTCCTCCTTTATTCCCAATCGAACATGGTTGAAGAAGCGGTCACGTGGTCCTGGGTGCCCAAATCACCTGGTCACCACGCCAGCAGGTGACAACTTTCACACCAAGGTTCAACTCGGGTTCAACTCGAGTGACAGGACTGCACCCAAAAAAGGTCAAACAGGCTAGTAAGTTGTACCCTGCAGGCACGGTGACCAGGTGACTGGTGTACGCAGGAGCACGTGACCACTTGTTCAACCATGTTCGATTGGGAATAAAGGAGGAACGCTGCATCGCAGCCTTTTCGGACCAAAACCAATCGACTCAGCGTCCAAAAGACTACAACATATGGGCCAATCGCGGTCATCCGTGCTTTTATAAGAACGAAATGGCGCTTTTAGTGACATTTTGCATACAAATCCCCATCTAGTAGGGCGCAGTCACCCAGTTTCGGTGGAAGTGCGCGAGTTCGATTGGGATTCAAGTAGGAAGGGAGCGTCTCAGCTTTCTCGGACCAAGGCCATTCGACTCAGCACCCCGAAGACTACAACTGGTGAAATTTTAATTTTTGCCGTAACTTCCCCTTTAACATGTTTTTCGATTTTGACAGCATGCTACATGTACAAGGCGAGTGGGTCGCAAGACCGGGACTCTGCCAACCGGGTTATGGTTGTAGTCAGGAGCACTACGCGCCCTCGCCTTGTAACATGCTGTCAAAATCGAAAAACAGGTAGGCACTATGTACTTCTTGACCCCACCTCTTTCCTCCTATTTGCTCGCAATAATTATATAAAAAAACATATCGAAGAAGCTTCAGTGCGCCATCGACATCGACCCGAACAACTAACTTGGGGGTCAAGAAGGTTCCTGACCGTTAAAATTTATCAATCTGAAAAAGGGGTAATAGTTGTGTTGCTACACATCTGCGAGTTACTGTACTGTAAAAGCAGAACTTTTCGGTGGTGTTTTATTTTCGGTAACTTCGGTGCCGACAATCTTACCGAAAATAAAACGCACCGAAAATTTCGGTACTACCGGTGCTGTATACATGTAGTACAAGAACACTTACCTCGAAAATGGGTTTTACCAAAAAATTCCCTCTACCGAACCGCCGATTTTGGAGAATACCGAAAATATTACACCACCGTAAATTTCTGCTTTTACACTGTCCCTGCGGGAATTTGCGGAAAAAACTCTCGAAAACTTGCGCAAGAAATTGCGGCAGAAAGTAACAAAAAATGCGACGAAAAGTGCGGAATGATGCAGAACTTGCCAGGAATTCGCGGAATTATTTGCAGAATATTGCGGATTTGGGCCAAATCACGAAATTTGTTGCATCGTATATCTACTCGGGAGTCGTACTGTGCAAATAAGCTACAGGATCATGGAAAGAACTGCGTGAAAAGTGCATAAAAATGTGAGATATAGTGCAGAAAACAACAAGAAAACGCGGGAAATCGCGGATTTTGCTGAAAATCGCGGGTTTGGGCCAAAATCGCGAAATTTGTTGCATCCGTGGAATCGCGATTTCCTGGAGGGACAGTTTACAGTACATTGTACCTCAAACCGGCATGCAATTCTATTTCAAGGCGAAATATCGCCTAGATAAAGGGGTGAGCAGCAACATTCGGCCTTGTACAAATTTGTGATCAACACTACACCAAAACTGCGCATTTATGGTGTGGTGGTTGATGACAAAATATAGCCAACATAATTGTACTGAAGAAGGGCTGAGGCTTCCTGCAGCTTCATCTGTGAAAAGAATTCGGGTGGACACACCCATTCCCATAGCGCTGCACATCACATCCGAACCAGTTCCGTTATTTTTACAACGTTTCGGCACTTGGCCATCGTCAGGTAATAACAATGAATACCGTGGAAGCCACACAAGAGCAGTATATACGCAGAGTGTAGCGCCAAAAAAGATGGCATGTACCCTCACTTCGTAGAGCACAACGGCGCGCTCTGACGTAACTCGCATCATTTTATTTTTTGGCGCTACACTCTGCGTAACGCCATTCACAGAGCACAATGCGCGCTACCTTCTGCTGCTTCTCCTCCGTGATGTGCTAGTTGCGCCTTTTCTCTCTCTCTGTCCCCCCCCCCCCCCCCCCCTTCTGCATACTAGGTGACATCATTCGCATCTTTTTTGGCGCTACACTCTGCGTATATACTGCTCTTGTGTGGCTTCCACGGTATTCATTGTTATTACCTGACGATGGCCAAGTGCCGAAACGTTGTAAAAATAACGGAACTGGTTCGGATGTGATTTGCAGCGCTATGGGAATGGGTGTGTCCACCCGAATTCTTTTCATAATTGTACTGGCCTGCCATGTGCCCCGTGTGTGCAGTTTGATGATATACAGTGGGCCCAAACCACCGGCATGATCATTCATTCTCCTGCTTTGCCGAGTGGCTCGTTGTGCCGGGATAGCAGTGAGCGAACGGCAGTGCCTGCAGGTCCGGTGTCGGGATGCGAAACTCGTACGTAAGCGACCGTCACTGGCATGCGCAGAGTGTCAACGCAAGTTAGTTGCCCAGTGAGGTCTGGTGGGACATGCAGTAAAACCTGTAACTAAAGACCACGGTGACTAGCGACCAGCCTGGTCCTACAGACCACGGTGACTAACGACCAGCCTGGTCCTACAGACCACGGTGACTAGCGACCAGCCTGGTCCTACAGACCACGGTGACTAGCGACCAGCCTGGTCCTACAGACCACGGTGACTAGCGACCAGCCTGGTCCTACAGACCACGGTGACTAACGACCAGCCTGGTCCTACAGACCACGGTGACTAGCGACCAGCCTGGTCCTACAGACCACGGTGACTAGCGACCAGCCTGGTCCTACAGACCACGGTGACTAGCGACCAGCCTGGTCCTACAGACCACGGTGACTAGCGACCAGCCTGGTCCTACAGACCACGGTGACTAGCGACCAGCCTGGTCCTACAGACCACGGTGACTAGCGACCAGCCTGGTCCTACAGACCACGGTGACTAGCGACCAGCCTGGTCCTACAGACCACGGTGACTAGCGACCAGCCTGGTCCTACAGACCACCGTGACTAGCGACCAGCCTGGTACTACAGACCACCGTGACTAGCGACCAGCCTGGTACTACAGACCACCGTGACTAGCGACCAGCCTGGTACTACAGACCACCGTGACTAGCGACCAGCCTGGTCCTACAGACCACGGTGACTAGCGACCAGCCTGGTCCTAAAGACCACCGTGACTAGCGACCAGCCTGGTACTACAGACCACCGTGACTAGCGACCAGCCTGGTACTACAGACCACCGTGACTAGCGACCAGCCTGGTACTACAGACCACCGTGACTAGCGACCAGCCTGGTCCTACAGACCACGGTGACTAGCGACCAGCCTGGTACTACAGACCACCGTGACTAGCGACCAGCCTGGTACTACAGACCACCGTGACTAGCGACCAGCCTGGCACTACAGACCACCGTGACTAGCCACCAGCCTGGTACTACAGACCACCGTGACTAGCGACCAGCCTGGTACTACAGACCACCGTGACTAGCCACCAGCCTGGTACTACAGACCACCGTGACTAGCCACCAGCCTGGTACTACAGACCACCGTGACTAGCGACCAGCCTGGTACTACAGACCACCGTGACTAGCCACCAGCCTGGTACTACAGACCACCGTGACTAGCGACCAGCCTGGTACTACAGACCACCGTGACTAGCGACCAGCCTGGTACTACAGACCACCGTGACTAGCCACCAGCCTGGTACTACAGACCACCGTGACTAGCGACCAGCCTGGTACTACAGACCACCGTGACTAGCGACCAGCCTGGTACTACAGACCACCGTGACTAGCCACCAGCCTGGTACTACAGACCACCGTGACTAGCGACCAGCCTGGTACTACAGACCACCATGACTAGCCACCAGCCTGGTACTACAGACCACCGTGACTAGCGACCAGCCTGGTACTACAGACCACCGTGACTAGCGACCAGCCTGGTACTACAGACCACCGTGACTAGCCACCAGCCTGGTACTACAGACCACCGTGACTAGCGACCAGCCTGGTACTACAGACCACCGTGACTAGCCACCAGCCTGGTACTACAGACCACCGTGACTAGCGACCAGCCTGGTACTACAGACCACCGTGACTAGCGACCAGCCTGGTACTACAGACCACCGTGACTAGCCACCAGCCTGGTACTACAGACCACCGTGACTAGCGACCAGCCTGGTACTACAGACCACCGTGACTAGCCACCAGCCTGGTACTAAAGACCACCGTGACTAGCGACCAGCCTGGTACTACAGACCACCGTGACTAGCGACCAGCCTGGTACTACAGACCACCGTGACTAGCGACCAGCCTGGTACTACAGACCACCGTGACTAGCGACCAGCCTGGTACTACAGACCACCGTGACTAGCGACCAGCCTGGTACTACAGACCACCGTGACTAGCGACCAGCCTGGTACTACAGACCACCGTGACTAGCGACCAGCCTGGTACTACAGACCACCGTGACTAGCGACCAGCCTGGTACTACAGACCACCGTGACTAGCGACCAGCCTGGTACTACAGACCACCGTGACTAGCGACCAGCCTGGTACTACAGACCACCGTGACTAGCGACCAGCCTGGTACTACAGACCACCGTGACTAGCCACCAGC